TATCAGCAAACTGTCTTACCTGGGACACCACACACACACACACACAAACACACACACACCTGCACTTAGATTATAGACTCAAATTTTAAGATAACACCACTGTGGTCGAGCTTATTTCAGGAGGAGATGAGTCTGCCTATATAACATCCAGGGGCTGTTGACATGGTGTTCAAAAAACCACCTGCCGCTGAACACTCAATAAAAAAAAAACCTCACCATAGACTTCAGGAAGTGCAGAGCAGACTTGGTGGACAAAGTTCACATCTACTTAGGAACCCACATATCAGACATCTATCCTGGTCCACCAACACCATGGCTGTGGTCAAAAAGGCACAGCAGCACTGCACTTCAAATGTCCTCATGAGAAACAACCTCAATTAAAAGCTCTTTGTGACCTTTTACTGCTTCAATATAGAGGGTGTGCTGACATATACAGCCTTACTGTGTGGTATGCAGGCTGCTCATCAGCTGATTTAAAAAAAAAACTTTACAGAAGGTCATTGACACAGCACAAAAAATCATCGGCTGCCCCCTTCCCTCACTTCAAGACATTGCAAAAACCCGCTTACTCTCCAGAGCTACAAAGATTAAAGATTTCCCTCACCCTGGATACCACCTGTTTGACCCCCTGCCCTGAGGCATGCACTAGGTCACTAGAACACGGACTACCAGGCCTTTGAACAGTTTATACCACGAGGACATTCACACTCTTAATCAACATACAAAATAAACAGCTGTACTACTGGCACTTCACCTTGTAATTTTATCTCAATGAACAGTGGTTATTTTTTAACATGAATACATGTTATGTTATGTTATGTGCTTGTCTGTGAAAATGTTTCAAATATCTGCATGCAAGTGTGACCTTTTAACTCAGATGCCCCAACCAAGAGTGTCACTCGTAATCTCTTATTCTGTGAAATGACAATAAAGGTGCTCAATTCCATTCAGAAAAAAAGTTATTACACTTTTTGAAAAACTTAACAGCAGCATTTTTTTTTACTAAAAGTAGAAGAAGGATATTTGTATCTATAGCTGAATTCTTCAAAAACAACAAAAGTAGAATTGTCTTAAAGCCTTACTTTGAAATAGAATTTGAATGCTTTAAAAAGTTTATTGTTGTGAAAATCATAAAATAGTGTACTTCATTCTTGATTCTGGTGGGTAACTCTCACGTTTCAGCATGTAAACAACTACCCTTTCCCTCCTTTTGATTTAAGTTTGACATGAACATGTTTCTTTATATTTTAGGTAGAAACAATCACACCATCTATTGGATTGAAACAAGATGATCGGTCCGAGGAGATCCCTAAAACTGGCCAAAACACAAGCAGCCAGAGTAAAGGTAACATTATCTGTATATGCAAATTCACCATTACAACCTTCACTTCCCCTGGACCCACATTATTAAAACCTGGTTTGTCATTTGATGTTTGTGTATTGCAGAGGTGTGTGGCTTCTGTCGGAAACCTGTGGCTCTTTCTGAACCCGCAATTGAAGCTTTAAACAGAACGTACCATGAGGACTGCTTCCAGTGTAGATCCTGTCACAGTCCTCTGGCAGGCAAACATTACTACAACAAAGCTGGAATCCCACTCTGTGAAGACTGCTACCAGGTAGAGTCAATCCATCCTCAAATACTGAATCTCAGAGCTGTCAAGAACAATGCCAATACTGTGTTTCTGCATGCTAATTAACTGACATCATACATGCTTTACATTTCTTCTGTCTTTCCATTTTTGTTATTACAGCATAAATCTTGAAATCTAAACATCAAAGTTAACATTGTGAAATCTCATTGTAGTGTCTATGTTTTGTTGTTTCAATATTAACATGAGTTTGACTGAAATGAAGTCCAAACTAAATTTTAATTAATGATGTTCAATGTGGTATTTAATTCTACACATATACAGGTCAATGACACTTTTTCTTTAGAAAGTTAATATAAGCTTAGGGCTGCTTGGAAAGATGAAAAACATAAAAAATGGAAAGCAAGTAAAGGAAATGGAAAGCAATATATGAGATGTTTGATGTATATGGGTTAAACAAAATAACTAAAGCAGTCTTTATTCTATTTTGTGTTCTAGTCGTCTGTTTTCTGTAAAACTCTAACATGATTTGTATGGGCTACTTTGAAATTGTATACACTTGCGAAAAATAAAAAAGATAAATATGTAAAAAAAAGAAATTTGAACTTGAATGACCCTGTATTCTTGTCTCTTAGGCCAGTCTGGAGCTCTGCTGGGCCTGTGGGGAGTCAATCACAGACCATGTGATCCGAGCACTAGAGAGAGCGTACCATCCCTCCTGCTTCACCTGTGCAACTTGTAAACAGAAAATAGGAGAGCAACCTTTTGCTCAAGGAGAAGTTGGAGAAGTGTATTGTCTCCCAGACTATTACAGGTAAATCCATCACATAATCCATCAAATAAATCTTTTGTGAAATGTGAGTCAGAAAAATAATTTTATTTTTCTATATATAAAGACTATAAAGTAAGTGTCGGTTTACCTTAAAGCTTTGAAAGGTGCAATACAAAAAGAGTTGCCTTGTCTAATATTGTCTTTCCACTGATATGTTGTCCATAAAGGAAGTATGCTCCAAAGTGTAACGCCTGCAATCAGCTAATCATCCCAAAAGAAGATGGCACTGACAGCTATAATGTTGAGTGTCTGGGACACGCCTATCATGAGAAATGCTACAGATGTGAGGTAGGCATTAAGCGAGCAAACAGCTTAACCAACACAATGACATGTATGCAAACACTCTGACTTAATATTCATACTCACAATAATAAGTCTTTAATTCTGTATGCAGGTCTGTGTCATCCAGCTCTCTACTGAACCCAATGAGCACGGCTGCTATCCTCTAGAGGGGAAGATGCTCTGTAAAACGTGCCATCTGAACATGGTCTCAGGCCAGCACTAACGCAGACCCGCCATAAACTGCAACTAGGGGGGAAGTGCCATGAAAAGGACGGGAGACTGTGCATGTGCTCTGGAAAACAAACATTACACATCTTCTTTTGTGGAACAATAATGAAATATGCCTCTTTTTTTACACTATGTCATACTTTTTTAAGATCTTCCAATTTGACCTTTATACTTGATAATTTTGCACTCCAGTCTACAAAATATAGCCTAGCAGATTTATTTATGTAACATGAATGTACATAGAGCATTATTTGTTTTATCTTTTTACATCTCAATCAATATACTGTTTCTCAGTTTCTTTTAAAAATTCATTTAAAAAAAAGTTACCAAAAATACATTCAAATACATTATCTCTCGACAGGCTCCAGCTAGAACCCTCAGACTATGACCAAGTATAAAGATGTGGCAAAAACCAATACTTAAATCACAATGGTGTAACATGTAAAACCACAATCGAGTCATTCTTTCCTTTAAACTGCACAGACTTAATTAAGGTACGTCGCATGAATTCTGTGGATTGATGGACTGAATGTCATCATTCCTTAGGATTGTTCTATTCACTTACTCTGGTTAAGCAGACAAGAACAACCTTTAGACAACCAATCCAACTCAGCAACAAAATTGCAAAATAAATATGCTGCTCTTTTCTTACTAAGCCCCAGGAGCCTTTAAAGCAGAACAATGGTTTTTAAATATTCAAGTTCAAAATCTTCGTAGCTAAATTTGTAATGGTTGTATAGTGCAACAGAGGAAATGGAAATAAAACCTGAAAGTAATTAGGAATGACCAAAACAAATAGGTACTTTTGATGTGACTGTCATGACAACGGACCAAAGGTGCTTACTATTTTTAGCTCTTTAAAATAAAACAAATTCACATTGATTTGCCATTTCAACATTAAAGTCTAATTCAGATCACACCCAACATATTTTTTTTTATTCTAGAACTAAGGATTACATGTCTGTGGAACTATCTGTGTATCGGAAACATTTATTACTTTTTTTCTTTTTCTTCTTTTTTAATTTTTTATTTCTTTGATTGAACAAGGTTTGTACTTTTATGGTGTGTATTGCCTTTATTTTCATCTCGACTTTAAATTAAGACTGTTTAATTTGGGAAGAAGCAAAAAAGTTGAATTCATCTAAAATAAAAAATGACCTTGAAAGTTTACCATTAACCCTTTTGGATTTTTTCTGCCACCTGCAGCCTTACTTGATCCAGTAAGTCCACTGGCATTTGGTGACTTATGTTAACCACTGTCGCCTGTCTTGTCAATGTGTGTGTGTGTGTGTGTGTGTGTGTGTGTGTGTGTGTGTGTGTGTGTGTGGGGGGGGGGGTGTGTTAGTGTGTAGCATTTTGACATCTTCAGCAAGCCTACCAGACATAGCTTGAATATGTAAATTTTGGCTTCTGGAAATTTGTGATGCAATTTTCCCTACTATTCTGACATTATAGATCAGGGATGGGCAACTTTGGCCACAGCAAGGGCCACATTCGTTTAATTCTCACTGCCAGAGGGCCAAACTGTAGGATACAAAAACGATTAAAGACGATTATGTCTTAACAATATACCAGTGATCAACTATTATTAAGGACATATTTCTGGTTTTCATGATTTCATGGCAGATTTTGTCACGTTTTCCAATTAATCGATATGTAAAAAATGACCTGAGGGCCACTTTGAGGGTTGATGGCCTGCCCACCCCTGTTATAGGCTATTGTTTAAACAAATAATGAACACATTTTAAAATGGTAAAGAAGAAATACGTAGTAGCAGTTTTAAAATGTCATTTGTCACTAGTTTGCTTACGAAGACTAAAGCAACTTGTTTGAACGAGTCAGCATTTTTCCTTCACAGATATAACTTAAAACACAATGAACTAGTCTACTTCAACAGTGGGACTTGCACACCTCCAAAACACCATCACTGTAGCAGGAGGTCAAACTTTCGGGTTACAATTTTATGCTGTTCAAAAAATCACGTGTTCATCCCATCCGAGCACGCGCGGTAAACCGAACCCGCCGAGGCCGCGCAGCTCGCGCCCAAAACAACCAAGAGCGAGGCTCCCGCGCGTTCACGTGCACGGACCGAGGACGCAGCAGCTAAAAGCTAAACGGGCATCGAGCTACCAAGGCCCCGGTTATCCCCGGAACACACCGTCGTTCATTTTGTTGAAGCGGATCTCCGACCGGCAGGGATTAGAAACGCGCGAGATCATATGTGTGTTAAGGGGGGAAGAAAGGTGCAATATGGTTCGGGAAACCAGACACCTTTGGGTGGGAAATTTACCCGAACACGTTCGAGAGGAGAAGATTGTGGAGCATTTTAAAAGGTAGGTTACGCAAGAGCGAGCTCCGGTGGCGAAGCAGCGCGCGCTAGGTGCAGCAGCTGGGCAGCCTGCGACTAATGCTAACTCAGCTAACGTTAGCATGTTTTTAAGTTTTACAAAGTGACGGGGTTTCACATGTTTTGACTGTGCCTGGCTGTATCCCGACGATACTTAATAAACTGAGACATCGGAAGGACGACAACCTTTCGTGAAAATGTTTAGAATTTCTCATATTTGGGGAACTTTTTTTGCGATGCAAGAAGGCACGGGAGCTAGCTAGATTTGCTAGCCCAGAAGCTACCACCCAACAACCATTTTGTGGGAAGTCAAGACGTTTTCATAATCAGTACAAGGCAAAGGGCTGCTTATGTTGGCTAGACCCAAACTTTAAGTGCATTGGTTACACCAGCTGCTAACTTGTCTTTATTAATGCCAAACGGACACGTAACTTAATTTCTTTGTTCAGGAGTGTTGTCAGAGAAATATTCAGATGTAGAGACCGATCAGAGACCCCAGGACTGAACGACATCAAGTTGTTGAGCTTTCAGTCCACTCGGTTACTTTGTGTTGATGTTTTTAATTCTTTCATGTTGTTGCAAGTACATTTCAAGTTTTTTTTGTGTAGCTAGTATTCAAACACTTGATATAAAGCTCAATTATGTAATAATATCACATGCCTTTATCATTCCCACGTCAACATTAAATCACTCCAGTACTCATCTGCAACATCAAATTCAGTCACAATTGTTGGGTCTCCTAATAGATTCGTGTGACAGCTGTGGGTTGGGGGTTTTATGATTTGTATTGTTTTTAAACAGTAACACCTGTGATATCTAAGATGAATGTTTGGGACATTGGATGTTATTAGTTTTTGATTGCAGGCACGGCTTAAGATGCATCCTACAATTCAGATGGTCATTTGTTTGTGTGATAGACCAAAAGGAAACACAGGTGTAAACTTTGGCTCGTAACAACTGAAGTCATTGTTGTATCATTACATCTCTAGTCCTTATTTTTCTTACTCTTACATACGGAGATGGAGCTGCTCTTACCCAATTCTTAGCTGGTGTGTATGTAATTTCCTCCTTGTTTTTCATTGTTATTCTCACACAGGTATGGCCGTGTGGAAAGTGTTAAAGTCCTGCGGAAGCGAGGGTCAGAAGGTGGTGTTGCAGCCTTTGTGGATTTTGTGGATATCAAAAGCGCGCAAAAAGCTCACAATGCCGTTAACAAGATGGGGGATAGGGACCTCCGGACAGACTACAATGAACCTGGGTCAGTGCCTAGTGCTGTACGGGGCCTTGAAGACGGCTCCCCCTCAAGCAGTCGAGACGTTACAGGATTCTCTAGGGGAACAGTTGGTCCTGTGTTTGGCCCACCTGTGTCCCTTCACACCAGAGAAGGACGTTACGAACGAAGAATAGATGGGTAAGTGGACACGGCCTCCCCTGAAATCCAGGGAAATCTAAATATTGGATAGGTGTAAAACCCAAACAGATAGTGGGGCAATTCGTGAGGGATAGAACCCTTATGAGAGTTACACAAAGGTAATTAGGGATTCTTCCACTTTTCATCATAATTGACTCGCCTTTCCCACGGGATCTATGTAAATTACCTACACATTATCATTTGGTAAGATTACTGTTATTCAGGGTTTTACATGCGGTTTGGATCTAATATCTGCAAGGAGTATCGTGCTGAGTTATGGATTAATTATTTTTGTGGGGAACGACCTCGGGGAGCCTTTGGATTTAAAAAGAACAACAAAAAAACGTATTTTCCAAAATACAGGATGTAACTATATTTTTGTACGTGGTCTCGCTTGAAATTGGAGGTAAATGCGCATAACGAAGGATGTATTTTTTTTTTTTAAGAATCTCCTCAGGCAGTGTATCACCACTTTAAGGATTACCCATCTTGGGTTGTCTTTTTTTTGCTCTTGGCAGCAGTTAATGATTGGACTACTTTTACTGTTTTTTTTGTCTGTGGAATCGACTGGATTTAAGTTTTGCACAAGAGGATAACAGAACTTTATTTTATATACATCACAAAGAAGGACCAGTGTAGGCAATATATGTCCCAGACCATCTAATTTAGGATAAGATAAACAGTATGTCTTAAAAAATGACTACCCCAAACATGGAAGCTAGACCAAGAAGACTTTTCAAGAACAATGAGGATCTTATGAACCAGCAATATTTTTGGAGCTATTTATGTTTTGAATTGATGGCCATGAAGACCCTGAAAGACCACAAAGTTCGGATGTACCCCCTGGATGTACATAAAGCCGATTTGCAATATTGGATGTACGGATGTGAACCCTAGTATGGAAGCTGCTGTTCATTTGGATTACGCAAGTATGGATGTAGCTGTGGAAGACCTCAGTCAGGAAAAAAATGCACTTCATATTAAACATATTTTCCAGTGACAGCGGTGAAGATAACTTTTTTCAGAGTAACTTGAAATGTTGAAACAAACTGATGTAGCCTCTCAGTATGTACACCTGATGAAGATCCATAGATTGTGGAATTATCTCAGGAGCCACTGAGGATTTTATTTGCTTTGATCAATTTGTCTGCCAGTCAGCAAGCGTGTGCCATGCTCAACTATCAACCAGTGGAATACATCTTTGAACCTTTTTGGAAATGTTAAATGAATCCTTACTTTTGGAAAGTGCTACTTCCTCATACCACAAGACAAGACTGATCATATTGGATGTTTTTTCCCTTGATGCACCAACATACTACATAGTCAAATCTGGATTGTGCTCAATTACCCTGAAGTTGATCACCTTTTTTTTTTTTTTTTTTTTTAATCCATTTTTATTTGTAAAGGTCTTATGTTCGTATTTCCAACCACATGTCCCGAAATCCATTAAAGGTCCATCTTTGTGATTATTTTGTTTTTTCCTTTTTCCATCAAGTGAAGAGAATTAAGTAGCATTACTGTGGATTATACATCAACAATCCTTTGGCCCGGTGCTCCACTGTATTTGAAGAAAATGCGCAGTGTGATTCAAGAGAACCGTTTTTGCCTAATTAAATGAATTGATTTTTTCCCCCCTTGGTTTTTTATTCGGGCTCTCACATTCTGACCAACTAGATTTTATTTGGATTAGTTTTCCTAACTTCTTATTCCAAAAGGTTGGTATTTCTTTGCCCTCTGCATATTTCTTTCTCTAACCTGTTCCTTGTCTAATAAGATTTCCACTGTTTTTAGTGATAATATACATTTCCTGGAAGAAAAATAATATTTGTCTAAAATGCGCACATGAAATGTTTGTTACATAAAATTTATTTGTATGAGGGCCCAATTTTCCATTGATACAAAGTATAGTTTTTCGCAAAATACACAAATCTCATCTCTGCATGAGGATTTTAAATTCAGTACCACCACACTTTTGATATAGGAATTGTCCAGTTGAAAAGTTAAAGAACTAGTTAATTTAGATCTTTCCTTTTTCTTGCCAGCAGTAGATCATGAACAGTAAGTCTCTGAGCCCTTTGGTATCACATGGGGGGCTCTTTCAGTGTGCTTTTTGGACATTTAAGTACTTAAAAGAACAGCTTTTCAACATTGCTGAATTATTTTTTGTAAGACTACTTCAAAGTGGAACAAAGAAGGTTGTGACAATAAAAGTCATTGGTGGCCTCGTTTCATTTGACTGTTAATTTACAGTTTTCAATTCAAGTTTTGAAAATACAATTGTTTTAGACCTTTGCAGGGCCCAGAACTTCTCCATATTATCATCTAAAGACATTTTAAGCATTTTAAAGGTCGACCCAATATGTCTTGAAGATTTTAATTATTGGGTGTATTTGAGTGACAAATCTATGGCTATGGTCTCTGTTGCAAAACTAGAACCCCATAGCAGATGCCAGAGTTTTGTTATCCATGGTTCTAAATCCAAAATTGACAGCCTTCTGAATTTTTTACTAAGGCAAGAATTACAGGACACCTCTATTAAAAATACTAGTACTGCTCTCAATACCCCTTTTTAGTGAACTTGGACTGACCACACATTTTTTTTCTGCTAAGTCACCGTTTAATTTTCAGGATTATGCATTAAGATATCAAAATAGCTTTAGACTCAATAGATTTTTCTGAGAATCTTTGTAACCCTTTTTCTCCTTTCTTCCCTGTTCTTCTTTTGCAGCAGCTCAGAGAGCCGTGACCGTGCATATGAACACAGCCCTTACGGACACCACGACCGCAGTGGCACTTTTGACAGGCAGCGTCATTACAATGCTGATTATTATCGGGATCGTTCTATGTTTGCTGCTGCTGGCCCAGGAAGCAGTGCTATTGCTGGAAGCTTTGAGCCATCAGATCCACATTTTGACTCTAGAATAAGAGACCCCTTTACTCTAACTAACTCTACAAGACGTGACCTATACAGAGATGACAGAGGCCGACGTGTCGATAGAACCTACCATCATCGCCGTAGCCGATCATCTCATTCCTCACAGTCAAGGCACCCTTCCCCACAACGGATCACAGGACAAACCTCTAAAACTCCTCATTCCCCTAAAAGACCTCCTTTGTCCCCTGGTAGAGGCCCACAATCTCGATCCCACAGCAGGTCTTCAAGTTCGGACTCTGTCAGCAGCACCAGCAGCACAGGCAGTGGCAGGTGTGACATCTCTTTTATAAAGATATGACTTGTTCATGTTTCATAGGCTATTTTGGCTGGATAAAAATATTTTATCAGGGAACAATATTTAAGCAGCTTTAGAAAGAAGAAAACACTAATTAATACTGACAATTGTCTGTTTATACCTTTTGTTTCTGTGTGACGTTAGTGATTCAAACAGCAGTTCAAGTGATGGTTCTCGGGCACGATCAGTACAGTCGTCAGCTACACATGCCCCTCCCCAGTCTTCTATGGTGCTTGACTCAGAAGAGCCACGCAGAAGCTTTGGAATTAAAGTTCAAAACCTACCTGTGCGCTCTACAGGTGAGTTTATATATGTTTTAAAAGTTTATGTTTAATGTTGCCTGGACTGGGATATAAAGTGGAACATTTGTGTGCAGTCAAAGTTAAGTTGCTTAAGAAGTTCAGGTGACCATGTTCTAAAACTTGGTTTTGCGCTCTTTACTATGGATGTTAGAGCACAAAAAGGATATTTTACTGTAATTGAATGATCTTTGTGTTATGGACAAAAAGTGGTTTACAGACAAAAAACAAGGTTAATGTTAGAGACTCATCATCTGGTATATAACATTTTTAATTTACAATAGTGGTTATACAACTACATGCCACAAGTGTCCAAAAGTTGTTGTCAAACACTAAGACAGGGTATTCAACTAAATTGTACCTGTAAAGAACGTTGACCTGGTCAAAAACAATTATTTAATGAATCTCTTTTGGGGATGACATTGAAAACAATTTTTTTGTCCCTCTGCAGACACAAGTTTGAAAGATGGACTTTTCCATGAATTCAAGAAACATGGCAAAGTTACTTCAGTGCAGATCCATGGAGCGTCAGAAGACCGCTATGGTTTGGTGTTTTTTAGACAACAAGAGGATCAAGAGAAAGCCCTCAATGTTTCCAAAGGAAAGCTGTTCTTTGGCATGCTTATTGAAGTCACTGCTTGGAATGGTCCTGGTAAGTGATGACAAACATATTTATATAAATTGACATAAAAAAAGTTTGATACATCTGTACTTTGTTCTGCTCAATAATTTGAGTTTAACATTTAAGAAGAATGTTATAATATTAATGAGAACTTTCCCTTCCCTCAGAAACAGAGAGCGAAAATGAGTTCAGGCCTTTGGATGGGCGCATAGATGAGTTTCACCCAAAGGCCACAAGGACACTGTTCATAGGCAACCTTGAGAAGACCACCAGTTATCAACAACTACTAGATATTTTTCAACGCTTTGGAGAAATTGTGGTATGCAACTACTTGACTTGTTTGACATTTGATTTTTTTTAATGCAGTGTTTCTCACAAAAAGACATTAAGCGGGCAGGCTGCAGAGGTATATGTAATGCTGCTCAAGTGTATTTGCTGCTCATTCTTTTTTTTTATCCATATAACCGTGTATAACTACCTTTCGATAAACAGAGAGCAGGACATCTTTTGGTACGTTCCTCACGTAAATGAAGCAATTGAGGTGCACCGTCTATTGTTATAACCGAAGCTTCTGATGCCATTGTTATAATATTTTTACTGCTAGTTTAAGATGATCATTGCGATACGCATCATCATCAACAAGTCTCCACACACGCAGACAACTTGAGTGTATAAAATGTACTGTGGATGAATATTGTTAAGAGTTGAAAAAATTAAAATAAACCTACAGAACGAGGCAGGAAGGGACAAGCTGCTGTTTCTAAAGCCGGGCACATACTGTAAGATATTTGGCTGTCCCAGATGAAAGCTGATCAATGGGGGCAATATATGTGGTCATGGCTCCAAAAAGGTGGTCCTACATCTCACTGAGAGAGGATCAAATATGACCAATCTCCCAGTCTTGCGACCAAAGATAGACTGCAACAAATATCTGACAGTGTCAGAAGTTTAGGAAGATCATCTCACAATGTGAATGCTTCTACAAGCAACTACCAACCAATATAAATGCAGCATTAAACAAAGCACTAATCAGTTGGACCACATAGGCGCCAGACGCTGTCATAAAATTATGCTAACAATAATGTGACGTACAAATTTAGCCTCTATCCCCCCACGATGCTTTTTTCTATGCACATAAATGCCACTATGGCAAGAGCTTTCTTTCTGCTGATCACCATGGCAACCTCGGCTCGAACAGGTTGACACAGTGTGCTGACTTTTATCACAGCCTACAACTCACTAGGTTCCCTAATCACACAGTGGGGCTTGCAATAAACTTGTAAGATTGGGGGGGCTTAAGAGAGGAGAGGTGTAGGTGTGTGTTTGTAGATAAGAGAATGGAAGGGAAGTAAAATGAGCAGATTAAAGTTGTGTATGACACTTAAAAGTTTAGAGCATGAAGAGCAATAATAGAAAAACTTAATCCTAACCGTAAAAATGTATTTCAATACCCTACCAGGCACAGCGTTACTCTGTGGAAAACGCTAATGTTTGTGAACAATTTTTTTTTTTTTTTACCTCAAGGATATTGACATCAAGAAAGTAAATGGAGTCCCACAGTATGCCTTTGTGCAGTATTCTGATATTGCCAGTGTCTGCAAGGCCATTAAGAAGATGGATGGAGAGTATCTGGGGAGTAACAGACTAAAGGTAAGGTTTACAGTTGACAGTGCTAACATGTTTTAGATTATTCATTTAAAGCATCGTTTTTATATAATTTGAATGTTTTCCGTTTAGCTTGGATTTGGAAAGAGTATGCCCACAACATGTGTTTGGCTAGACGGGTTGGCAACCAGTATCACAGAACAATACCTCACACGGCATTTCTGCCGTTATGGACATGTAGTTAAGGTAAGGTAGTCTTTGTATAAGATGCAGCTTTAAATGTTGATGCTGTGTAATTTGCAAAATTTAAATGTGTTTTTTATCTCCTTTTTAAGGTTGTGTTTGATAGATTGAAAGGGATGGCCTTAATCCTGTACAACAACACAGACTTTGCTCAGGCAGCTGTAAGGGAGACCAAAGGTTGGAAGATTGGTGGCAATAAAATAAAGGTAAACAAACTATTAGTGATTTTATCTGTAAAAATAAATTTCTATATATACACTTAAGTATCCTAACACCATGTTTATATGTGAAAGGTGGATTTTGCAAGTCAAGAGAGTCAGATGGCATTCTACAGATCTATGCAGGCATCTGGTCAAGACATTAGAGACTTGTATGAAATCCCTACTGAACGCCGGTAAATTTCCAATTTTGTTAATTGCATTGATTTAAAAATGTACACAGCCTGTCAAAAATTTGTCAGTTAAACCTTTTATCTGCCATTGAATATTTATTTCAAAAGAAATTAACTCCAATCAATAAGTATAAAGTAAATTAATAATCTTAATCCAAGTTTCATTGTATAATACGTAAGAAGGTTACAGTGACGTAAGAAGGTTACAGTGACTGTGAAACTTAAAATATATATATTTTGTAAACTAGCAGAAATTATTAATATTCTCTTTCTATACTCTCAATTTCCTCTACAGAGAGGAACGCCGACCTCCATACCACGAGTTTACCGCAGAAAGAGCATACTATGAGAATATACGAACCCCTGGACTCTATCCAGAAGATGCTCGAAGAGAATATGCTGCTCGCAGCAGAGAAAGATTTCCTGATCTTGAACACTATCAGGGTGATCACTTTGACCCACGTTTTCATGAGGACCCAAGAGACTATAGGGACTACAGAGACCCCTTTGAGCAAGACATTCGAAAATATACTTATATTCAACGAGAGCGGGAACGAGAGCGAGAACGTTTTGAGGCTGACCGCAGCAGGTGGAGCCCTTCCCATCCAAGGCGACCCATCACACCTACAGTATCACCTTCACCATCTGAGCGTGCTCCAAGAGACCCAGAACGACGGGTTTACAGCCAGTCGTCTGAGCGAAGTGGTAGTGTGAGCTCAATGTCACCACCAAACTTTGACAAATCTGATAAGACCCTGCTGGACCATGCTTCAAAGAGTGAAAAGACTGAGAAGAGTAATCAAGCAGATCGCGTAGCCAGTGTTGAGAAAACCAAACGTACAAAACGAAAAGAGAAGGGAGATAAAGTGGAAAAGACTAAATCAAGAAAAGCGAAGGGGCAATCCCCGTCAAACCCATTACCCGAAAATGAGCCTGAGACCAGTTTTGATGGAGGTTCTGGAAGAGGAAGGTTATCTGACCCTGATGCTAACGAGAGGCAGAAATCTAAGGGCGACAGTGATAGTGGAAATTCTGCGTCAACTGCTCATCATGACTCTACAAAAAGTGAAAGATCTGAAATGAGTAAAGGTGAGAATTTTGAATTGGATGTAAAAAATCGACCTAAGAAACATCTGAAGTCTGATGATGGGAAAGATTCATCAGTGGATTCAGATCGTCTTGCTGCAAGAAAGAGGCGATTTGCAGATTCAAGTGGAAGGACTATTCGTCAGAAAAGAAGCAGGCATGAGGAAGAGGATGGTGTTCAATCCTCTGAATTTGGTGCTAGTGCCACATATTTGAAAGAGTCAGACACTGACAAACACAGAGATTCACAACGGAGAGATTCAAGACTCAAAGCTGAAAAAAGTGGCACACAGAAGGATGGTCAAGAGGATCAGAGGGAACAAAGAGAGAAATCAGAAGGACCTTTGGACCCTCTGGAGTCAAAACGTCATCCAGGGCACACATCCAGAAGGTTTTCTCATGAGGGAATTATAGACCAAAGCAGTGTGAGAGAGCAAGAGCACAATCCTGCTTTTAAATTTGGTACTCAGAAAGCTGAAACTGACAAAAGTGCTAAGACAAAGGAAGACCATGTTGACATTGATCTCTCTCAGAGTTACCGCAAGCAAATGGAACAAAATAGACGGCTGCACCAGCAGCAACAGCAACGGGAGTCTGACAAATCTGACAAACCAGGAAGTCCCCAAGGTAGTGAAACTGAGGACTTGGAGCATCGCAGTCTTGTGCATGAAGTTGGTAAACCACCTGAGGATGTCACAGATAATTTCCCGTCTCACAAACTTAAGAAACTAGACCAATTTGAAAGTGACTCTGGGACAAAGCGAGAACGTGTCTACAGGAGCTTCAGACAAAAAAGTGAAGATCCTGACTGGAACAACACTTCCTCTCCGGGACATCAGTATTTTCCTCAGCATGTGGATGAAGACTTTGTGGATCCTTCTCAAAAAGAGCTTAGTAGAAATGAAGAAAAACTTCACACTGATATGGAGTTGTTGGTCAAAAGGACACATAACACTCAGGTAAACAAGCCAAACATTCCTTTACTTAATATGGAAGAAGAGCAACAAAAAAGATGGGAAAGCAGAGTAAAACATGAATTGTTACCTGACCTTAATTTCTCCAGAAGTCTAGGTAAAAATATTCATAATCGTAAACGTTTGGAATACGGAATTTGGCATGACTTAGAACCTGGGGAAGTACGCTCTGACCCTGAGGAGGAAAGAGACATCAAAAACCAGTCTCCTCTGCCCTCAACATCTATGTCTTTTTCTGATAGGCAGAGAATTGACAGGTTTTCAGACCCCAAAGTAGCACATCTCGAAAGGAACAAATTCTACTCCTTTGCACTTGACCAAACCATCACGCCTGATACAAAGGCTCTGCTCGAACGCGCAAAATCTCTCTCATCTTCCAGAGAAGATAATTGGTCATTTTTGGATTATGATTCCCACTTCGCAAGTTTGCGAAACAGAAAAGATACTGAGAAGGTGGATTCAACACCAAGACCTACTCCCTCTTGGTACATGAAAAAGAAAAAGATTCGAAGTGGATCTGAAGATAAACTTGACGATAGGAAAGAGGAGCCTAAGCCAGAAGAACATGAACGCAGGGAACTTTTTGCCTCTCGCTTCCTTCACAGCCCAGTCTTTGAGCTTGATTCTAGACGACTTCAACACTTGGAACGTAAACATGAAGAACCCGAGCATACTCAAAACCCACAACTTGGTCAGCAAGGGGCGGTAGATGGTGAACTTGACTCCGGGCCAGTTGTCCTTTTCCATAGCCGTTTTTTGGAACTCACGCGTTTACAACAGAAGAATACAACTCCACAGCTTCAAGAGGCAAAAGGAGACACAACACTCACAGATGAGAAAATAGAAAAGGCATGTGTTCCAGAGCAACATGTTTTGCAGTCCCCTGAAACAACAGAGTCTACCATGGAGCCAGAAATTAAACCAATGAGTCCTGTTGAAGTGCAGATTTCTGAACCCAGACTCACACCTGCAACTGTCACACAATCTGTGGTCAAAGACTTTCCTCCAGCAGATCAGAAAAGTGATGTCTTAGCCCCTGAACCATTTCCCTCTCCATCTTTCACAAAAGATGAGGTAAAGGAAGAAGTAAAAGAAAATGAACCTGCTGTATCAATGCAGCATTCACCAACAGAGAAGTCCTCTGATTCAGAACCTGTACAAATAGCAGCACCTGAAACCAGCTATTCAGTGGACAGATGTCACCCTTCTCCTTCTGAGGAGAAATTGGATGTTGTAACAGAGGACGTAAAACCTTTTGGTCCAGAAAAACCTAGCAGGCAGGATTCTCATGATGAGTTTATTAGCAGTTCAGAAGCAGAGCAGGATCCTGAAACAACACAGCCTGAGATGCCAGAAGCCATTAGTCCCATGCCAACTAGTTTTCCAGAGGAATTGGACATTTCCAAGAAGGAGACCCTCCCCACTTTTAAAGCAACAACAGAATCAGAGGGAGAGAAGAAACTTCAAGTTAGTAAAGTGCAGATTCCAATTGATGACACATACGATGAGCCAATGTTGCTACAAAATGAGCATAAAACAAAAGAAGTTAAAACTAAAAAGTGCAAGCAATCCCCTGCTCGAGTGTCACCTGTTCCTGTCATTTCTACCCCAGAGAAGCAAGCAACACGTAAGAGTGAGCGAATTGACAAAGAGAAGCTGAAACGTGGGTCATCTCCAAGAGCTGAAACGAAGTCCACAGCCAAATCTCCTATTCATAGCTCCGACCCTGATATATTGGAGCCAAGCATATCACTTGGTAGAGCAAGACGACGAAATGTTAAATCAGTGTATGCTACCCCAGTTGAAGATGAAACACCAGTTCGTTCTGGCAAGGATATGCCAGAGTTACCTCGTTCTGCACGAAAGCGAGGTCCAGACAAAGATGTGACACAACAACAGATTACTGAACAGGACCAACCTACTCCAACCCCTGTAACAAAGAGAGGCCGTCCTCCAAAGAATCGCAGACAAGGTGATGAGATCTCAACAGTTAAAATAGAAAAATCTAAAATGGACAACAAAGACACAGATTCAAATGAATCAGAAAGCGGGGAAAGAATTCCCAAGGTATCAAGAGGGAAAACATCCCTGTATGGCACAAAGGGTCAATTGAATCAGATGTCCACAGTTCAAGGTTCTGGTTCGGCAAGGAAGGGTGAAAAAAATGAGGTGGCTGAGGATGATGAACATGAAATGGATTTAACTGATGATGATTCCTTGGCCTTGCAAGACTCATCAAGTTTATCTAAAGAAGATCCAACATCTCCAATTGACCAAAAGAAAGAGGACAAAGACAAACAAGGAAGAGAATTTAGCAGAGATAAAGATGTTCTTAATGAAAAGGTTAGTGGGGGCAAATCAAATGGGAAAGAGACAGATTCCCGAGTCTTGGAAGAAAAACCTATCTTGGAAAAAGACAAGATAGTTAGAGGAAAGACGAAGTTGACAAGGACTCCGAAGTCTCCTGTGTTAAAGAACCTCAAAATCAGGCTTAATGTCACAGAGGTGAAAGATCTCCTTCAGTTGGGTGATGATGAGCATGGTAATCAAGATGATTCCTTGAAAAAGGTAAGACCTACTGAACAAAGTGATCATGCATCAAACAGTACCAATGCCAATGAAGGAGATTCTCACAGTGAAGAAAAAGTAAATACCACCTTGGAACTAACGGAGCCGATCGAAACTGCAAAAAGCTTTATTTTACAGGAGCGTGAACTGGAGCAGGCTGTGGAGAACATAGCTAAACTCACAGATCCAGCATTCCCAACCGAACTCCCAACACAACCCGTTCCACCTTCAGAAGTAAAAAATGACCCTGAGGAAGAAAAGCCCTCTTATCCTGCTAGTGAGACAGAGCTCATGGCTGCTATTGATTCAATTACTGCTGAGGAATCAACTGTATCCGTAACCCAAGCGCCTCCACCAAGTGCAGATATAGGTTCAGAACCTGAGATCCAAGACTTAAGTCAGCCTGTAATGGATGAAAAACCTGAGACTAAACTCTCTATACAAGAAGAGCCTGTTCTCCCAACTACACCCAAAAGGGGCACCAAGGGAAGGCCTAAAACACCTAAACGTGCTAAAAGCCAAAAGCAAGTAAAAAAAGATTTTAAGGAAGGACTTTCAAAAAGTGAGGAATTTTCAATGCCTTTAGAAGATAAAACAGCTGTTAGTGTAAAGATTGTTCCTGAAACAACTCCATCATCAGCAACTGCCACCGTTATTACTCCTACTACCTGGAAGCCAGAGTCTGAGCCTTCACCTGTCAAGACTACACATGCAGATTCAGAGCCATCTTGTGACGATCAGAATCCAGATCTTAAATCTCCTAACCCCCAGTCCAAGAGTCCAGTATGCCTAAAGCCTCCACAGGTGCCAACAGAGTGCATCACCCCTTCCTTGTCTCCACTAGCTAACAGGCCAAATATCAGACCCATTCAAACGAGTAGAATTCCCGTTTCTCCCCCAGACTGGCGCCACCAGTCTAAAGAAACAGGACTCTCCTCCTCACCTGTCATACCATTGGCATCCAAGGAAAACCGGCCTTTACTGTTAGACTCTGAAAACATTGATATTGTTCTTGGTTCAAGTGACTTGAGACAAATTCTTATGAAACACAAAAACATTTCCCTTGCAAGCAGTGGTCCTATTCCAAGTAATCTGCCTACCCTACAAGACCAGAACCTCTCTGAAAGTAATACTCCAACTGTTGTGCCAAATAAGCCGTTACTACCGGATAGTAGAATGCCAATCCATCCAGCTTCACCAATTGTTCGACCTCCAGCTTCGCTACCATCTCCTGAGACAAAATCTGTAATCTCTGTTATCGCCTCTACTGCAACCTCTGTTATCAGCCGGGTTTGCAACCCTCCTGAGACCGAGGACAAATTAAACATGAACATTGGGAATCCCTGTGTTGATATGGCTTTACCCAAACAAACTTACAGGCCTAGCAAAGATGAAATTGGATCATACCATGTTAGTGATGAGGGGGGAAGCACTGGACGTTTCATTGTGGAGAGCCCCAGTCTTGGAACAGGATCTTGCCCAGGTCTGAGAGTAAATACATCTGAAGGAGTGGTAGTATTGAGCCACTCAGGCCAGAAAACAGAAGGACCCCAGAGGATCAGTGCAAAAATAAGTCAGATTCCACCAGCATCAGCAGGTGACATGGAATCTCAACAGTTGGTATCCATGCCCCAGATAAAACAGGAACTGTATGGCCACTCAGGACTTCAAAAGGGACCTTCATCGCAGGGAGATCATGGACATCTTGGAAAGACTCAGTCAGCCTTATCTTCCATTAAACAAGAAAGCACTGTTTTGGAAAAGATGGAATCTACTTACCAACCTGGACCTCAAGGAGTAGTAAAGCGTCTCTCACAGGGAAATCAACAAGTAATGAGTTACCATCAAGAGTACATGCCAATGAAACATCCAAAGAAAATGGACACTGCTGAACATCTCGGTACCGATGGGACTAAACCACCTTGGACTTCTGCTATAAGTCCTGCTTTAAGTCCCCATTTGCCGTCACCACCTGGTAACCATGTAGGATTTGTCACAGCTGCTGGTGAAAGAGCTCCTTCACACATCAGTGGAGTCAAACAAGAACCACGATCACCTCGCAAGTCCAGCCACCCACACTCACAGTTTACTAAAGTATCCTCACCCATTGGCGCCTCATCACCAAAAGGCATACCAGTGATGTTATCGACTGGTCTTCCTGCTATGCAACAGTTTATTACCGGTGTTCATCATCCAGAACAATCTGTAATTATGCCACCTCACAGTGTGCCTGGTGGTTTGGGACGGATGTCTCCTCACCGTGTTTCACAGTCAATCCCAGTAGGGCATCTTGTCCAAGGAGATGTACGTGTCAATACTCCACCACTTTCTGTGATGAGCTATGGGATGCATAGTGAGACACTTGCCTCTCCCTGGTCTGGCTCTATGCAGCAAAGACCCACATCACCCCAGGCTGTAGGCAGAGACAAGGTACTCAAGATGAACCCTGCTTCTTTGCGGGGTCATGATGGCGAACAGGAAGAACCCAGACGCTTCCACCAGGCTCCTGGGAGACAACCTGGCACACAACTCAAACCAGAGACATTGCAATCAGATCCTCGTGGACCTCTGCGTGGTAGTGTCCAGTTAGAGACTTACATGGCACAAAGGGATATGCGTGTGCTCTTGCATCAACAGGGAGAGCGCCTGGCCACGGATTCACATTCTGGACATATTCAAGAGACTCTTCCTCCCTCTACTGCACCTTCCAGCCTACCTTTATCCTTGTCTCCAAGGGCACATGTTTTATCTAAAGGTGTATCTGAAAAAGATATAACAAAGCCTTTGGAGGCAAAGAGGCCACAATCTCCTCTTGCAAAAGATGGAATGATGGGAATCCGACAATCAGGGCAAGCAATTGCATCTCCCCAGAGAGTTCAGCTAATAACACCAGGACCTAGTGGTGCATTCCCAGAGTACTCATCAATGTACTCAAATCCAAGAGGCATCCATTCTCAAATACCAGAGACGTCTCCTGCTGGAATGAACCAGCCACCATTGAGCGTCACACCAACCTTGGTGAGTTCTCTTCACTCAACTATCTGTTTTTGTCAAATACACTTTATTTAATATAATATAATCTGAAACAACAGTCCTGCATTCATTCTCATATGTTATGTTTAGTTATTATTGAAACTGCTCTAGAGAGGTATTCATTTAACATTATGATCATTTTAAAACAGGTGGTTTTTCATACTATTTTGCATTAACCTTAGATGTTTTTACCTTTTTAGTCTAAGATGAACCCTATTTAAAAATAAAAAAGGAAAACCATGAGCTGGTCAATTGGGTGTGATTGCTAACCTGGGTTGTTATCCTCATCTTACAGAACCTGTTCATGACACATTGTACTATTCTCCTAAATCCTTAGGGCGCAGACCTCCAGGCCAAACCAGATGGCAAGATGACCCAGCCAGTTAATATGGTGCAGTTGCTCACGGTAATAAATAAGTTATTACAAACATTTGTTTTCAGGAGTTTATTCCAGAACGAGAGTTGGCCCTGTATGACATTACATAATGACTTAATTTTTTGTGTCTTATTAAACCAGAAATACCCTATTGTGTGGCAAGGCCTGCTGGCACTGAAGAATGACCATGCTGCAGTCCAGCTGCATTTTGTCTGTGGCAACAAAGCTTTGGCTCATCGATCCCTTCCCCTGCAAGAAGGAGGCGCATTGCTCAGGATTGTCCAGAGAATGAGACTAGAGGCTTCACAACTGGAGAGTGTAGCCCGAAGAATGACTGTATGTATCTTTTGCCCTGTCTCACATAGTCAAGTTTTTCTCTTAATCTAAATCAAATCTGCTCATAAAATATCCTTTTGCTGCCTATAGGGGGACAGTGATTTCTGTCTTCTCCTTGCTCTGCCATGTGGCCGAGATCAAGATGATGTCCTGAACCAAACTCAAGCTTTAAAGGCAGCTTTCATCAACTACTTGCAGGCAAAATTAGCTGCTGGTATCATCAACATACCCAACCCTGGTTCCAATCAGGTGAGACATGATTGTTGTATGTAAATGTTTTTTTGTCTCTGTTATCAGGTTTTTTTGTTGTTTTTTTTTTAACCGATTAATTCTGCTTAATCTAACAGCCATCTGGGATCAAATCTGTAGGTTCTCTGTTGCATCAAATGTTGAATTTCAGATTATCTTTGTTTTTCCCCCAGCCTGCCTATGTGCTCCAGATTTTCCCACCATGTGAATTTTCAGAGAGCCACTTATCCCAGCTCGCCCCCGACCTTCTGAACAGGATCTCCAGCATCTCACCACACCTCATGATTGTCATCACCTCTGTGTAACCTTCACTGCTGGGAGCTGTTCCTTTTAATGGATGTTCTCACCTATGAGCCTCAGGAAACCAGAGGAATATGAGAACTTCTTTTTTCCTGGACACAAACTGAAATGCGTAGGATGTACCCGATCCAACACTTGCTTGTTTCCATCAGTCTTTTTTCTTTTGTCTGGTGTTTTTGTCCTTCTCGAAAGAACTCAGGGATGGACCAAACCAGAATCCAGTCTTATTTGACCATTTCTCTGCTGTATTTCTATTTATTGGAGTTTATTTTTAATGTTCGGAGAAGCTCTGAAGAAAAAAAACAGGATATTTGATGAACAAGATTGAGTGACTTTCCGGGTGGCCTTTTTTTTTTTTCCATTAGTCTTTTATTGATTGTCATATTCATTTCTTCTTCTCTTCAAGAGAAGTTCATTGAAGCTGTTGTGTCACAGTGGCTGAAAGACATTTCAACCTGTAATTTTAAATAATTATTTACAGACTTCCTCACCCAGGCTTTCTTTAGAGGAGGGAGAATTAACTTGTGAAACCATGGAGACTCTGTAGAGGACCACGTACGCTTAACAACTCTTTATTTCCACCAGCTCTGCTCGTTTTCTCACTACTGAAGCAGTTACATCTTTGGCCACCTGCCTTTACATTGAACAAGCTACATTACATTTGGGAATTTTTGGATACAGGACTTTGTAAATATTTTAAATATTTAAATTTTGACTATGGAGCTTGGACATCTTGACACAGACTTGAACTCTGGGACATACCAGTGTGCAGAATGCGAAACTTCAATGGATAGCCTTGATTTTTGGGTGTAAATACTTGTCACATGAAGGTTGGCAAACTCCTGTGCAGTCTGCTGATGGCACTTGATATTTTGTAACTCAAATAAAACAAACTCCAGAAAACTTGAATATAGAAGATATAATCCTTTATTTTATATGTTGTGTTGTTTGTTTTTTTTAAGAATCTTGGTTGGCCAAGTGCAAGTGGTTATTGGTACAGCACTTGGACAGTATTATTGAATCATCAGTCCATGCCTGACCAGCTGAGTAAAATAAACTCAAATGAATTTGTATTTGAAATGTATTATTAAAGAAAAGCCCAGAATACCTTTGCTCCATCCTTAGCTTGTATTTGGTTTGGCAGCTCCAGGTGGCATTATCGGCCACCATAAATCAGTTAGCCAAATTATATTGTTAGCAATGGGGGCAAACAAGACCAACCAACAAAATATAAAACAGAAAAGGCTGTATGTTCTGTTTACATCAAAGGGAAGAATCATGTTGTATGCACTGCTACTATGTTAAACTAAAATACTACTTTGTTATAAAATTCCATATCTAGTGTTTTAAATCTACACTGGAACCAAAGAGTGCCACCAGCTGGTCTTCATACTGGGAAATATTCCTCTTCATGATGTCCATACAGGGTCCCAGCAAACGTTCAAAGGCCTGGATGTCAATTACTGAAAGAAATGGGAGAATATAATGATTGTTTTAGTTTTCCATCCAAGTTTGCAATTAGCAAAGCATAGAATGGTGCATAACTATTTTTTTAATGACCGCAAATTTTGTTATATGGGGGTTGTACCACTAAGCACGATCAGAGGGTAAGTCTGGTCTGTTGAGCCTGAAGTGTCCCATGTCACGAAGCTGGCTTTCTTTTAACCTGGCTGGATCACTGTGGTAACTTCCTCTAGACTCCAAACGTGGTGAGGACCAGGTGCTAAGAGTTACAGCCTAAAATGAGCTGCAAAGTGTTGTATTATTATCTGGAAATGTTCTCCATGAGAAATATATATCTATGATGTGTGTTGAAATTGCTTTGCAGTGTACCCCTATGATGGTCTGCTTCAAAGTAGGCACATAAGGTGTTTCCTACTATAAAAACTTGATGAGGCAAATCAATGTAGTGTTAAATGGGAGGTAAAGAGAAAAAAAAAACTTTTTTTAACTAGTGGATACTTTTCTAAACTAAGGACCCATTTGCCTCCACTAAAATCATTGTAATCTTTTGGAGACTGTAAAACTGTAGTCCTTGATGTCTGAAATCAAATAAATGATCAGGTCTCTTAAGCCCACAGATGAGAGTAAGAAAACCTAAGTCAAGACCTCCCTGTTCAGATGCATTTCAGTGCCTGCCTTTTTCTGTGTTGGTTCCTTATTGAATGTAAGAAAAGATTTAAGAATTATGGATCATGTTGCTCCTATAGATCATTTTAGCAAAATGTTCAAGTTGTCTGCTTTCTCTACCTAATCCCATGTGTTCTCAGGTAGACATCAAGGGGCTGTGTGGACCACTGGAAAGAATCTAAACACTGTTTAAATCCCACATGTTCCTCAGTTGGTGCCATTAAAAAAGTTCCCAACATCACATGCCTACTCGGATCTAAAAAGGACAGATCCATGAACTAATGCTTTTTAGTCAAATTCTATCTTGTAATCAGTATAATAATGTCAGTCCTCTCTGTTAATGTCCTTTATTAGTTATTATGTGCCCTCTGCAGACATACTACCTCATTCTTGGCTGGGATGTGGAAACTTCCATGGATCAACACTACAGCTCACTACAGTACTTATAGTATTTAACAGGCTTTTTATTATCTGTTAACCAGTCATTTTTATCCATGCAGTAATGGCAATAGTTCCAATATTATTACATTTAAGCAGAAGAACTGAATAGTCTTATATTTCACTTGACATACAGGAAATAAATTATGCGATTCTTTAGAGGAAACAATGTTAGAGTTTCCTGGAATTGTGCTGCTGTGCATGAGACTGGAAACAATCTCTTTGCTGTGAGGGCCACAGCCATACCGTATAATAAAGTAAAAGAAAAGGAGCCTTTGGATACTATACTGCAACTGATACTACACTGCTGACCTTTTGACCCTATCGCAATACTGTAACTACAAAATGAGTTAGCTGTTTGTGTTGGTTCAACAGTAGAAGGCTAAAAAAAAGAGCAAAAATTACAGTTATGATACTATGAAACAGTGAGAGATAAACTCTGGTGTCTGCAACATACCTAAACATTTGGTTTCTCCAACAGCATAAACTGATGCTGCTCGAGGTTTGTTGGTGACCAGCGCCAGCTCCCCGAAATATTGTCCCCGAGAGCAACGAGCCACCTCCACCTCAGAGTTATCCAGCTGGCCTGCCTTTGTCTGTAACCCAAACACAGAGGAACCTGTGAGTCCTGCAGTAATTAGCTACATTAATATCATGAACTACATTAAAATACTAAAATATTGTTTATGCAAAATGAAAAACAAAACAAATACAGAGCAAAGTGAATTCACAAAGGAAGCTTAGGTCACAGTCATTTACAGTACTACATGATCAATAGAAATAACATACAAACTACAACATTAGGTCTAGCTAACAGCAAAAGGTAGCCATCATAATTCACAGATACAACCCTGAGAATAATGCACACTACTTACTTTGCTTTTTATCATGATCTTAACCTCTCCCGATTCAACAATGTAAAAACAGTCAGCCTCGTCCCCCTGCAAATACAGGAAACAGCACAATTTCCAATTTTATTAAGTGTAACATGTTCATTTTTAAATACAAAATCAGCCAGAGATACATCAACAAATATCCCAAAACTTTACTTGTCTTATTAGGCATTCTCCGTCTTTGAACACTCGAGCTCCCAAGACATCTACAATCTTCATCCTCTCAGAGAGCTGGTGAAATGAACACACGACATGGTGACAGAAACAAAATATTACTGAGCTTTACGCTGACACTGATTGTCAACTTATGATATGGTCATTTAGTTTGATAAGAGTTTGTGCTTTAAATACAAACCTCCAGAGACTTCAGAAGAGGAACACACTCAATGAAGGCCTCGTACATCCTCCTCTTCTTTGCATTATTTCTAACAATGAGTCTGTGAAATGTGGCTCGATCCTGAAAGATTAAAAGACCTTTGTGTTATATCTTAGCTTGTTATGTTATTTTGATTGACTTTCAGTGGACGAGCAGATTTGAAAAAACAAAACAAAAAAACTCCTCTTCAGTTTCTCTTGTATCTCTCACGTGTAATAACACAACATGCTGGTGGCATGCTGCCTGGTATTAGCTCAACACTTTGTACACTCCCTTAGAAGCAGTGTGCTGCAGTGAGCAAAATGCTCTTTAACACTCACCAACCCCCACAGAGCGCCCTCCTGTGTTGCAACAATGGTAGCCGCTCTTGGTGTGTTGTACATGAGAGCCAGCTCGCCGAAACTCCCTTTATTGTCATATTTTCCTACACACACATTCGCTCCATCCTTCTCCACGAAAATGTCATACACACCCCTGGAAAGAAGACGAGACACAGACAAGAAGATAGAAGTCTTTAGGGTAAAGTCATTTGGTTATAAAACAAAATAAACAAAATCATTTCCTTCTCTCACTTCTCAATGACGTAGAAATTGTCTCCATCCTCTCCCTGGTCGATTATGTGTTCCTGAGGTTTGACCAACACCTCGAACATGCCGTCCAACACCTCTGAGAACTGCTCCTAAACCACAGTAAACCAGGAAAGCCTTTACAGCAGGACTATTCAAAGTGATTAAGATCCAAACTAATAGTCATTTAAAAAATATTTAGTTAAAACAAAATGTGATATTAAAAAATGAATAAAAAAAGGATGTGAACCACGGCTTTATCCTTAGAGGATATGTGGAGCATAAAAATTCAATATTGCTTTTGTCTGTGTTGTAGTTTGGGTGCATTAAGCAGCTAATCTAATCAGATATATAGGCTAACTTCAGTGCTTTCATTAACTCTAGTTTTTAAAGACAAAGTAAGCCAGTCCAACAATAAAAGAAGTGATGAGTTTTAATTTGTTGATTTGATGGTCTCATCAAGAACTCTGCAGAAGCTAATCTGTGCAGCTTTACCGGCTCAAGTGTTTTAAACAGTAAAATGTCTTTGCAGGCGTCCTGGAGTCTGCGGCGCTGCTCGTCTGTTTTGGGATGCACAACCCGAGGCTCTGAGTCGTCGTCCTCGTCATCATCGGGGTTATACGCCTCTGCACAGACTGCAGCAGAACAGACAAGTTATAACACTGCAGAATGTACCGTTGATATCCTATGGGTTACGCATGATGTTCCAGTTACTGACCTGAAACTCTGCGGTTGTATTTACTTGCTATAGATTCTGCGGGAAGAGAAACAAATATATTTTTAAGATTGATAGTCTGATCATTGTTGATTATTTGCTTTGTATGCACAGCTTGCAAATTCTGGTTTGTACACAGTTCCTCCGTTTTCTTTAGTTGCTGTTGAGCATGTAAGGTAACAGTTTTTAAGGTTGTATCTTATATTACGAGCAAAAATAAATAAATCACAAAGTAACATAATAATACTCACTAACAGTCTCTTCCTCCTCCTCATCTTCCTTATTTGACTTTGGTTCAAAGGTCACTCCTTTCCGTGAGGATTTGAAGCTGCGTTTTTTCTGGCCCTTTTGGTCATTTTTTTGGCCCTCCAGAATCGTTGTAAAATGCTGCACCGCAAATTCAACCAAGTTAAGAGGCCTGCGACGAAGCACCTCCACCGTGTATCCCTGCAGCAGCTCCCTCAAACCAGCCGGTATCTCCACAGTACTCATCGTAAGGGTTCAGAGGTCACTGACTGGATTCTGATGGTAAACTAAAAAAATACTAATCTAAGTTTCAAATATTTGGATTTAATATACGTGGATCTGTCTGAACTGTCATCACAGGAACTATCTGACTCCCCCCTCTTGTCTCACTAACAGTCAGCAGTGTATTGATTTCTGTATTTAGCACGGCCTGTTGGAAAGTATTGATCAGGACTTTTCACATCACATGTAATTAGAGGCTGTCTGATGGATTATATGTCAGCACTTTGGCAGAGAGAAACAGAGAGAGAGAGAGAGCTTTGAATAGCTGCAAAATCAAATAAATATGTCTAAAAGATACAAAAAAAATGCTCATGAGACTTTTTAATACAGGAACATGATCATAAATTCATACTATGAAACCATCTAAAAACACTTGTGAACAAAAACCTCAGCAGTTTGAGAGATTTTTGGAGCTTTTTATGCCTTTATTAGAGACCAGAAGAGAGAGTAGAGAAGGACATTCGGCAAAGAAGCCACAGGTCGGATTCAAACCCAAGCTGCCCGCTTTGAGGACTGTACCCTTTGTACATGGGGCATGCAAACTAACCACTAGGCCGTTATATTTTAATGTTTTAAGAGGACATATTATACCCATTTTCCACCTTTTCAGACAGTCTCCTGTGGTCTAAATGAAACATCTGTGCTGTGCTTTGGTCAAAATACAACATGAATCAAGCACCAGAGGTTTGTGACCCTGTATAAACCAGCTCTCTCAGAATGCTTCATTTTTGGTGCGTGTCTAAGTTTTCCCGGTAGACATCACTCCTCTGTAGCGAGAATTAAAATGGCAGACCTGCGCAACAGTTTTGTTCTAGGCTGGAGGTGGAGTCCATGGGTGGAGATATCAGGGGAGGGGAGGGTATTTAAAAAAAAAAAAAAGTTTTAACCAGAATCCAACTTGTGACATCACAAGTTGAGCAAATTTGAAACAGAGCATTTTTCTCTGTGTTGTAAGACTTATGCAGAACACAAACAAAGGACTGGATGGGTTTATTTCACATTTTGTGGGTCGGGTGACGCTCAGGTTACCCAAATATGTTCAAAAACACTGTCAAAGTGGATTTTTCACCACATGTCCCCTTTAATGTTTCAGGTAGTAGGTCCCCAGAAAAAAGTGTCTTAAACCAGTAGACCTTATTGTAATGATAATTGTTTTATCTTTATTGTGGACATACTTTTTTTGTGTTGATTTTAATTACAAATGTTAGTTTCTAAACTTGTGTGCTATTACATTTATATTCTTATAACCTTACTGTCATGGTCTATAAAACATAACTATTATTATGCAGTGTTGTTATTTTTTAATGAAGTTCAGTTTATGTTCTATTACGTAGATTCATTTTGTACTATTTATATACTATAAAATCCCCAAAGTAATACAAATGAAATGAAAGTTTAAAAAAATAGTACAGTCGATTTTGTAAATATGGATTCTTCTTTTAATTCTATACATGTTGATAATCACATACTGTTCAATGTCATAGTGACTGCTCTCATAATTTCACATTAAAACAAACAGAGGGTGTAGTTATTAGAGTTGGTCACTAGGTGGAGTGTGACCTCACAGACGGCTCTAAAGGCGTGTATTGCTGACACTCTGAACACACAGCACAAATAAAATGCACCTTTTTCGGATATGTCCACCTGCTTGCAGATAACATATGGTAAGGCACGACATGTTCATTGCACTCCTTGTCTATTATACAAACAATAAAAGATTTTAAAACAAAAAGATCAAAAAACTATTCAACCAAAAAAGGAGCGCGAACATTCGACTGTGTTTGAGTGTGTTGTAAGCTTGTGCATGTACTGGCACAGGTGCAGTCAGGTCTGAAAGATCCACACGCTTAACAGAACCACACGCTCCAAAAGACAATCAAGTACTGGTACATTGTTGTTGGAAAAGAAACTCTTGGTATTATTGTGTGTGTCCCTGGTTTCACATACGAGGCGATATGTAGCCTTCATCACAGGTCTGGTGCTAACCAGTTCAGGAACTTCATTGCGAACTCGAATCCTAAGAAGCAAGCCTGAAAGACAGAAGATGCAAAAAAACACAACTGTTCAGTATTTTAGTGACAGAATTAATAATGTTTAGTTTTTCTGTGACAGTCATAGTATATGATCTTATTGCAGCTGAGTAAAAAAACTGTACTATGCCCTTATCAACCTGATTTTTTATGTATAAACTTTTTGTTGTTGTTGAGAAACATTATTGTAAAGAAACTTCAGGATTAATCTGCCCATTAGAAGTTAAACATCTAAATGTTTACATCTACATTTTTACAAAAAAAAGACAATTTCCTGTTCTGAATGTGATCTTTATTATTTTGTTCATCTGTGCTAATTACTACTAAATGAGTTAAAAAGGGCCGGGCTGGGGAAAGGATGGATTGCAGTTGATTTTCTTTCACTTTATAATAAAGTGTGCGTGACTCTTGATAAGAATGGTAGGTACAAGTTTAAAATATTGGATATCATGACCATACTGTAAAAAACCTACTGATGCACATCTGTAGCAGCTGTAACACACTGATGACATCACAGAGCAGCACCTTTACTGGTTGGAAATATGAAACCCAATTTAGTTTCTTCCCCATTTCAAAGTCTACTTTTTAAAATTCCTCTTATAGGAAGAAAGGAAAATATTTTTGTATATTGAGGGGCTAAAATCTAAACTGTGTTTGTGAATAAATGTATTGTATTTGTATTTTGTGGTATTTAAAAACATCAAGACTACTGGCCAATGAGTTATTGGAGTACACCTTGGTACATTTAAGTTTACAAGGATCTTCCAAACAACTGCAACTAATCCCCTGAGTAAGTTTTAGGAGGACAGTGTATTATCCACAAGCTGTCTAAATGTGTAATCCAGCTCCTAAGAGCCCTGCACTGTGTTGAAAATAAGCAAAGTGCACTCACTGCATTGGCAGGGAAAGCTCGAAGCATGACAGCATTGAAGCCTTTATACAGAGAACCCACGCCTTCCTCCCTGACCAGCTCCCGCAGAACGTCCCGGAAACCGTTAGGATATTTCCCCTCAGGAGCTGAGAAGGAGACACATCAAAAAACTTCTTATAAAGGCAGAGCAGCTTGAAAAACGAAAAGAAAAAAGTATGCTTAGAAATTTGGAACAAAGTCAAGGAATTAAATAAAGTGAAGAAGAAGAAATAAAAAAATAACTAATCTTAAGTAAGGTTTGCTCTGAAACAGCTCACAACAAAAAAACAATAAAGAAAATCCAAAAACTGAATCAAACTATCAGAATAAATTCAGAATTATCTGCGTTCTATTGACACATGTAACGGTCAGCACAGGAAAGGTTTTTGTAAATGACATCAGTAATAACATTATAAATGAACGAAGTTATAAATAATAGTATTTTATCCTCAACAAAAGTTGGGACATTCAAAGACAAACCTGTCTGGAAACGAGACTTGAGCACGTCGGCTGGAATGGCGACCGCCCAGTTAAAGATCCCGGCCATGCCTCCTGCAAACAGCACGCTGGGAACACTGAGCTCGTTGTGGCTGCAGGGAATAGACAACAGGTTCAACTACTCAACGACTGATAACTCTCAACTGTACAACTGAGGGACATAAATACTGTGAGGAAAAGACAAATATTGACCTTTTTCCTGGAGGTGTGAGGAGGTTCTTCAACCACTCGTATGACGTGAAGTACATCCCACTGGCAGGGACATCTGACATACAAAACCAAATAAGAGATAAAAGGTACATTCAAGTGGTCAGTCACTAAATAAATACATCTGAATTTACCTCAGCACAATGTTTAAGTTCGTTCACGTGGTCTTTTCATTCACAGACATTATTACAGAAACAACTTACATGAAAGAAGACAAACTAAGGGAAACAATTGTGCAAAGGAAAATGTGCAACACCATTTCCAGAAAAGATTGGGACCTTTTGTAAAATGTAAATCAAAACAAAATGTGATGATTTCTATGACATTTAAACTGTCACTGACATTTCAATTGAATTAAAAATAGCTAAAATACCACATATCAAATGTTGAAAGTGAAAAATGTCTCTAGCTTTGGAAAATAAGATGCCCATTTTGAATTTGATTACAGCAACAGGTTTTGAAAAAAGACAGCGTTAACAAAAGAATGTTAAGGTTTTGAAGTGCTAAACCTTCATTGTCAACAGGTTAGTAACATGACTGAGTATAGAAAGAGCATCCCAGAGAGGCTGGGTCTTTCTGAAGTTAACATGGGGAAGGGTTCACCATACTGTGAAAGACTGCTCTGGCAAATAGTTCAACACTTTAACAATCATGTTTTTTAAAGTCAAATTTCAGCCATCTATGATGATTTTATTAAAAGATTCAGAGAATCTGAAGATATCTCTGTCTGAGAGGACAGGGCCAAAAATCATGACTTGGTGGTCGTGATCCTCGGGCCCTCAGTCTCCATTTAAAGCAGACTGGATATTGTAGTGGACCTCACTCTATGGACTCCAGTCTATGAACACAGCTCATTGTTACATTCACAAATCACAAGTGCTGAAACTCTGCCATGCAAAGAAGAAAACTTAAATAATCCGGATCCAGAAACACACTGATTCCTTCTCTGGGCCTGGGCTTATTTAAAATGGTCTGAGGCCAAGAAGAAAACTGTCCAGAGGTCTGATGAGTCACAATCTGAATTCAACTGTTAGGAAATCATGGATGTCTCATTCTCTGGGCTATCGAGGAAAGGGACCATCTGACCTGTTATCAGTGCATGGTTCAATAAACCAGAATCGGGGATGGTATTGGGGTGCATTTGTGCACATGGCATGGGTAACCTGTACTGCACATTTGCTTATTTCAGCATGACAATGCCAAACCACATTCTGGTATTCAAGCACATTGCTCTGTAGAGAAAGAGTCCGGGTGATAAACAGGTCTAAACTAGTCACCAGTTGAGAGGGGTACGAAGGATATAATTCAACAAGCGGCAGCCGGATCTGTTGAACAGCTGAAGTCTGAAGATGGTAAAACATTCCACTTTTCAAATGACAGAAATTGGGTCTCTTCTGTTCCCAAACTCTTACTAAGTGTTGTTGAAAGAAGAGATGATGCCAGTGTGGTAAATGTGATTGTCTTCCCAACATGTTGCTGGCATCAAATACAGAATGGCCATACTGAGTTCAGAAAACAACAACATTTGATATGTTTTCTGTGTGCCATTTTCATTTCAATGTGGAGTTTCAATGTTTTAAAAAATCATCCCATTGTTTTCATTTACCTTTTTAACAAACATCCATTTTTTTTTGTTTTGGAAAGGGGATGGCACTAAAACTGGACATAATTTCATCACAGTTACAATAAAGGGCTGTTTTTATATTGAAAATCATGATGACAAATTACAACTGGGAAAATGAACACTAGTTGGGTCACAAAGGGATGAGTCACTAAGGTAGTTGGCAAACAGAGTGATTAGGTGTTTAACACTAGGTGACTAGGAGCAGCAGTTGTAGCCTCAAACCACAAGTGACTCATGCGAGGCAAATCTTTTGGAGCCACTACAAAAATATTGGATTAATAAAACCTGTTTGTAGATTGTTTTACCTCAAACACCAGGAAGTGTGAGTGTTTTTCATTGTGTTTGTTTTACCTCTGGGATACTCAAAGTGAGTAACGTTGAATGTAAACTCTTTGTTTGTTTACAGGAAAACTCAACATGCCAATCTTAAGAGTTAACATTCTCTTTCCATTGAGTGTTCACATTATTTTTCAACACATATTTTAAACAAGACTTAAAACAGACTTATGCTGCGGCTCAGGTTTGGTCTCTATTGGAATGAAGACCCACCTCTCATAAGAGTCAGAGCTGTGCCTCTGTAGATTCCTCTGATCCCAGACTCTCTGTACAGCTGTTTGACACAGTCCATTGGCCCTGCATACTTCACCTCTCCTGTTGCTGCCTGGATCTGCAAACATTTTTAAACACTATTTTACTTACACTTCCATAAATATAACCTCTCCAGAATGTGAAGTAATAAAACATATATGACAATCAAACACAAGCTCTGTTTTAGACTGATGATGAGATGATGTAAATCACATGTCCTCTGACCTGTAGGAGACATTTGATGCGCTCTCCAGGAGCCATGATGCCCGTGGTGAACACTCCAGACAACATCCCTGCAGCAAACAGCTGTGGATACCTGCAAGAGACGATGTGCTCCCACATTATCACCCAGAGAGTGATAATACAACGATTATAGTGCAACCACCTAAAACAGAGTTTCACCTACGTCAGGATATCATCAGGAGTTCTTTGTTGTAATTTCTTGCCCAGTCCAAATCCAAAGAAACAGACAGCAAACATGGGGGTGACTCCAATGATGGGCGCCGCCATGCCTTTATAAAGCCCCTTCACACCCTGTGAGGAAGACGATGAATAGAAGGACATCAGCACAAGGGGGAAAGACTTTTCAAGCATTATTTCTTCAAGTATTAGATTAAGATAGGAACTTTATTGTATAAAAGAACACAATGAAACTTTGTCAGGCAGTATGCATCCTCACCTCTTTGGCTAAAGTCTTTTTAAAACAATCAATGGTTCCGGCATAAATAAGACGCTCTCCAGGTTTGGGTTTGGGCTGTGTCTGTAAACGCACCTGAGAGAAACAAAAGAAGTTTTCACATCATGCAGGGGGCAGCGGTGCAATTATAATCAAATCACTTTGACAATGGTACAAACTGAACAGGTGACTTCACAGTCAAAACAGTGAAACAACTTCTTTGAAAAGTCCCACAGATGTTTGTTGTTTGTTTTTTTTTACAACATTTCTTTACTGAAATGTCTTGATATCTTTTGACTGAGCTGATATGCAATAAGATTATATTGGTCAATTTGGCTGGTAAAATTTCTAGCTCAGTTCATGGGTATTGCTGTCATTGCTGCAGGTGTGATTCAGTCATCAGGTGAGATCTGACAGTAGTGGAAGCCATTACACCTGCAATGAGCTGAGTCATATAACTCTCTGTATGTAGGTCAAAGGGCTGCAGCAGGCTGAGCTGATACTCAGAGCTCTGGGCAGTCGCATAAATGAGATTTAAAACACCTTGTTACTTGCACACATCTGACTGACATATGTTTGTTTTTTATCCATCCGGATGCACTCTCCTGGTTGTTTCCTAACGTAACACAGAAAGTGTAGAACAGACACACAACGCGAAGCAATCACTTTTATCGTGTCGAGTGGATGTCCTGCGAAGACGAGGCAAACCCCTCCAAACCCCCCAGCGAAGAAGTTCTTCAGCGGGCTGATCGGCTGCTGTTTCGACATTTTTACTTTCCGCTCTGCAGGAAGAAGAAGAAGAAGAAAAACAAAAACACACACACAACTAAAAACGACTGAATGAAACCAACACGGAAAATAAACACTCCCTCACAAACCGCAAAAATAAACAATAAATAACAACTCTCACCTGGACGACTGTGGCTCTGTGACGTGTTTGCGTGCTCCTGTCACTGCTGCCTGCTAGACCTTTCACCCACTTACTTACCCGGACACATTAGACCACCACACAGCAATGCTCTGCTGGTTCGTCTCCGTTTGGTGTCCGGGTAGAAACTTACCACTTTGTGAGAAACCTGAGTTGGCTTATTAGCACATACAAATTAAACATAAAATATGCATTTGTTATTAAAACATGTGTTTGTGCAATATGTTTTTGATAATATACTAATTTTATGTGTAAAACTATTGCTTCTATTTTAAATGATGTATTTTTAAACATTTTAATTCATGAAACTAGTGTATAAGTCTTTAGTTTTACCTGCATACTGCAAATTAGAGCTTAATTTTTTTTATATAAAGGATATATTTTTTAATCTTTCTCAGGTATATTCAGCATTTTATTAAAACATTTTAAAAAATGGATAAAGGAAAACAAAAACCAAACACAAAAGACTACACATAAGAAGGTGACAAGAATGATAAAAACAAAGAAGGTTTTGATGGAAACAGAAAGCAAGTTAAATAAAGGACTGTGAGTAAAATGATCCATTTTTTCATATTATACTGAAGTTACATTAAAACTTAAATGATGGTTACAGTTTAATCTACCTTGTTTCTTTGGTTGTGTTCTGAGTGTCATCGTGTGGCCGACAATATCTCGCCACAAATATCTCAAATTAAGGTTTTATATGGTTTTAACCATAGACTGTAAATATTAACTGATAGACCCTCTCAAATACCAATCTGACCACTTCCACTGTTAAAATATAGCTTTATTAGTTCTGTTATAACACAGTTGCAGCATTTTGCAGACAATGTTAACCACGGTAAGAAGAGACACCCACCTCTCTCACATGTGCTGTAAACAGACACACAAATACTTAATGAATGATTAGTCAGACATTAACTGATAACTGATAACACTTCTTTCAGGTTGTGTCTACCTCCTCAGAAACATCTTTCCACACAGAGAAGCCATGCCAGGGACAGTAAAGGGTAAGTCCAAGTTTAAAATGGGAAATAACAATCACAACATCATGGGGGAGAAAAACGGAATTGTCCATGTTGGTATTGAAGTATTCAAACCACAAGGAGATAAAAGAAATGTTCTAGACTTTGCCTCCCTCGGATAAGAAGCGGTAACATCGAAAGAACGAATAATTTGGATAGTAAGTGCAGAACCATTTCAGCTACAGCTTTCATAAGCCAATACTCCGTATATTACAGCAAGATTCTATACAGCCTTAGTGCAGCACAGTAAGAATGAACAAGAGCGCAGCATAAAGACAAAAACCCTTCAGTCTAACAGGCAATCTGTAAACAGTCATTGAGTTCTGATGCTTGCGGAGTATTTGCAAATGTAAGTATGCATGATCGTCTTTTAGTGTTGAAAAAGCAGAATAGGGCAAAAGTACCAGCTGTAAAAAAAAAAAAACTGCAGACGAAGCTAGAGGAGAGACTCGATATGTAGCAGCAATTCCTCAGCTAACTTCTTAATTTATGATTACACGTGAGTCAGAATGTGATTTTTTCACTATATGTCACTTGATTTTAATTCTACTTATAATGAACAGTGAGATGAGTGATAGAGGAAAGTTGGGTTTAAGAGTATTTTGTCAGTTAACACACCGTAGTTTGGTCCCATTTACAGGGAAGCACAGAAAGGGTCAAAGCAATCTGAGAACAGTTGGCACCAAAAAGTGTAACATAACATCAAGTCTGCCTTATATTCATTCAAATATTTGAGTTGATCCAAAAAATACAATTATGATGATTGTGTTAAAAAATAGTTTTAGTCTTGGTTACTGTTACTTTAAATTCAAAGCACTTTGAGTGCATACATATTCTTTATGTTTGTTAGTGATTATTGCCATGATTTTGCTGTTTGGCCTATGTTTTGGCTATTTTTAATCTCCAATAATGACAAGGCCTCACAGATTTGTGCATTTGTCATATTTTTTTCCTCGAAGAAAAAAGAGAGAAAGAACAAATCTCCATCCACAAAAATAATCTGTGCATGCTGCAGTCTTTGATGAAGAGTCCCAGAAAGAATTGGCAAAACTGGCACAGTAAACAGGGCATCCCATCAAACAACAGTTCCTCTTCTTCAAGCTTTATTGTACCTCCCTGCAGCGGACAGGAGCAGACTACAGTGTGTGAGCCTGACACTGATATGGTTAGTCCTGGCTTTCACAAATCTGCGGGTACTCCTTGAAGATCTGCTGCACAATTAGTTTATCCATCTGCTTTGCTGTAGCGCTCCCTTCCTCTTCTCCTGGATCTTCTTCCTCATTGAGAATCCTGCGCAGCGCCCCCTGCAGGTCAGACAGGCGGTGCTGGTGCTCCAGGTAGTCTGTTGAGCGCATTATGGAGTGCATGAGGGAGAGGTACTCCATCCTCAGCTTCAGAGGGAGCGTGGGAGAGAAAATTATAATCAGACAAGGAAGCAAAGGTTTGATGCAGCATTGAAAAAGTTGTTCAACATTTATAAGGACCCATTTCCAGATAGCTGCCAATTCCCTCTGATGCCAGGCTCAAAGTGGGATGCTCAAAAGCTGTTATAAAGTTGTGATGCTGTGTTCCAGGATTTCTATAATATAAATGCATTTTATCTGATGATTATAATGCTAAAAAAAAAAAAATAAATTAAGTGCACCACCAAATTTGAAGGAGTCTACAAATCTAAGCAATAAACCTTATGTTAGAAATCTATTCATTTACCAGTCAAACCATTTGTATTATAGTAACTCAATCCCAAAAGGACCTTCTCAAAAAATGAGCAAGTGTTAGGACAATAGATAGAAGAGGGAAATCTTTTACGTATCTCAAAGTAAAACAACATTTCTAACACTCTATTAGCTACCTTTAGACAACTGATGCTAGAAGTCCAGCACTTACATACCTATGGTTTCATTAGTTATTTGTTCAAGGCTCACATTACGTAAGCTTGGAAGTACTTTCAAATCAATACAATTCAAATAACTTTATTTATCCGTATTTAAAAGTATCAGTGCGCACACAAATGACAGCACAGCACAAAAAAAGCACACCCACACATATCACATATCAACAGCACATACTTTCATTAGTTATTTGTTCCAACTTAATAGTACATATATACTATATAATATTACTAATGTAACCCTTTTCTATAGTATTGTGTAGAAATATCAAACAATAATATGAGCTTTCAAACACGTCCAAGCAAACAGTATTATTTTAAGGTCAGTGTCGTGCGATAATGTTAACTGCTGGATTATCCAACATGTTATTTTATCTTTATAGATTGCCAGATTCCCCTCTGGATTTTCACTATTCATTGGCTTTTCATTCCATGGTCAATTTTGAAGCAATAGATCAATAGATTGATAACAATTATCTAAAAACCCAATCTTATCAGAGTAACGACCTTGAACACAGCAGAACAACATGTTAACAGCATTTGAGCATATCAGAGGAAAGTGAATATGTGAATATTGCCAGGAAGTAATTAGGAAGGTTGATGCTAGAGTGACCATGTGTATTTCCCAAAATGTGGAATCATACATTGAAAGCATAATAAAACAATAGCTAGGTGGTGTTTCCAGGTCTCACCTTTTCTCCAGGTGAAAGGTCAGATATTTGGCGAACAGCAATGTCAATCATCACCATCATGTCAGTGCGGTAAAAGATGTCAGCTGTCTCTCTGCTGGCAAAAACATCCTGCAGAAACTTTAGCACTGAGTGCGGTGCAGGCGGGGTGTGTTTAAACATACACACCGGGTCATCTGGAGGTGAGGATGACACAAAGTGAGTGATGACATTAGTGGTGAGAAAGTGGAGATGCAAAATGAGAAACACAGCAAACACTGATGTTTTACCTCCTCTGTTCAGGAGCAGCAGCACTTTCTCTGACAGGATCTTGACATTTTTCTTCTTCAGCTCCTGCATGATCACATTGTTGCTGGGTGCTGCAAACACAGATAAGACAGAGTTTCCATAGTCAGGCAAGACAATCTCTTCTGTAGGTCAGCTTCACAACACTAGGATGCTCAGGGTTTTTCTTTCTACTAGTGCTGCTTGTTTCCTGCTACAATAAATGAAAATGTCTTGTAAAAGAGCTGCATGTTGCCTGTCCTCACCTGTGTGGTGCAGGTTGAAGGACAGCAGGAGGTTCAGGAAGATGTCAGGCAGCTGCTCTGTTGGATCAGAGGGAAGCCCATCCTCCACCACACCCAGCAGAAACTGAACAAAGTCTGCATTCAAGTGTTCTGAAAGCAGAGAGGGAAAGGATTATGTCTTGATAAAGAAGACACAATCCTTTAAATACACCTTTGAATGCATGCGTGTCAAACTTCTGGATCGGTTTGAGGATGGAAAACCTTTCATAATCAAGTCAGACTTAGAACACAAAGTTGTTTGTTACTCTTTTGGAATGATTAGCATTGTTCATCAGAAGTGTTTTTGTTTTTATTGGCAGAGGTAAATATTCGTATTTGTTCCATGGCATACCGTAGTGATGATATGGCACCTGTTCACCCATTGAGAAGATCATTGTAAGAACCAGAGCTGTGTAGCAAATTTTCTGGTGTTCTGAGGAAAGCAAAACAGGTAAGAAAAAGTCATTCAGGGTCATGTTTAATGTTTAGCTCGGGGAGTACAACATGAGCAGAACCCCGTGAAGGTAAAGACGCCCACCTTGTGTGTCAGTCTGAAGGTCCCTGGCCAGCTCCATGGGGAGGATGGAGTTGAGGAAGGTGGAGATGAGGGCAGCGTCCAGGCTGCACATGGCACCGAACACTTTAAGCAGCAACAGCCGTAAAGACACTCGAAGCTCCTGCACAGTCACACGGTTACAACAATGACTAAACGCCAACCAACCGTACACTGAACGTCATTATGAGGTTTAACTTTCACTGAAGCAAACCAGACTGAACACTGGGTGGACTCATGATTCTGGGAGATGCTTCATAATTTAAGCTACCAAATGATTACAAAACACCCGAACCAGCAATTAAGCCGACAGCAAAATGTCTTTCAAATTTTTGATTTCTCCTTCATTTTGTCTTACCATCTGATAATATGACACCAGAGACAGCACATTCTCGTAGTGGTTTGCCTTGCACATCCTCTTGCACACCTCTGGATCAGCATCAGTCTGAAGAGGAGGAAATAAACCATCCTTTAGTTGTAAGCAATGATATAATAACATAGTAACTATGTAACTTTAGAATCTGTGATGTCCCCTGAACACACCACAGGATTATGGAGCCCACTGACAGCTCAGCAGGACATCTCAGCCTTGATCTGAGTTCTGGTCGGGACAACCTGCCAACAAAGAACATTTGGCAGCCTGATGAGTTTACAGATCCAGTCTTTAACCACACGGTTGGATTTGTAAAGTCGTCTGAGCCGCTCTGATCCTATCAAATATGTCTGGAATTTACAGCACGACATCTGGACGGGTCCTCCTGTGGGCACATCACTGACTGATCCCAAGTGAGAACATTGCATTTCTTTCTGAGGACAGCGCTTCCCGAAATGTCCTTTTCAGGCATAACTGAATGGGTTTAATTTATATTAATACATCAAACATAATTACTCAAGTTGGAGCACGTTTACTATCATGTTTGTTCACTACCTGTTTCTATAACTGTTAGAAACATGCAACCTTTGTTTTAAAAAGTGTAAAAAGTCTGAAATCCATCTGGATTTGAGTTACAAAATCACTTTGAACTTTTTAAATAAGAAAAGACGGGCCAGCAGACATTTCTAAACCAGTTTTTTTTGCAGGAGTGAGGGGTCAGCAGCCGTCTGCATCATACCAGTATCTTCAGCAGCTCTTCCAGATAGCAGGCAATGAGAGCGTGGTCTTCATGTAACGCCCAGCTCCGCTGCTGGGAGTCATCACGGTGCCGGGTGAGGTCGCTGAAGATCACCTCCAATCTCTGTTCATCATGACAAACCTGACCCTGTGGCAGCGCTGTACTCAAAACCTACAGGGACAATAGACATCATGACACACCTGTTTCTGCTGATACTTGAAATACCAGTCCAGAGACTGGACATTTCCTTCTCTGTCATAGAAAGACACTCCTGATCTATACCTCTACCTTTCCTTTTTAATGGAAGTAACAAAACCTGAGTGACATTTCACACAATGATATTAAACAGTTCAAATGTGTTTGGTCTTTAAACCAGCTTTTAATACATTTTAAGGGACGAAACGACACTGTGTTAGCCAAACATTTTTACACGTATAAGTAAGGCAGCAAACATATAAGCAAAGAATTGCTTACTGGCTCAGCCAGAGGATACAAAACATTATTAGCTTCCATTGAGAGCTATGTTTTTGGCTGCATGTTGAATTTTTAATATCCACTATTCACTCTCCCTGTACCTCTATTCTGGTCCTTTAGTTTCTAAATATTCCACTATGCTAGCAAACTAGCCTGCGGCTAACGTTCATTTTTTGCTTTTTGGTGTGGGGTAATAAGCGAACATTGGATTTATTTGGGCTTCTTCCTGAAAAAACAGCGTTATGCAGAGTGTTGAAGGTGAAAAAAGACATTACTTGAAATATGTAGATGAAATAACCAACACACTCTGTAAAAAGTGCAAACAGACTGAGATGACAGTTGAAAAATAATTGTCTATAAGTTCCTTTGAGTTTAATCTAATAACAAGTAATGCATCAGACAAAACTGTGTCTTGGAGGAGGAAATAAGTATTTTTTTAAAAACCTATAGTACTGAGAAGTAAGCAAGCTTTAAAAAACATCATCTAAGCAATAAGGCAGGTGCGTAGGAGAGGAATGAATCCATCAAAGATTGCAGGTAAACTACTGCACGATGTCTTTATTGCACAAATGCAATGTCAAAGTTTCTGTACCAAATACTGCTGGTGTATTTGTGCAATTTAGACAGTGTGCAAGATTTTCCCTAGCCGTTCTAGTTGTGTTGCAATGGTATGAAAACAAATATCGATATCATTTAATTTTTACTACTATCATATCAAAGTTAAGAATTCTGGTATTGTGTCAACCCTAGTTAGGCTTTTTCTTTTTCTGTGCTGAGGACTATTGCCTCCGTATAATACGTGCATCATAACCGCAAGGCTATTAGCAAAAACATTTAGGCTTTTTCTTAGATGAGCAGGGCCACGGTGTGCACAGGCGTCTCCATGTAAACAACGATTGCAGCCAGAAGCTTTCAGCTACTGCTGTTTGAGAGTTACATAACACCCACTAAGAACAACCTTACAGCTATACAGAAATATATGACAGGAGAGAATTAGCTGATATCTTTCAGCTTGGTTTGACACTGCAAAGCTTGCCTCTGCATGGTACAAACAGGAAATGAGTAAGTGATACTGTGAGAACTGTGGTCCTTGAGAAATGTCAGCTAAATGCAGACTGAGCTGTAACTCTAAACTACATCGGTATTCTCCTTTAAGGTGGCACAGCCCCAGGATGCTGAATCCACATGATGTAAGGTAAACATACTGACCTTGCTCTCCACCAGCGAGAGAAGGACCTGCTCCAGAGCACGGGAGGCCTGAGGTAAGGCTGTCTGCAGGTGGCCTACCACCACACCCACGGCAACCCTCGACAGCTCGTAGCTCAGGCCTGTGTTCTTCCGCACCAGCTCGATCAACTCGGCCCCGATAGTCATGGGAACCGGTTCAGACGCAGTGGGGCTGCCAGGAGGGCTGCCAGCAACTGAAGGGGGGGCAACCGGCCATTCATTTTCTGGCTGGTCCTCCTCTGCCGCAGGCTGTGAAGGAGGAGGGGTTGCTGAGGGCTTAGGAGGCTGTGGAGCCGGACTCTTCTTTGCAGGAGCCAAATGAAGAGAAGAGTCAGGGGAGGGCCCGTCTAGAGATGATGCAGAGGGCTTCACACGGGACGGCACTGGAGGAGGGGGGGTGCTGGACACACTGGGCAGACTAACATCAGAGGAGACCAGAGAGTGGGAGGAGCCAGACTCTATGGAGGTGGTGCTTATCGAGAGGGAGGGAGCAGGGGACGGAGGGAGAGAGGTCCCTCGGGAGGGGGGCTCTGGCTCTGCTGAGAGAGGAGAGAGAGAGAGAGAGAGAGAGAGAGAGAGAGAGAGAGAGAGCTCCAGTTACAGAGAGGAGAGAGAGCAGAAGTGACTGGACTAAGAATAGAGTGTTTGTGAAGTACAAAGCTACAGCAGATAGCCTCAGCAAAAACACTATGTTGTGAAATATATAATAAACCTACGATGTTGTGAACACACCGCTGCTGTCTGAGTTCTCACCTGCACGTCGGCTGTTTCGCTGCTTTTCAGGGGGGGAGGAGTGATCGGTGCGGCACGTCGAGCTTGAGGTGGCACCTGCAGAAGGACACAGTGGAGGTTAAATTAAACATGTGCAGCTTAATGAGAGGTATAACTAAGTGTGTGTGTGTTTCTATACGCCCCAGTGCCTTGCATTAGTATTCACCTCCCTTTAATTTAAAATATATATATTTGAATTTAACAACTGCAAATTAAAGTGGATTTTACTAGGGTTGTATGAAATGGAAACAAAACATAATAGTCTATAATTATGAAGCTGGGGAGGTAGTAGTCTTCAAAATGATTTACAAATAAAAATATGAAAAGGCTTAAGATTTTGGCTTTGAACCTCCAAACTTTGATCAGATGTAACTGCTTTCTGGTTCATATATGGCCACTCTCTTTTTGTAATTTTTGTCTGTGCTTGTTAGTTATAAAGTAAAAGCCAAAACAATTCTCTCTGAGTTCCAGCTTGTAACACTGTAATATGCAAGACAGTATGTTCAACTATGCACGGCATCGGCATAATATTGGTTTAATTCTAATTTTGGTCTCTTGTGAATGCCTCTATAATATAATTGTAACTCCTGATATACTGTAGTTTTCATCAAATGAAGGAAGAAGACACATTTTAATCCTTAAAATGCTGCCATTCATGTGCAGACGTGTTGGGCAATATCATCCGTCAAGGAAATACATGTAGATTAGTTGTGTTTAATACATGTTCAATAAATTGAGCATTAATGAGTTATTATTGATATGGCACTTTCCAGAACAGAAGCTGGAAGTGTTTAAAGAGCATACATAGAAAAAGGGGGACCATTCTAAACATTTGATTAGTACTGTGGGAGTGTAATACCTGATAAACGCCCTGTTCTCCCTGCATATTGTCCATGCTTCCTGATAGCGGCACGCCCCCCTGTCGTCCATAGTCTCGGTTAAGGCCATTGGGTGGAGGAGGAGTCTGACTGAGAGATATTTCACTGCTGGAGGATGGGATGCCTGGTTTGTGACTGGCAGACGAGGAGCTCCGCCGTGAGAGAGTCTCCTTTCTATGATGGATCAACTTTCTACAACACAAAAGGGAATATAGATGATAAATCACAGCACACATTCAGTCTCAGAAATGTTTTTTTTTCTTAAAGTCTTTGACTGCTTTGCACTCACTGTAGAACATCTCTCTGTTCAAGATTGTATTTGCCTCCATTTTTTAAGGCTACATTATGGATTCCTTCGATGGCTCGGTCTATAGACTGCAGCACCTCGTCCTGCTCCGGAGCCTGGAACCAGACCAGAGAAAAATGGAACTAATTAAATATTTATTAAAATAATCATTAAACTTTAAACAAAACAGATCTGTTGCTCGGGGACAAGTGTGGCTTCAGGCAGGATCAAACTGGGGCAGTTATCTAACAAACAAAAAAACAGCTTTTTAACCACTGAGGCTTCAGATTCAGCCTTATTAAACCTCTACAGACAATTCCATTACCAATAGGAGAGAGCATTCCTATCCTGCTGCTGTGTGTGAGTCTGTGATTTTCCTAAATACATGCTGTGACTGGTTCACTGTAAGCCTGGGACCTTAGAAAATCCTCACTGTGGAGCACATGAGGGTGTGACTGAGATCAGTCTATGTAGAGGGAGCTACTTGGTCAAAACTAGTTGAGATACATGTTTGATAATATTACTGAGAACAGAGTCACAGGTAAACAATGGCTTTGTGTCTTGTTGGCTCTGTCCTTGCCTCTGTTCTGTATCACATCCTACCCTGTATCTACCCCATCCTGTCCCATCTCCTCTCTGTCGCAGTGAGCAGCTGCAGTGCAGAAGGCCAAGACCCCCATGATGTAACCCTTGCAGATCATTTATGTTTTGCCTCAGCAAACAAGCATTTCTTCCATGCCAATAATCAGCAGCAAGCCATAACACGGCCTGTCCTGCAGCACTGTAGCAGTAACACGGGACGTGTCTGTGTCGATCCCATCACCGTTAATACGCATTCCCCAGCTTTCACTTCACCTCAGTGTGCTCCTGCTCTTGAATCAACTGAAACGATAAGAGTGACAAGAGTCTGCTCAGAAATGTGTGTTTACCTGTACTTTTTCGATGTATGAGGACGGGATGTAACCAGTTTCCCCCGAGCTACAGCGGGACCCCAGCCACCAGTGTTTGTTGCTCCTCTCCAGGATTAGGAAGCTTTCTCCGGCCGCGAAGTGCAGCGAGTTGGGCTCCGAAGACCGAAAAGCGTACAGAGACCGGTACATACTCTATCAGTGGTTCAACACGCCAAGGCGAGGTGGAAAAATATAAATACTGTATCTGAAGGCGGGGAGTGAAAACAAATCTGCTCCTCTGGAGGTGATTTAAAGAGCCCATGAATGCATGGCCCCGGCGGATCTCTGCTGTGTATTTACAATGTAGCTCAGACCTGATCATCTGACCTGTGACTGTTGCCTGTGAAATCCGCAGGAGGCGCTCTTACTGCATGAACACACCCACAAGACATTTTAATCAAACGCAGAGGCGAGCGTTCATCCTCTATCCTGATACTATTGATATTTTATTGCGACATTATTAAGATTATAAAGTGATATTTTAGAGTTGCATTGGTACCATATAAAAATGTTCTGAAAGTTTAACATTTGCTATTTCTATTACGTGGATTATATTGAGGCCAGCCAGTAAAAACTCCATTAATATTTAAAGTTGTGCAGTGATACACGGATCAACTGTTAAGCTTATTATGGAGACAAGAACAGTTTATGAATAATTGTGAAGAGTTTAAGTGGCTCATTAAGTCCTTTTTTTTTTTTTTTACACACAACACGTGGACAAAATACCATCAATACATCTGAGAAATTACAAACTCCAGTTTATTATACAAACATTTTTCATCATCATTGAGGATCAGCAAAGGACCTTTTACAAATAGTCATGATTTTTCTCAGACTTTGAATCGTTGTAATTGTAAAATGTTTGCAAATTAACAAACAACATTTATCTAGCTATATCATACATTATAAATATATATACATTGGGAAATTCTATGAGCACTACGACTACCCATAGACTGGACTACCACAAATGTGTAAAGAAATAAACATTCTCCCTTAAAAAAAAAAAAAAATATATATATATATATATAGATATATATATATATATATATATATATATTGCTCGATTTTGCGATACACAACACCGGAAAGAAGCTGCTGGTGTTACAGAGAATTGTGTCCCCCGTGTGTGTCGCCGGTTGTTGAGGTTTCTCTTCAACATGGCCAGCTCGCTGTGTGCCAGATCCTTCCTTCAGAGGTCAACACAGGGTTTTATCTTCTCCTCCAGGACAATACCCGCTCTCTTAAGGTGGGGCTGCTTTTTTCAATTTAAAGGTTGTGGTTACTCTACACCCAAAATGTAATGTAGCCTATGTATGATGGATTAAGTAAGGCATGGCTTGGTGTAGCCTGAATGTCATGCTGTTTTGAAACACCAGGGTAATAGTCGGCCTATTTTTGAGCCGTAGTTTTATTAGCATAAGTTCTATAAGTGTCATGTTGTCCTTGGATTTAAACTTCAGGTCACATTTGTCTATGGATGGTTCATGGTCCAACTTTTGACCTCTTAGGGGTTTTGTCTGTTCACCAGTTAGGGTTGCATGACGACTAGAACTTTCAGACTCCACAACCATCCTTTTCTTGAGTATTTTTTATTTCATGGCTTATATAGTGAATCAACTGGCTGAAGCCCAAGTGCATCTGCAGAAAACATTTAAGTAAGCATGCAGCTGAATCACAGTTATGAACAGTGTGAATGAAATATAACAACCAAATATAGTAATGACAGTCATAAACAATGACATGGCATTGTTATTTTATTCCTTTTCTTACTGTTTGTCTAGTCACTTTATTATAATAAATAATAATAATATAAATACATAGCCTTTCATAGCGTTTTGAGTACTCTTAAGACACTTAACACAGAATAACAAAAAAACAACACAACAAATAAATAATGGAAGAGAAGGAGGATGAGAACAGAGTTAGTGGTTGTAGGCGATGTTGAAGAGGTGAGTTTTTAGGGATTTTTTGTGGTTTTTGCGGTGGAGGAGCTCAGACGAGTAGGGGGGAGTCAGGTTATGGAAGGCTTTAAAGGTGATGATGAGGAGTTTGATATGGATACGCTGGGGGTGGGGAGCCAGTGGAGGTTATGAAGAATGTGGTCACAGGTGTGGAAGACAAGCAGCAGAGTGCTGGATATATTGTAGTTCCTTGAGACTGTTGCAGTAGTCTAGTCTGGAAGTGATGAATGAGTGGGTGAGGGTCTCGGCAGCTGAAAAGGAGAGGGATGGGCGGAGGCGGGCAATGTTTGTCATATGGAAAATGGCTTTTTTGGTGATGTGATGACATGTTGGTTAAAGAAGAGGGTTTGATCGAAACTCTAAACAATGACACTTCTTATTATAATCTCTTATTTAAGCAGATTTGTCTTCTCAAATCAATGTTTTTTCTGTTCAGTCAGCCATATATATGTTAATTTGAGTAGAACTGCAAACTTATTTTTCATTTAGGCGTAAATATAATTTATTTATCATTCTGTAAGTTTCACAATTTTGTGAAATCTCACAAACCTCAATACTAACTGATTTATTAAGAAAATACTCCATGTATTGTTCAACAAAAAACACTAATAACAGTAACCAGTGCCACTGAATATTTTGTGCTGTTTTAATGTAAATGTAATTTTTACAAGGGCTGTTAAAGATCTGATTGGTGGAGACATGGCTAAGCACCAGTCAATAATTAGTTTTTGCATTAAATGAAGGTCCTCTTAGAAAGAGGCCTTTAGCTTGTTTGTCAGTCAAAAATATTCTGTGGCTCCATCTGGTGGAGTCAGTCATCACCTTCACACCTCACAGCTCCTCTGCTGTGTCACATTTAAAACCCAACTGGCAAGACTTGATAAGATAAGGCATCACATCTCAGTCGATCTTTATTTGTATTGCTCCAATTCATAACAAATGTTATAGCAGGACACTTTACATCAACGAACTACTCAACTAACTACCAGTACTTAAGATTTCTGAGCGTGCTCAGGTTTTTGTTCCAGGCCACTCTCTCTCAGGAAGGGAAAGTAGGACAACAACAGACTAACATGTGATGCAGACAAGCAGAAATGTTTGTTTCTTGGCTGCTTCTTCTCTCCAGAAACAGGCCTCATGCTTTTGGCGCTCAGTCCTCTCAGCATGTTGGCAGAAGATTTTTGGCTTTTGATCTGAGCCACATGGCAAAGTTGTGTAGTACCCTTTGATTTATATTTAAAAAAAGTGAGACAAATAAATATATAATTACAGAGAAGCTGACTCAGGCCTCAAGCACTCTTTGCAATATTAATGCTCGTAAGTTAAGGAGCAATGATTATTCTTGTGTAGTTTACATAGAGTTGATGGTAACTTATTTGATCTGGTTTGGTTCCAGTCCATTGCTGGCCCGTTCACATCGATTGGGTCCCAGTGATGATGAAATGTACCAGCGCACCACGGTGTCTGTCATGCAGAAGGAGCCAGGCAGCGGCCTCATGATTCACAGCTACAGTGCTCATGGATTCAACATAGATGGTAACAGGGTGCTCGGGCCCTGTGCTGTGCTGCCTCCTGCTATCCTCCAGTGGAACGTGAGATCACTTCACAAACTACCTTTACAGCTCGTAGACTGTTCTCTCATATTCTGTTTTGTAGAGATTTAATCTATTCTCTTTGAGATTTTTATCGCTTTAAATCTCCTAATGTCTCTCTCTCTCTCTCTCTCTCTCTCTCTCTCTCTCTCTCTTTACAGGTTGGCAGTAATAAAGACATCACAGAAGAAAGTGTTTCACTTTTTCACATGATCGAACCAAGAATAGGTAGAAATTAAAGCACCACGGACCTAAATGTATAAACGGTTGAAAAATGGAATGAATAAACATGTTTCTGAGCTTTGCTGGAGGGAGGAATACCATCATTACTGAAGATCTTCAAAAACATTTGTCAATAAGTAACCCTTTCTCTGCAGCTCTCAATAAATATTTTCATTTCATGATGCAATTTGGCATGTGTTCTTGTTTCTGCAGAGATTCTCATACTAGGAACAGGCGCAAGAGTTGAAAGAATTAGCCCTTCGGTCCTTGCTCTACTCAAAAAGAAAGGCATCGCTGTGGAGGTGCAAGACACGGTAAATATCGTCCAGTTAATTTGAGTGAACATCGTCACTCCGTTAAGATGTAAGACTCATTAAGCTGCCCAAATTTACGTCTCTGTCTTTGTTCCTCGTCTCTGCCGTTTTGCAGCCAAACGCATGTGCAACCTTCAACTTCCTGACCAGTGAACGAAGACTTGTAGCTGCCGGTCTGATCCCTCCGCCTGTCAGCACGGCACTGGAAGTGAAGCAGGAATAAGTGTTGTGATTTCATCAGAAACTAGGCCTGATTTCTACAGATAAGGATTAGAGGTTCATGAATGATCTCTGGGATTGTTGTTCTTCTGCAACAAGCTTCCAAAGAAACTCAGTGTGAAATCATGCCCAACAGAAACTATTCATAAATTAGTTTGCATCTCTTATTCTATGAGATTAAGGTGTAAAAAATGTATCAGAGCAACGCGCTGTTTCATAAACGGTGTATGTCGGGGTTTCTGTCAGACATTACAGACAGTCGGTGTTTGTGAGTTTGTTTCACTGTACAAAAAGTTTGCACAAGCGCTCATGGAAATGTAACGGAGGACAACCATGATAGAGGGTTGGACTGTAATAAATGTATAGAAATGTTGTTTTAGTGTGTAAAATGTGTATTTAAAAGCTTTAAATGCAATAAAAAATACCCAATGACAATAATCTGATGTGCTAAATATGTAAAATAGATATCAAATGAGCCCCTATATGAATTATTCATTTTTAAAGACACAGTTGAAGATGAAACTGGTAAAAATATTCTTAAATAAAGTAAGATTTCTTTGTGTAAATATGTTCCAGCTCTCTGCCTGAGGTGTTGCTGCTGAGTGTCCTTTATGCTGTAAATCCTCTTTTATTCTTTGTGTCTTTCTGTCAGCCCCCAGCAGTGCTGCCACCAACAAGCTGCCCTGCAGCACATGACACATTTCATAAGCTCTGTCTTTCTAATTCATAAGCCTCCATAGATAAGAGAGTCCGCAAATCCTCTGCTTGCACATCATCTCTAATCAGCTGCCTCTGTGCCATATGCTGCACAACAGTCTGAACAGTACAACGTGTCGTTCCCATGCAGGGGACTGCATGCATACTTTACATGATGATAGAAGACTGGCAGTGATTAGGAAATAACACATAAAAATATGTTTGATAAAAAAAAATCAGTTGCTGTTGGTCACCTTTTTCAAATGTATAAATGATGCATTTAGCTACACAAGAGTTCATGATACTGACAATAGTCACAAAAAAAAAGAAGAGAAATGTAAATGTGTTTTTATGATATAAGGTAAAGTTTAGCCAATTAAAACTTGTTATCCTTTGATTTGTCCAATCAAAGTAAGACAATTTTTCATGACAATGAATGCAAAAGGAAATCTGATTGTCATGATGTAAACAATAAAACCTAAGAGCTGCGGGGCGCCAGTAGCCTAGTTCTTAGTGCATGCGCCCAATGTGCGGAGGCTATAGTCCTCCGAGCAGACAGCCAAATCCGACCTGTGGCTACTTGCCCACACATCATTCTACACTCTGTGTCTCCCTGTTTTCTGTCTCTATCTACTGTCCTGTCTTTAAAATGAAGGCATACAAGCCCAAAAAAAAACTTAAGTACTATGTTGCAAACATTTGTATTGATAGATTCAAAGTATTACAGTTCCAAACTCCAAAAAAATGCAAATGCAGAAGAATTGAACTTACAAGGAAAACAGCATTGAAATCACAGTTTACAGAATGTCAAATCACGACACAGTACAAGTAGCATCCTCTGCTTTACAACTGACAACACGTCACGTTCCCCTTTTTACTCATAAATTGATGTCAGAGGATGTTATGTAAAGTGTCCATCAGTATTTATAAACGAATCCTATTCATACACATTCAAACACCAATGGCTATTAAGGGTTCAGTGTCTTGTCAAAGGACAATTCGACCTGTGTACTGGGGGAACTGGGATCAAACAGCCAATCTTTTGATCAAAAGACAGCTGACTCTACTAGGGAGTCCTTGCCATGGAAGTATGTTGACAGTGTCTCTCAGTCCTCATCAGAGGTGTGAGATTGGTGTCTCTGCGACCTTCTGAAGCACAGCTCTGCTCCTGTGATCCGCAGGTACATTTCTTTAATGTCCTCAACTTCAGACACAAAGTGGTTTGTTTCATCATATGAGCGGGACACAAAAATCTAGAGGAGAAACATGACCACGTTTAAAAAAAAATACATCCATGTACATAGAGATAAATCTGCTTGAGCGATCTCATTACCTGACTATTTTTTCCATCTTCATTGGGAACTAGCAGGTCGCTTACTGAAGCAAACCTAAAGGGTGAGAGGAAATGAGGTCAAATGATATTTTACAAACGGCCAAAATGAATGTCTTAAAAAACGAGATTTACTTTTGAATGATAGGCTCGAGAAGCTCCAGTGCTGGCTGGATTTCTTTCTCAGGGTTGTTTGTTTCTACAGTTGTGCTAACTGTGGCGATGTACAGCCCATCTGATGCCACGCTGTGCGTGTAGGACACCACAGAAATGTAAACATCTGCACAGACAAAAGAGAAGAGGATTTACTGAGAATTATAAGTCGGTGTGATCAGCTTTTCTGATCTAATCTGAATCTTTGCAACCCACATGCATATAAGTATGGTTTGACGTGAAAAAACATACTACCGGATTTCCTGTGAAGTTGTGTTTGAGGGATGATGATCTGACAGGAGTTTGCCTCGTGGGTGTTTTTAACTGGATGATTTAATAAACAGATGACTCTTATCACATGACCTGCTTTCCTCACTCTGTTCGGGACGTAGCTGGGGTCGCAGATGAGCTGTTGACACTGGAACAGCTGTTGTAGAGCGAGAGAGACAAAAGGGACTGAATCACTGAGGACACAACTGTGCTGCTGCATTTCCAACCCCTTGTCTACATTAAGTAGCTCTTGCCTTCCCCTCAGATTTCACAGCTTTCACTTTGCCGTTGTCCATCAAGACCTCTTCCACTGCTCTGTTCATCAGGAAGGTTCCTCCATATTCTGCACTCAGTCTGAAACACACAGATTTAACACAGCTCATTAAAAGTCACATAATAACATCTGGAAAGTCATCTTTTGTCATTAAAATGCATCATGACATCTGTTTTGATGAGCGTATTCTCATTTCAAGTTAACTACTAAAGTTTTTTCAAGATCCAAGATTCATCCAATTTTCTGTTACCGGGCAAATCCTTGCGGTAGTTCTCCCAGCCCATACACAGGGTACAGGTATGGACTGGTGTTGTGGCGGGTCAGAGACTCAGAGTACAGCCTGATCCGTCTGATGGTTTCCAGACACGGCTGATCCAGATAACTACAGGGAGGCCAGAGGACAGTAAATCAGTCCAGGCAGGTTTTTAATTCAAGGATCAGCTGTTGTTATTTGTTATCTGGTTCAATTGGAATTCTTGTGTCTGACCTTTCGTTGCTGTGTAAGGCAATGGCATGACCTGTGAACTCCTGAACGTCTTGTCCCAAGTCAAATCGACAAAACAGGTCCCGTGTTGTGGTTTTGTTAGGGTCCACGTTGTGGTAGGTTCGAGGGTTCCTCATGTCAAAGTTTTGGGCCAAGTGCAGTAGCTTCCTGAACCTCCTCTTGTCAAACATGCCCATCAGATCTGAAAGGTATGCTTTAGTGAATGACATTTAATAGAGTTATGAGCGTGCGTATGCAGGTGTTTGCTTATCACCTGAAGTTTGGGCATCTTCCTCTGTGCCGGGGACTTTATGCACTTTCCCCGCTTTGTAAACATAGCTGCCTTCAACAACTTTGAAGTCCAAATATCGAGTAACCTCAGTGTGCACCAGGATTCTCACAAGCTCACCTAGTGTAAACACAGCAGAGGGTTCAAGTAATGCACATACTCACACTAAAATAGAACAAAAGAAACACTCACCATTTGCAAGAAAAAACTTGGGGATGAGGTCAATATTCCACTCTTTTCCACACCCTAGTGACTTGGTACAGCCAGGAACTTTGAACTTCTTGTACAGCTGTAATGTATAAAAAATAAAGAATAGTATAACACAATCAAATCAGCATTGTAGCAGCAGCTGCTTTTGTGTTGTTTGTGTATGTGTGAACGCACCTGCTCGAGGGGGGAAATGGACGCACTCTCTCCTCCGTAGTAAGGATTCTTATCGATGTGAAGAACCTTTTTCCCATTTTGAGACAATAAAGCTGAGAGGACGCATTCCTGACACAGATGGATATTCACAATAACGTGCAGTAGTTAGCAGTTTGTCAATCATCAATCTTTATTTGTATGTGACCAACTGACAACAAATGTTATCTCAAGACACTTTACAAAAAGAGCCGGTCTGGACTGTATTCTTTGTCATAGTATTTACAAATACCCAATAGTAATCCCCCATGAGCACAGCACTAAGCAACATTTAGCAAAACAAACAACCCACGTGTAGCGACACAAACAGCCTTCTTCAGGGTGAAGTCACAGCACACAATCAGCTACTTAAATACATACCATTTCTGGTTGTCTGGTATCTGAGTTTCTGTGTTTTCCTCCAAAGAGAACCTTCATCATACCACTTTGTCTGAATTCAGAGCACTCCAGACTCTCATTTTGTTTGTTTCAATGAATAAAACAAATGTATTACAATTCCAGTAATAATGGTTTAAGTATCAGTGTACAGTATTAGTATCAACAGCTATGATTATAGTCTGATATTAATATTAGCAACTATAATGATAATGAAATGAATAGGACTGATTATGTCAATTAAAGGAGTTAAAGTTAAGCAGCTCTTCAATCGCTCATTCAATTTACAGATTAAGGCTAGCATAATGACATCATCGTGGTAAATCCCTTAATATGACTGAATGAAAAGGCTTTTACTCACTCACTGAAAGTGAAAAATGTCTAAATTGATCTTAGTTTGGGTATTATTAAAGCATCTTGTGAGATGAGAAAAAAATGTCTGCATTTAAAATGCAAAGATACCCTTAATTACAATTACCCATGACCCCTTTTCTACATGCACTAAGGAGACTTTTCCTCATTGGCAGTGTTAGTAACTAACTATTACTAAAGTAATTGTAGCAGTGAAGTAAAGGATGGTTGAAATGCTTTCCCTTTTTCTCTCTTTCGATTGTTTATATTTTTCAATCTTATAGATTGTCTTACCTTCAGTCCAGTTCCGAGCACAATAATATCGTACTCCTGCATCCTATCAGTCTCTTCACCTGATTCAAACAGCCTCTCTGAGTCTCAGTGCTTTTCCTGCGTGCCTGCGTGTGTGTGTGTGTGTGTGTGTGTGTGTGTGTGTGTGTGTGTGTGTGTGTGTGTGTGTGTGTGTGTGTGTGTGTGTGTGTGTGTGTGTGTGTATCAGCAGTGCATATGTGTAACAGAGAGAGACACATTAGTGTTGATGATTTGTGACAGTAAATACTTTGTGTTCTAATTTTCAATAATCGTCTTATGGATCACACATATGCTTGTTTGTGTTTGTGTGTGTGTGTGTGTGTGTGTGTGTGTGTGTGTGTGTGTGTGTGTGTGTGTGTGTAAAACTGTGTTTTTTTTGCATTTTATTTAATATTTTTGCATTGTGTGAAATATTTTTCTTTTCATGAAATACGTTCATATAAATGTTTTTGTCACTGACCTTCAGGGCTCGCATAAACTGGCCTTTCTTTTTGTTGAAATAAACCTTGCTTCCCTTTATGTACTGGAAAAATAAAAATTGAAGCAGTTTTCCTTTCTGTTTTGGATTATTGTGATGTTATTTGCGGACGTACAGCCAGAACTACTCTAAAACCTTTTTGATACAGCGTATCACTCTGCAGTAATATTCATTACCAGGTGTAGATATGGATGCATCACTTTCTTCTACCAAAGAAAACTGGCCTGCCTGCTCTAGCAATAAGGAGACATTTTGTAAAGCACTTTTAAATAAAATACCCCCTTACCTCTCAACTCTGCTTTCATTTAACATGGGCAGCCACAATATGCTACCAGTGATGGCTCAGCCTGCAGGTTCACAAAATCCACACAGAGCTTGGAAGATCTGCTTGTTTGCCAACATTCTTGGAAGTTTTGTCCAAATAATTTTTTAAGCAAACCACTATAATAACACTTAGACAATCTGATCTTATTTATTTGTACTTTTTTTGCTTTTAATATTTTAATAGGTGTAAGAGATCATCTTAAACACATGAACATCCCAAGCTTATTAGTTTTAGATGGGTTGCACTACCAATTATAACCAATTATGAAAGGATTGTGAAGAGTCCTGTTCTCTTGTCAGTTTTCCTACCAGGCAGTGAGAGGTGTGGAGGATGCAAAGCTTTTTTTGAATAACTAACAAACATACAAACATTTAGAAAAGCTATCAAGTCATGCTCGGCTCTTGTTTGCTGATTTTTCATCAGCTATGACTACCATGCAGCCTTATCCTAAACAAAAAAACCAAAAAAACAGGCTCTACCTGATTGTATTTCTTGGTGTGATAACAACTTATTAAACTTAAGCGTTTCTAAAACAAGGGAACTAGTCTTTGATTTTAGACTTAAGAGAGAGGCAGCCGTGGATTGAATCATACATAATGGAAATGTTGAGATGTTAAGATTGTACAAATACTTGGGTATGTTTTTGGATGATCAACCCAAATTTGATGTGAACACTGAGGCTATTGTAAATAAGAGGACATGGAGAATTCACCTTTTAAACATCCACCTGATCTTTGTGTGGTGTGCAATCTAGCAGAAACAATTGAACTCGTTCTTATTAATTGTAGGAAGTATTAAACACATAGACAGAGCACGATGTCAGAAATGGAGTGAGAAGGACTGGTACAGAGAGATTTAAAAAGTATTTTGGAGTGTGGTGAAAGAGGGAGAGGCCGTAGATGCCTGTTTAATTCTCTTTTGAGAACAGGTGTGTTGAGGAGGATTAAGACACATGAGGGGTAGTTACAATCCAGCAGATGGCAGTAATGCAACTTCCTGGATGCCAGCTGCCACTGAACACCAAAGTTAAGAAGCAGAAGAAGAAGAAGAAGAAGAAGCAGAAGAAGCAGAAGAAGAATATCTTCCAAACTTCCAACATCACCAATAAACTGAGGACTAGAACAAAACTGAAACATGTCTTCAGCACAGACAGTAAGTAATCCATTTCTAGTGCTCAAGATCGTTTACATTTCCGGTTGTCAGATATGAGTATGCAGCTGATGTTACTGCACATACACATCACTGACGTGTTTTTCAGAAAGTTTCATCAGACCTTACTGTAGCCTATAAGTCATCTTCAACTTAGGTTTAATCATTTTAACGTGCTGGTTGAGTCTGTGTGTTAAATGAACACCTTAGAGAAATCTGAAAAACACCAGCTTGTCACAGTTCACACGTGAGTTTATCCACAGAAACCTGAAAAAGAGGTTTGGGAGTAAATTTAGCACAAAACAAAAGAGGTGTGTCAGATGTTCACGCCCTGCTCTGTTGACAAGCTGCAATGAAGTAACATAAATCACCTTCCACATGCCTTCCTGTAATGAAGGCTATTTTCTAGATAAATTAATCTGTTTTAAATGATGTGAAAGTAGATAAACAGTATGTTTCCACATCTGTGTGGTAATAACAGTTAAGGTTAAGTTTTCACCTCAAAGTGACTGGTTTGCCTGTGAAACTGAATAGCCCTTCTGTAATTAATGAAGTCGTCTGAATCCGAATCAAAGCATTGATGTCAGTGACAGGAGCTGCAATTGTCACATGTTCTTTCAGATTTAAACCCACTACCCAGATAAACAGACATTTGGCCACATTTCATCAAGTCATACTCTTGAAGTCCATTATATCATTCATCGGTCCTCCAGAAATGTGGCTGTTTTTTGTTTGTTTGTTTGTTTGGCTTTGAACCTCTGATTATCTTGCCTGTTTGTCTCAGTTTTCAGATCTGGACCCAAACAAGCACAAACATGTGTCCGTCAAGTCCAACCCCGGATTCCTGGAGCGTTTAGGTGAAACAGCAGGGGGGACAGTCTTGGGCATAGGACTGTTTTTCCTTTCGATTTATATTCTCTTTACCAATGAGGTAAAAAAAAACAAAAAAACAACAACACACAGTGGAAAACAAGTTGCATTCACGTGTTACATTACACATCAAAGCTAATGTACACTGTTAAAGTCAGATTGGTGTGTTAGCAGACGTAAGGACCGTATATGCTCACTTACAGGGACGGGCTCTGCAAACAGCGTCTTCTCTGGATGAGGGTTTGTCTCAAGTCGTATCGTTGGAGTCTTTCTCCAGCCTCAACCAACAGAACAACAACCATTTAGTTCATCTGTCTGCAAAGCTTCGCACCTCACAGGTAGATTGATCATTTTGTCTGACCACTACTTGACCAGTAATTCGCTGAAACAATCAGAATATTATTCAATGATCTTCTGCATGTGTGTCTGTGTAGTCCCTGTATGACCCCAACTACAGAGTGGAGGTGCAGGCGGTGAAGCTGCAGAGGCAGGTGGAGATGTATCAGTGGGTGGAGTACCATGACAGCAAGTGAGTCTTTCATCATGCCCATCAGTCTGTCGACATTCACGGTTGAGTAAGGTGTAAATGAAAAAACAGTGAACAGAGTTTATTTAGACTGAGGTGGGTTTGTTACTGTGTGACCAATTTCAGGGACTACCAGGAGAATGGCGAGACCAAAACTGAGACGACATACACCTACAGTGAGTATTTACTTCCATTCATCTGCCCTTTAACACCCTGCTTGTAACACCCGCCAACGTTATAACAGCACACAAACGTAATAATCCACAAACGTAATACAGATCTGCAGCTTTTATCCGACTCTGTCCTCCATTCACAGACATCAGTTTAAGTTGACTTCATGTCATTCATTAGTCATTTGTAAGCCTTTCATTTGTGGTCAGACTGTCTTAAATCCTAAGATATGTTCGTTTTTAATTATTTTTCATAGAATGCTAGACTGTTATAAATGTATATTCAAGTTTTTGGCTTTCGACATGCAGACATACTTTGTTTAAATAGTTCATAGGCCATTAAATCGCTTTCTTTTTGGAAATCCATATTAAACAAATCTATTTAAATAAGACACGTACATGCCTCAAAACAATTCTGTGAACTGACAAGGAGTGACAAAGCTGTGTGCCTGTTTGAGAGAGCGAGAAAGAGATGAGGTGGACTTGGGTTAGGGGTTAATGCACAGCCTATATTACATTCAATGTTTCTGTAAGTTATTTATAATATACTCAGAGCGCTGTTTTGACCCGCTCTGCCCAAACCTGGGATTTTTTTCTAATGAGCTGACTTGAACCCATTAGCAGGTGTAAAGTGTAAGTAAATAAAAAAACAAATCCCTGCAAAGGTAATAGCTAATGCATTTGCAGGAAATGTTGTATTAAGCTTGAAGTAGGCAACTGCTTTTACGTTTGTGTGAAATGTATTGACTGTATTTGAAGCTTTATATGTGATTCCTCTTCTTTAGACACCGAGTGGAAATCAGAGCTGATCAACAGTCGTAACTTTGACAAGGAAATTGGTCACCAGAACCCAAGGTATTCTGATGGTTTTAAGTTTATTCTGTTTTATTCTGTTAAATCAAAAAAAGTGAGCAGGTCATCTCTAAAGACATGTTTGAATCTCAGTGCCATGGCGGTTGAGAGTGTCACAGTGGTGGCTCCTGAGGTCAGAGTTGGAGCTTTCATTCTCTCCAAAGGTATCTGAACACAAAGACACAAACATACAAGAATGACACAGAGACTGTATTTCATGTCACTCATGATTCATCCGTTCATCGCTCGGTCTTCCTCAGGCCTTGTGGAGCAGATTAATGACTTCCAGACGCTGAGTTTGAAGGATTTTCCCGCCTCTTACGTGGACCCTTTTCTATCCATTGATGACGATTACTTCTATCACACTCAGTCCCCTCGCAGGCCGGAGGTAGGTGCTCCAATGTAAAAATCTCACACATACAGAGATGTCGGCCTCTGTTTTCTTACGAGTCAAATTTGTGTTACTATTGAGGTTTTTTTTATCCATTAGGTTGGGGATGTGCGTGTAAGATTTTCCTATGCTGGACTGAGTGGCGAGACGTCTATCCTCGGTCCCACTCAAACTGTGAGTTACTTTGGCACATGAGCTCACTCATGGTTACAGTACAACATCATGTTACTGACTCAAAGCATTCTCTGCATCATCCATATTTCCACTGTGACCCCACTATAATCTACATGTCTTGGTATTTATCATACTCTCGACCGTTGCTACGTGGTCTTTTTAAGTTGCAGCTATACTTACTATGCTACTTTTAAGGGGTAAGAATTGAAAGTATTGCTGACTTATTATCATGATCAGTTCATCTGTTGATTCGTTTCACTCTAAGTGTTCTGCTCTATAAGGTGTGGTTAGGCCCTGCGTTAATGTTCAGTTAAACTGTGAAGTGATTCTCTCTGCACAAAGACAACACTATAAAGATTAGTAGCGAGTACATAAGATGTACAGCCTGCACCAGAGAACCAGGGGATATTTTGTATAGTGGTAGGAAAAAAAAATCGATTTATGTAAACATCGAGATTCTTATCTTCTGAGATTTTAAATAGATTCATAACTTCCAAAAATCAAGTGCTAAGGCTAGCTCTTTAACTCAGCAGAATGCCAATTGGAGCAGCAAGAAATTCAGCCAGTCTCACAGATGACTGGAGTAGATCCTGAAGTATGTACTCATTGAAAAATAGACTTTGAATCCATGGATCCATGGATCCAGAATTGGTTTGAATCGAAAATAGATTCTTAATTGAATCGTGACCACAAAAAAAAAAAAAAAATTGCTTGTTATTTTTTTTACCGCATAGTAATCCAGTAATTATTTCAGCCCTCACTGGAACTTTTACTTGTTGTAGAGCCAATACTATTCAAGCTTATAGAGATCTTCCTCTTCAGACACTGGTAAACGTTATCTGTTTTTCAGGTCAGTGTCGTGGCCATGCAGAGAGGAGAGCAGCTGATGCCTTTTAAAACCAGGTCAGGAGACACTCTGGAGATCTTGTACCAGGAAGAGCTCTCTGCAAAGGTCAGAGTGGATTTCACTTCACTTCATTCGTTTGACACAGCAGTGGGGTGTTTTGTCAATACCTTTTTGTTTTTGGGGGTAAACAAGTAGTCATTTTCTACATGTGTGTAGTTATATTCCACTTGGTTCTGGAGGTTTGATGCAGTGGTTTTCTTTCTATAGGAGGTTTTTGAGAAAGAACACCAGTCCAATAGTCTGAAGACGTGGGGACTGAGGGCTGCAGGCTGGGCGCTCATGTTCCTGAGTATACAGCTGACCATGCGCATCATCTACACTTTGGGTAAACATTTACTCACTGATTCAGTACATTTATATACGTTCATGGATTTCTCTTCCTGAATCTCTCATGTGTGCCCCTCTGTTTTTTTTTTTTTTGCCGACAGTGGATTGGGTTCCTGTTCTCAGAGATCTGGTGTCTGTGGGGCTGAAGATATTCGCCATATGCATCTCCTGCTCTCTGTCTCTGCTCACCATCGGAGCAGGCTGGCTTTTTTACCGACCTCTGATGGCTGTGGCTCTGGGAGCACTAGCTCTGCTTCCGTTGTTTCTCGCCCGCTCAGGGCTTCCAGCCAAGAAAAACGAATGACTAGTGAAGTGAATGTAATAACATTTCCTGGTGCTCGGCTGTAGCCATCCATCAGAGGTGTCAAGCGTTACGTTTGTACTGCAGGGCTACGCACCACGCGGTACTCACTTAAGGCAGTATGGTCACTTTGTTGTGATCATATGTCTTGTTTAAATATGTACAATAGTAGTTTAAAACGAATTCATTAGGTGTTTCAACAAGTGGATATTATCATTTTACTATCTTATTTTATCATCTTTAAGTAGTTCATGTGGGGTGTTTCCCTTTATCATCCTGAAATATATTTATGGATAAAAATAAACAACACTCAACACAAGGCTTATGTTTCCTGTCAGGCAGAAGAGGAGGCTTTGTTGTCGCCTTCTTTTGATGTTTTTGATTTAATTCAATGTGGCCTGACAATATTGTCTCCACCTATGCATGTCCTATCTGTTTTCTTCCTATTTTGCAGCTAAAAGAAGAGCAGGGAACCATTTGTACTTTCTTCGTTGTGCACAATGAGTTCTATTATTTATTGTAAATTTGATTCACCAAAGATCTCTCGCTCTTTTTACCTGTGCAGATACAGGCTAATACACAGACCTGCAGTTAATCCTTCCTTCCCGGAATTTAAAAGATGTTTTAAAACATTTAGAAATGAATTGAAATTGATAAATTATAAGGTTTAACAGAGACAACATCATAACCTTGATGAAGGTTGAATTTATTGCAGGGCTGAACAGCATCAGTGTTCTGTGCAAAACTGAGGTTGATTTGTTTTTTTTCGAGGAACTACCTGACCTCCATACGCAATCAGCCTCTGATCAGCTGCACCTGTGGGCTCGTCTTCAAAAGACTGAATCAAGCTCCTCCCCCTTTTCTCTCAAACTTCAGCTGGGATCAGAAGCATGGTTTATGTCACCATTTTTCCTTCTCTTTGTGAATTTGTTTTAAGTTGTTTTGCTATAAAGATTATTATTTTTGATTCATCGTTGTTTTTTTGGGCTCGTCTCTTTATTTAATAGGACAGTGGATAGAGTAAGAAACCAGGGAGAGAGGGTGGGGAATGACAAGCAGGATAGGAGCCACAGGTTGGACTAGAACCCAAGCCATCCGCATGGAGAACTGCACCCCCGTACATGGGGTGCAACCTAGAAACCGCTAGGCCATCTGCAGCCACTTGAGTTTTTCACTCCTTTATGTTGCCTCACCTTAACCTGGGTCATAACACATACCCACTGTGTAGGCTGTCTTCACAGATTATGTGTTTCTTCCAAATCTGCATCACAAAGCCCCCTGTATGGACAAGAACACCAATGTTTGCAAAATTCCAAAGCACTGTGGATCTTTATTTTCTTGTATTAATGTTATGCAATGTATGCAAAAAAAGAAAAAAAAAGCACTTTTGAATTTATCACCATAAAACGACACCTAAATGATTCCTGACTCAGGGCTTCAAGAAATGTTTAAGAAGTAAAAGGGCCGACTAGTTGATCCTGAAAGAGTTATCTGTAGTGACATGTTTAAACTGTAAAACAGAAATGTTAAAAGACTTTGCAGTTAAACTGTCAGCCTTACATTTTGTTAATAAGGTAGTTCTGGCATGTTTATTTTTGAATGTTCAAGTCAGTGTTGCCATGAATATCCTGTGTCTGTTAGGCTGTGTTGCAACAATATAAAAAGGAAGCAGCATGTACTAGAACTCTGATGCCCACAAAATCTGATGAACGGCCTTAAACTTGGACGATGGAAATAAAAGATCTGTAAAGTAGGCAGTGCATGCGAAAATGTGTTATCTTAAGAAACCTTTTCCAGGGCCGTGCATGCTCTTTTTTTTTCTGTATCTATACCAAAGTCAGTGTTTAACAAGAAGGTTGTACAAGTTGTCAAGATTCTTACAAAGTAATTTATTACACAAAACACTAAGTTTCCATTTGCGTTTAACAAAATGAGTTTCCAGTCTCATAGTGTGCATGTAATCATTATGCACATAAGATTTGCATGTGAAGCACACAAACCAAATTAGACTTAATGTGTGCATCTGTTTGTTGAAATAATTAAAACGACTATGGGTCACAGTGTGCAGGTTCTTCACCCTGATTGCTGTGGATCATTCCTTAGATCAGCAGGCAGGGCTTAAGCACTGAACTGTAGTTGGCAGGTGTGACACAATAGGTCCCCTGGCTGATATCTTCAATTACATTGTACATGTCGATAAAGGAGCTTTCATTATGGCAAATTTACTAATTTTTAAAGTACAAAAAAGTATTTTCCATAACCTTGAAATTGAATACTGACAGAACCTGACTACTTTTGCTTAAGACAAAATAAGTAAAAGCGTTACACCTTTAGTAAAAACTGGGGAGAACAGTCTTTTTTGTGAATGTGTTTCGGGGGACAGGTTTGACCTAATGCTCCTTCTCCCCCTTGTAGGAAGCGGTCCACGTGCCACCGTTTACAGCAGGGCACATTTATTGCTCTTCTTTCCCCGCTTGGCCTGTAGTGCAGCCCTGGTGGCCATCTCGAAAACTTCCCTCACGCCATCCTTTGTTTTTGCAGAGCACTCCATGTATCCAAAGGCACAGATCCTGTTAGCCATGTCCCGTCCATCCTCAGGTTTCACGGGTTCCTAAAAGGAAATGTCAAAAGAGGTCAGTGTTTTTCCTGGCTCAGAATGGGCCTATGGGAGTTGACTATACGCGTTAAAGTGAGCATTTGACCTGCGTATGAGTCTGTTTTACCTTATATCACAGACATTTATGCATTTCCCGTCATTTCTGAACGTTTTCTAAACAAATTTGCCATTATGCTTGAGTACATGATCCCCAATTAAATCTGGTTACGATTTTTTCTTATTGCAACAGTGAAACGGGAGGGGAGGAAGATGGGTGTAATGAGGTTGGGAGAGGGGAGGTGCATTTCACACACTTCCTATGAAGCTGATGTTTTGCTTTTTTGTAGCTGCAGCTATGTCAAACACGGTTGTTTTAACAAGACTGTTTGGATAAACATTTACCCACCATGTAGTAGATAGCTCTTGGAAATTAACTCTTAACTAAACTAAAAATACAGACAACAGAGGCCTATACTACAAGTTTAACATACCCAGGGTATCTTTAGGTTGTCCAGCTTCACTAACCCAAGCAAATGACATCGCTCTAAGCAGTCACAACAAGCTGTTTATCAATGTGAGTAGTCAATCTAGAGTTTCTATGAGCGCATTCTCATGAGGCCGGGCATACACTGTGATTTCAGGCTGATTCTAACCCAATCTTTGAGACGCAAGTGTCGTTTTGCCATTCAGTGTACAGGGGGGATTTAGAGGACGCTGCTCATCTGTGATCAAAAATCTGCTTTGAGAAGTCAGGCGACTAGAAAAGTGCTATACAAGCTTAAGTCCATTTACCACAGTAGGAAGTGACATGACCCCAATCATTGAAAATCCAGCACCATGGAGGCGGTTAATGCATTTGTTTTGGGGTTTTGAGATAATTACCTGCTTCATTTTGGCAAGTTCCCGGCGGGTGTGCTCATCATTGCGCAGGTCCTTTTTATTTCCGACCAGTATAATGGGAACGTTAGGGCAGAAGTGTTTCACTTCAGGTGTCCACTTCTCAGGGATGTTCTCTAAATAAGATCACAAAAACACAATCAAACAGGATACAGGGAAAATGTAGGTGAGCCCAGCGAAAGTACCACCATGAATAAAAAAATAAAAAATACATTGATTTGATTTTTGTGTTTGTAACTGTGATGTACATGAAGAGACAAATAACAAACACATATTGTACCAATATGCTTCCATATTTTCAAATACTATGCCAGTTTAACTATATTGTTTGGGGCTGATCATTGCAAAGCCATAATAGGGGCTACCTGTAAACTCCAGGTGTTGTGTTTGCTTCTACCCTTACAATTTAACACGATACTAGTCAACTGAAACTTAATCAAAAACGGTTTCATCAACGCTTTCTAAATCATCTCTGTGCATAACCTGCACTACCAATAATATTTAATTGACATTAAAAAAAGAGGGAAATAAATGTCCCACAAACATTAAGCTCACTTTTTTTAAACTTACCAAGACTGTCAGGGCTGTCGATGGAGAAGCACATAAGAATGACATCAGTGTCTGGATAGGAGAGCGGGCGCAGTCTGTCGTAGTCTTCTTGGCCTGCTGTATCCCAGAGCGCCAACTCCACCTGCCACAATAGTTAACAAGTGATGAACTACATCCCAAAAAAGTGTTCTGAGAGCTTCATTACTACAGGTTTGATAATATATTGACCTGATATGTGTACACATTTATATACTTTCATCCGTAATACTTATGTGATAAAATACTTTTGGGTTGATATGAAAAAAGCCCACACATTCTATTAACAAGGACTCAGATGATCCATTTTACACAACGTGCCAAAGACTCCCAGATAAGTAAAACATTTTGAATCAATGAACACCTACACTCATTCTCAGCTGGTACCACTTTTAGGTAGAGGGTTAAAGGTTCTATATGTAACTTTTTACTTGTATAAATCATTTTTTAATCGCCCATTAATAAGCAAACGGTTAACTGATGTGAAAAAGTAGATGTTCACTGTTTATCTGTGTTGCCTGTATAAAAAGTTTCCCCAGGTCAAAAGCTCCAGGAAGTGACATTTTATGCACAGTCTCAACGTCCTCCTCACTCCGCTCTGTTTACAGAGATCAACAGTGCAAACTCATCACACACTCCCGCTTCAGCCAGAGGCCGACTTCCACACACTTCAATCCACCCTAGGAGCTCTCCAAGGTGGACAAACTCATCACACACTCCTGTTCTCAGGCAGTGCCTGCTGAGACTGTCGTTTGTAGGATGGAGAATGAATACAGACACGGAATCTGTTAGTACAAATAAATGACTGGCCTCAAGCACACCACAGACTCCTTCACATGCTTTCACATGAGTATGACCACTTTCCTCCTCTGTAAACATTATGATGATGATGATTAATTTATTTTCATGTCATGCACACAAAGTGCCCAACCCTCATGGGCTTAAAGACACCAAAGAATTCAGTTGCAGTGGATCACATTTACAAATCATAACATTACTAAGTTGCCAGCTCCTGTCACAGTTCAGTCTTAAACAACGTGTTCTGTCTTTTTTCCCAGGCTTTACAAACAAAATCTGCTATAACAAAAGTTCCTTTTTTTAAACACAACTCAAGTTTTTCATAATCATCTATCCAAAAGAAATCAACATAATTTGAAGACATTCTTTTAAAAAGAACATCCCTGATGTCAGCATACATCGGGCAGTAAAACAAAAAGTAAATCTCGTTTTCAGTTTGTCCTAACTCACACAACAAACAAACTCGATCTTCCTCTGGAATGGAATTAAACCTGCCGGTCTCTAAAGCTAAAGGTAATGTTCCTGAACGTAGCTGAGCGCAGAGGGATCTTTGTCTTTTGGTTAAATTAAATTTAGCATAGGCTTCTACGCTGTAGCAATCCTTTATGAGACACTATGTTCTTAGTTTTAGTTTGCACTATATATCCACAGACCATTTCTCTTTGTACATTAGAAACGTATTATTTTTTATCTCCTGAATATCACAAGTTAAGTTATTTAGAAAAATAAAGGACATATGGAATACAGATTTTATCTCCTTTGCCCATGGGTGACAATGGCAGGTATCCCAAATAGAAATCTTTTGTGAGTCTCTGATCCGACATCTTTAAGTCTATTCCAAAGCCGAAGCATTTCACATTTGTGTCTGATGTTTGGAGGCTCCTATCCCATATCTCCATTCACAGCGAGGATTGGCGTTAATTCATGGACTCCCAAGAAGGACCTCAGAGCTCTCTGATGTACAGAATTACAAATGATATGTTCCGTGAACCCCCAGACACCGGAGGCATAATCAGACACTGGACACACACATGAATGATAGAGTTGTGTATAAGTCTGAAATCCCAGTTTACCACAGTGTTTAACTTTGTTCAGTACAGATCCCAGAGCTCGACCAGCTGACTGAGTCAAAACACTCACAGCTTCTTTAAAAGTCATGTGTTCATCCAATGTCAAGCCAAGATATATTGATCAGCATATGATAGCACTGTTGTGCCTAAATTAAAACTAACTGGACTTCTTACTAATGATTTTTGCCTGAAATGTACTACCTGTGTTTTGTCTTCATTTGCCACTAGTCTCCATTTCAAGCACCATTCTCCAACAATATTCAGCATAATTTGTAAGTCATCTTCATGTTCAGCCAGTAGAACTACATCATCCGCATATAATAATATTCCAACAATCTGATCGTCCACTTTAACTCCCACATTACAGGTTTTATGCTGGTAAATATCAAGTGCTTCGCGGCCGATGATGATGCTTGTTTGTGTATTTACAAGCACCTATGACGAACAAGTGAGCAACAGGTTACTGGTGCAGTTCGCCTCGCGGCCTGTTACATACCGCCCCTTTAAGAAAATATAACCAGCATTCACTAGCTTTGTGTTTGTAGTGGCAATCAAACAACAAAAAGTGCCACTGGAGGGAATTTTAAGTCATTTCCAACTCATGGTGGGTAAAAAAAAGGGAATGTCCGCCGTTAATTATGTTTGCAGTATTTATTTATCAACAATCTTAAAAACACCAACAAAAAGACAGGTGTAGGCCTATTCTGCATCAGACGAAACAAGCTCATAAACTTAGATAAAGTCTAACCGAGCCGGACGACATCTTCACACCCTTATGGTTGGAAAAACTGTGAGGCTTCCACTAATTCCCTATCCCCATTCACCTGTGTCTCCCCTTTCTACCTACCTGTGGCTGTAATTACCAACTATGCCCAGGTGCGCAGGTGACGTTTTTTGCAGCCGAAAACATCCACACACACAAACCACAACACACATGAACTTGACGACAACAGTGTTCTTGACGATAGTTCCCATTTATATTGGTGTGACATGGGAGACAAGTAAAATTGTTCATACCTGTTTGCTATCGACTTCAATGTCGGCCACATAGTTCTCAAACACTGTGGGAACGTAGACCTCTGGAAACTGGTCCTTACTGAACACGATGAGCAGACAGGTTTTCCCACAGGCTCCATCTCCCACTATGACCAGCTTTTTCCTGATCGCTGCCATAGCTGCAGAGAAGAAACAGGCAGAGGTTACGACATAATAAAGTTGTAATCAAAACACCAGGGAAGGAGGTCCGTCATAATTGCATTTAGCCATGATGCAACTATGAGCACCGACTTGGACCGTGAGAAACGATGGAAAGCTGTGAACATCTGTTTTACAGACTCCGTCAGAAACCAACACCCGAGGCTAAATGTTTAACCTCATGAAACACCATGGCTGCTTACAGTCACTCACACGTACAGTGAGTTTAGCATAAGAAACAAGTTGAGTCCACGCTTCAAATATGTTCTTTTCAAATGTTTACTGAAGCTATGTGGGACTAGGAGGAACCATCATTCATGAAACATTTCCGCTTCAGCGTGTCTGACCTATCCCCACTTTCCATCTGACAAATTACTCTGTTACACCTGTGTCACAGTTTTATAATCGACATTTTCAACATGAATAAGACACTAATTGTTGCTGGTAAAAGCCAGGAATAACTGCATATCAGGTTGACCTAGATAATAGTTAGCAAGGAGGTTCTGTTTACAAAAGACTTGAAGCTAGCTACTGGAGCTAACCAGCCAGCGTTAAGAGCAAAGCTAGAAGTTCACATCTGTATGGTTTTTATTCAGAAGTGGTAGAAGGTACATGCTCTATATCTATGGCATAATGTGTCGAGCCGTACGGTGTTTGTGTTTTTCCTCTTAACTACTCATGAAAACTTCGCTTTTTTTCTTTTAATGCTCAACCCGGTAACACACAGCTAGCTGGCTAGCTTGGTACCCATCCTTAGCTTAACGGAAGTCAATGCGATTCGTTAGCTGGCGAGCTAATCCAAAATATCGGAAGAAAATGTAGGTTGCCAAATAAATAAAACAGTAAAATGACCATTAAATAATATCGAAAAGATGCTACAACCATACTCTGCTTGTAAGTATAACACGCTCACCTAGTGATTGGTTTAAAATCTATCCAAGTGACTTCCAAGTAGCGCTTTGTTGGCCTGCTGCTCCCTGACTGCGCTGCTGCTGCTGCTGCCGGGGACTGAACAGGAGAGAGAGGGGGGAGGGGGGTGGGGTAATACACTGTTTTACTAACATTAACAATTATACCGAGGTAATGCAACACATTTACAATACTGCTGGTAAGTGTTTAACTCTAACAGCTAAAATTTATATTGTGTATGCTTCTACTCTTTATGTTAAAAAAAAAACTAAAACTAAAATATAAACTCAGAATAGCTCATGTTTTGTTATGATGTAAATTAATGGTGCAAAGTGACATTTACTCTTAGTACAACTTAACAAATCTGGTGATGTCCTGGCTCTTATATGCAGTGGCGGTTCTAGACCACTTTTACTGAGGGGGCCAAACTGGGGCCAGTTGTTTTGGTCAGAGGGGAACATTAACCCCAGGTCAAAATAGACAAAGATGATCGCTTTAAAAAATATATATAAATATTATGCCAAATAATAACACACATCATTAAATACCATAACATAAAATACCATTATTTATATTTGTTTCAGTAACAGAATTTAATACTAGATTGTGAGTCTGGTTGTTGAGTCAAATACTGTGTATGTGTTATGAGGGGGGCTCTGCCTTTAGGAGGGGTGGCCACAAGCTCAGTGTTACAGGGGCACTGGCCCCTGTTGCCCCCTACCTAGAACCGCCCATGCTCTTACAGCCTATAGGTTTAGATGGTTGAGTTGTGGGGACCATTTACAGCCATGATTGGTCATGTGGAGAAAGTGGCCAGGAAAACACTCACAACACCAGGCATAGCCTTTGCTCTTTTATCTTGCTACATAATAAAGTATAGCCTACATAAAGACATTTCAATCAGGAGAGACTTAATTGAGAATCAACAATTATTTATTTAACAATAAATGTGCAACAATTTAGATTTGAATGTGTAAAATCTTTGGGGGATTAGACTCCATCGTGACGACTTCATGTACTCGGAAGGGTAATGAGGCCGACAACAGGATAGGATACCCCCCCTTATGGAGTCTAGACACTGGTGGTGGTGAAGAAGATGTAGGCTATGATGAGCCTGGATCTGGACTCTGCTGAGCTGGAATGGAGGTGACTGGGGCGGTGGTGGGTTGCAGCCTGAAATGACAGAATGACTGTGGAAGAGAGAGAACAGTTTTGGCATTTTGTCGCAGCAGGATGATTGGCTGAGGGAGGTTGTGCCCGAATCTGTTTGGTTAATTACTTAAAGAACTTAAACACCCATTATGAGCTGATCACCAGAGCAGCTCGGCAGAGGAAGTAGTTGAGGTTGAAGTGAAAGGATGAATGAATGAGTGAAAGAATATAACCAGTCTTCCTGTCTGAACTTACACTGAGCTCCATTTCTTAAAATGTGTTATTCTTGATAATTATCCAAGATTATTTTTAACAGTATTTACCCATTTTAAAATGTAATCGGTTACCAAGTTTAATAGGTATTTTATTATTCAGCAGTATTTCATTACCAGCATTTTATTTATTTATTAAGCCATGTAGTCTTTTCATACATGAACCCTGCCCTCCATAAATGTCACAAGGGATCCAAAAGATTATTTTATTTAGAAAAAGCAGCAACACTGGAGAACAGGTAAACATAAACAAAGTGCACAATCTGTGTTTGGTTATCTGCTACAGGCTGCTGTCTGTGTATAGTGTGCCGTTTTGAATAGTTCAGTTAACAGTAAGTAACATAATATAAATAGTGAGTAAGCATATTAGGCTATGCTAGTTTGAACAGCAAGAACACACCCAGCTGTCATCTTTGGCTGGTGCATGCTAAATAAACAAAGCAAACAAACCATAACCATAACCAGGCCCTTATTATACACACATAACATTAGTCATTGCGTCCTATTCGTAAAATGTCTGTGGGCCTCAAGGGATTTATAGTTCTTGAACTGGTCAAAAGTATATGTACTTATACCATACACAAGGTATTTTTGTAACGTACGACGTCAGAGGCAACAATGCCGGGTCAGTATTCCAACTTCTTGCGGCCAGGTGGTAAGGATCAATATCGTTAATTGAGGCCAAATTCTCCAAATATGATATGGTATCTCCTCACAATGCTTTCTTCTTCTCCAGTTTGACGATTAAGTGGGTCGGTTGAATACATTTACTGCCCAACGTTATTTGTCTCTCTCTCTCTCTGTTGTGTTTGGTTTTGTTGCTACTGTACCGCAAAAATGTGCCAACGTGACTTCACCAACTAAATAATCACGTGTCTGACAAAGACCGATTGCCACTACCTGAAGTTTGCATGTACAGTCTGGGTTTGTTGGAGGTGTCAATGCGGTTTGGGTTGTCATAGCCATGTAATGGAGTAGGTTTAAGATAGATGTCCTTCATGTTACGGTGGGCAATGAGGGCTAGCATGTTCTGACTCTTGCCGCCCATCAGTCAAAAAGGTTTAGTTGTGGGACCAAATAGGGTCCATGGGGTACGGTATAGGTAGTTGCGTTGTCACTTCCATGGTGCCCAAAGGTTTGTAATTAATTATACAAAAAAGATTGAGAGAGTGCAGCTAGGAATGTCCAGACTGCAGAAAGAAATTGAGATGATTGTGGTGTCTTCATTTTGGACTATTTCCTCGGTTGAAGTGGTCACTGTAGGTCTATGAAATGCCAATATCAAAGGTGGAAAGACAGGAAAGGTTAGTTCATTTGTATATTAGGAACTGGTTAGGAGTCCTCAGTGTCTGAGTAGTGTTGCATTACATGGGAAAGGCATACTCTAACTACCAATAACTAGTTTAACAGACAAATTCAAGTGTTCAAAGGTCAGGAGGTGATGCTATCAGGAAACAAAGACAATGTAGTTTGTAACAAGGTCCCAAATCCAACTAGAGGGGGGAAATGGATCCCAAGACAGGCAGTTCAGGAAGCAGAGCATTTATTGGTTTGGGACTTAGTTTAGGAAAACCAGTGTGTAATATAGAAGTTCCCAAAGAAGGAAGAAAGCTGGTAGTGGAGCAGTTACGTTGATGTAGAGGAAGTAGTAAAGTGTACAGAGGCAGTGGTTCAGGTTAAGCAGGGACAGTGGATGAACTGGGAAAGTGTTGAGAAGAGGAAGCTTAGTTTAAGGGACCCGCGGAGTATGGAGGAGAGTCATGTTAAACTTGATAGGGGATACTTTGTGCTGCCATCATACCAGAACCTAAAACAATGGGTAGCCAGAGACCCATTGTGCTGATTCAGAGACAGCAACTTTGGAGCATATTCTGTCAGGCTGTAGGATTAGTCTGTCGCAAGGTTGTAGCGACATAACCAGGTTTTTAAAAAAGCTTAGCAGCAGGTATTGAAGTTGTAGACAACAGGTTAATTTAGGAGGTACTCAGGAATAGATTGCAGCCATCCAAATTGTCCGGGCGGGAGAGAAATACAGAGGAGGGGGTAGGTTATAGGTAGATATCAGGCCAACTTTAGAGTGCTAATGATTGGGAGATGCAGGTAGATCGGGGAGGAAACTTTGTTGTTAAAAAAACCCCTAAAAATAGTTTGCACTAATCTGAGGCCTTACACGGTATTTTGGTCTACAAGTCAGTTTAGTTTATAATTAGTTTATAATTTATTTCATAGAACTGACAGTTCCCTGGGAGGACTCTGAGGAGGACGCATACGAAAGAAAAAAGCTTAAATATGCAGATTAAGAGGTGGAAGCTGAACAGCTGGAAAGTTATGGTTTGTCCAGTAGAAGGGGGACATAGAGGATTAAAAACATGATCATCTATGTCATTACTGGGAGAACTGGGATTCTGTGGACAAACGGTTTGAGAAAGACAGTAAGGGAGATGGCAGTTAATGCAGCTAAAACCAGTCAGTGGTTTTAAATGAGGGGAAATAATGCCAGTTGAGGTGCCAAAACAAAGGTAGAAGAGACCCATCCATGTCCTTTGTTTTTCTCTCTTCTATCCTCTCTTCCCTCAGGAAAATGAGAGTCGGGGATGGTAGAGCAACAGCCTGATTGGCTGCTATGAGTGCTATCACGGCACCTCACCCTGGCTCTGCTTCCCTTGCCCTTGTTTTCTGAGCTCTCTCCAAAGACTTTTCTCTGTTTCTCTCTGTTCTCTCTCGTGTTCCCTTTGCTGTTCTTTTTCATTTATAATGTTGGTACCAGGAATAGTCACATTTTGGCCGTTGGAGCCATTAGAGGCCATGGGGTTAGAGTAGGTAGTATCAGCATTGGGGTGGCTCTGGGACACCTGAGCTAACTGTCAAGCTTTCCTGAAGGTTTCGTGGGACTATTTAGGTTAAACATTGATGAGGGGCCATGTGGTAGGGTAGGTAAGTAAGGTAGTATTGGTATACATTTCTAGCTCGCATAAACAAAGCCCGGGTCTTTTGAAGATGGCAATACTATTTATTGTGGTGGCCATAGGGTAGGTTATGTAATTTATAGGGCATAGGGGCATAATTGGGACTAGCGGTTTCTAAACTGAACACTTTTCCTTTCATTAGGGCACAAGTACTTCAAAAAGTACATTTACTTATGAGCCCTAATTCTGAGGTGCCATGGCTGTATATAATAAGCTTTGGGGCTAAAAGGCAAGAAAGAGTGGGTGGGCCTATACACACCAACCATTACTGCCTCATGGCCACTCTGTGAACTGCGCACTTTCTCATTTAGCTCTAGAGGTTTGCTTATTTATAGTTTATTTAAAGTTTCAAGGAAAATCTTGAAGACAATTCAAGCAAAACATACCTTTATACTGAAGACATGTTGACCTTCCATAAAAGATGTAGATGTGTTTCTAATACAATGATCAGTTTCACAGTAAGATACGGGACTGTTACTCAACCCTAACTCTGAAACTGAAGCAATTAAATGTAATTCAGCCCTTTTCACTGACAAAACTATCAACGTAAATACAAAACAGGTATAATTCAGATTTTAATCTTTGGTCTTGTATTTAAGTCCTTTGCATTGATGCTATTGTCATTTTATGGGTTATTTTGCTTCAGTGATGCATGTTTTCTTATTGCTTAAAAGGGATCTACAGAACCCACCTTGGCTGATATTGTGATGTCGGGGCAAATGTTCAAGAACAAATATCAGTCAAAAACAATGACATCATTCTAGCTGACATTCAGTGAACATTAGGCTTGCAGGGCCTCTATAGATGACTGGGGGCAGTTGTTCACTTGTTTATACTTCTACTCCTTAAGGTTTTGGAAAGTAATATTGTGCCTCTACGAAACTAAATTTGATTAACTGGTATACTTTAAGATGCAAACTCAGATTCAACAAGAGATTATTGGTTATTATGATTTAGGGGCATCAACATGTAGTTTAGTTATTGAATTATCTATAATCACTATTAAATAATGGAATGAACATATATGATAACATAACACTGCAAAATCTATAAATCTATATTTTTTCAATGCTAAATTAAATTCTGCATGAGAGTCCAAATCTAAAGTTCAGTTAAAATGCATGTCAGAAAAAAACATTCTTGATAGACATTGAAATGAGAATTGCTTTGGTTACTGCTGTCCAATGACTTCTTGACAAACAAATGATTTCAAGAAGTCAGACTTCACTGACTGTCTGGAGCAAAGAAAGGCGGTTAGGGATGGTCTGTTCTCAGTCGGTGCCACAGTGTATTAATAACTGCAGCTCTAACTGTAATCCTGATAAGAGGCTTTCTCAGCACTGCTCAGTTCCACCTCGTGGAAACCAACTCAGGCGTGTTTCCATGAAAACAGCAGTTCTCACGTTTATGTTTGAGTGGTTTATCAGTGAAAAGAAGAGCTTGATAAAAAAAAATATGATTCTTGAAAATCCACAGGCATTACTTATCCTCTTCTGAGAATAAAGTAAGCTGTAAACAGATGTCCTTGGGCGGTTTCCACCACTGGAAATAACACAGATTTTAGAAAAGGATACTGACCACAAAAGAAATACAAAACACAGTGTGCCCAGCTTTTTTATTATATCTTTTAGATTAAGTTGTCTGCCCCCGTGTCCTTTTAATATGTTTTACGTGAGGTGTCAACCTCATGTCTTAAAACCAAAAACATGCTAAATCGATGTACCATCAACGGTTTGGACTTTTAATCATACTGAAATTGTCAGTGAGCAGACATTCAAGAAACAAATCATTACAGTTACAACAAGCAGCGGAAAATCTCTTTTCTGACACTTTGTGGCTCATACCTCCTGTAAAATAATTGGTAATGAAAACTCATGCTGTATCTAAAAAAAAGCCAAAATACAATGAAAAATGATGAATATACATTTTTGAAAGATTTTGTAATTAACTTAAAGGTACCCAAAGGTTGTATGGGATTCCAGTTGCCCCTGGAAAGGATCTATGCTATCCGATTTCAACAGTGCTTCTTAGATATAAGTGTAAATGATGACATATAGTCTCTCTCCTGGGACCAAAAGGCAATCAGAAGCTGCTTTTGAACTGATTTAATAAAGAGAAGTTGAGTCTCCTTTGTGGTAAATCAACTGGGCTAAAACAAGCAACAAGTTATACAACACTCTAAGTGGTGAGAGAAAAAAGGGAAATACTTTGGAAACAAAATAAATGTACATTATTGAAAGGAACGTAACAATATTTAAAAAAAAGTCTGGAGAACAGCAGTGCCACTATAGTAAGACCGAGCACACTCACATTGTCCATTGTCCTATTGTCCTATTAAAGCTTTTCAATGTTCTCCCTTCGGGGCTGTCAAAGAGTCTCAGATTCACAGTGTCTTCCTGGAGTGTGACCCTGACTCACATCCCCATCCCTGTGTCTCAGAAGTACTCTCAAATGCTAAACGGGTAGTCCTGCAGGTACTGCAGAAGAGGCTTTGGAAGTGGCAGCAGATCAGGGCAGTCTGTCGTGTGTCTGTTAATGGCTAGGCGCGCCAAGTGCTGCAGAGAAGGGAAGGCGTCTCGTTTGTGCAGAGGGTGCTTCAGCTTCAGAGGCACCCCGCAGTCCTTAGCTGTGTGCTTTTCAGAGTCAGGCTTTGTTTCGGTGAAGGTGTGATTAGAAGAGTGGCCCTGTGGTGTTTGGCCTGAGCCCGTGTAGTGCTGTATGAGGCTGACGACATCTGGGAAGGACTGCAGCTGAGGCAGGCCGGGGGAAATGGAGTCCAGCCAGAAGGAGCCCTGGCTGTACTCGATGCGGACGCTTGTGGGACCACAACGGGTCTGCACTGACAGGGCCAGCATGTACTGAGGGTGATTGCTGTCCCGCATCAGAAACGTGCCCTCAGGCTTCTGTAAAAGAGCCTCCCGAGCTTCACTCGCTGAGATGGAACCCCAGTACCAGCCTGAAACCAGACAGGTGGCAAAGATGTAAGCTTTTATAGTTATTGTTACATGAAGTTCTGGTAATTGTTCAGATATCGATAAGAACATGTGAGATGGGGTATCACAGGTAAGCCTAGACCAATCAGATAGCAATTATAAACAAAAATCTACTTGTTTAACCTGAAATGATTTATTATTTACTCTTTGCTACTTCGGATCAGTAGCCGACACAGCAAATAGAGCTTATATTTTAGCATAAATGTATTGTGGCTGCAATTGGAAATTTATGTTTTAGAGCAGCAAACAACTTAATTTAAGTAAATGATTTGAGCATAAAACAAAAATAGATGTTTGCTAGCAGAAAATGTTAGTTAAAGCTACACTGAATAAAGCAGTTTCATGTTAGAAATCAGTATTCCTCAGACACAGCAGGTCATGGGGGCATTCAGCTCATATCTTGGTGCTCAGCTTGTGTTTAGTTTAGACGTCCTGTATGTTTTCATATAGTTCATGAGGTTATCATATGAGTACTGAATTATCTGTAGAGGTCCCCCTCTCTCCAACACGACGCTTTTCACGTAAAAAAATATGAATATTTTATGATCTTTGATATACAGAAGGGAGCACGTGTTCTCAATATGAATTTGATTTAATCCTTAATTTCTCTGTTTCATCATTTTTAAGTTATAATCATTCTGTGTACATTTTTTGTGCGTGTAATTGTAAATGTGTTACTAAGGGATTAACCCGAGGCAGAAAATACATCCAATAAGAATCATATCACATCTGATTTGCAAGTCCAGGAACCGGATTTGATACATAGAGTACAAAAAAAAAAATCAGACCTGCTCCAGTTTTGGTGAAATCATGGCAGTACAACACTAAAATTATCCCCACAATGTGAACTTCAATGCTATGTGCAGTGCGATGCCATCTCTTTACAAGAGTCTATCCTGATTTTCCCTGTAGGAATAACTAAAATATTCCTGATTATGATTATGGTTCAGCGAAAGAGCAGGTGTACCTGAGGTCTGCAGATACTTGAAGTTGGTGGTGATGCAGCAGAGGTCCTCTGCAAGCTCCTGGGGTGGAGGAGAGGGATGTGGGAAACATGAACCTCCTCCTCGCTCCTCATGATGGAAAACTGTCACTGTCCGGGCAACCATTTCTTACTGACAGCAGCACTATTGACATAAAATTTTGTATAATGTTGAAATATTTTACATTTCTTAATAACAAACCAGATTTTTTAGTGTGGTCCAAAACCTTAAAAAATATATTAGCTCTGATGTATGAGTTATCTTTTACAATCTTATCTTAGATGCAATCACCTTTATTGACCGTTATAATCCAGAGTTAAAAAAAAAAAATTGAATACCGAAAATTTTTCTTATCACAGAATAAAAAAAACACATATTTTTTAAAGTCTGCAAAACTAAAGCCAGAAGCTTGCGATTTCTAACTCCACCATAACGCACTAGTCTACATATTCGTAAGAAAGTCCTCAAAACCCAGACTTTGACAAAACAGAATACAAATAGGTTAAACCTACCTTAAAGCAAGGGAAATCATGTAGGCTCGCGACCAGTTTGAGAAACACTAAATAATAAATATTCCTCCAAGTCACAGTCGAATAATCTCGGATGGTGGCCAAAAAGCAAACATTTCCTTTAACTACCTGCTATAGTAACACAAATTACGAGAAATAAATATTGGTATGGGCTTGCCGGTTGTCTGCAGTTTAGTGTGTCCTCTGTAGTCAGTAGACTGCAGAGCAGAAAACAGCTCAGTTCACTTTGGACTGACTGAGCTTCCAGGAATCTATTTCCCAGAAAGGTTTTGTGTTTCAGCGCCCGCAGTGACAGGAGCAGGCCGCTGCCTGCAGCCTCAAAACACGTTGTCATCAACACAGGCGTGCTGTTTCCTGAACACATTTCATAATAAGACTAACGTTGTTCTGACCAACCGGCTGAATATGCAACTGTGTAGAAAAATAAAAACATGATGACAGGCCCACCTTGTTTTTTTTAATAAGCTATTAAGAGCCTTCTCATCATATTTATTATATTTCAGTTAAAAATGCTAAAAAAAAAATAATAATAATAAAAAAGCAGATTGCAGTAAAGCAATCAAATGATAACATAATAGCAAATTGAAATATTTCACGAACAACAATAAAACCTGGTAATTTATTTTTACCTTTATTGTTATTAATTCCAATAGCCATATAGTAGGCTACACATTGCTACTTCCTTAGATATCCTTCATCCAAAACACAGTTATGGTTGACACAAAACGCTCATAGAGTTGAATAATATCTATTTTGATGAAGGTGGAATTATAACAAGAATGTTGTATTGAATTGCATTAGTCATGGAAAGGTAGGCCTACATAATACAATTCCAACTAAGAATGTATTGCAGTATATTTAATTTCACCAATATTTGTTTTCGGCCTTTACACACAAAAATGCCCCCATGAACTATGGATTGAAATCAAATATGTATGCGTAGTTATCATATCTATTATGTTGAAGGACATGGCAGTACTTCCGGGACGGTTTGAGTGTCATTTCGCTGCCTTGATGTAACTGACGGCACTAAGGCGTTTAATGCTGCATTTTCGTCCAATGGAAATTCAGAGTATTAGTAGCCTACCACACGCTTCTCAATTACACCTTGAACGCTTGCGTGTTTTTAATCAATTCATTTGTCCTTATCCGTGGATTTTCATGCCCGGTTGACTTCAAGTACAGTGCCCTGAGTATCATGTGAACATCTATTGTAAAGAAAACTGTAGCATATTATATCGACACATAGTCACACGCTTTACTTACCTCTCCATCGAGAGGTAACACGTTTTCAGCGAGTGATTATGTTTCGTTATACAATGAAGACAATTAGCCCACAAATAGTTGATTCATATTCCTGGAAATTCACTGAACTGGGTCATGTCATGGAAGAAGTCCGCATTTCTTGACAAAGTCAAAGTTCATCAGCATCAGCATCACCACCACCACCATCATCAACAAACCCACAAATTCCATGTAGACAGATAATGACCATTTGAAACCCACAAGTAAGCTTTGAACCATATTTCCAAGAAAGTGTGTTCACATCAGCCGTGTGCTATGAAAGCAGCAGAGCCGCTGAGGGCTTCTGAGTAGAGAGGCTTCCTGGAAAACACACACAACAAAGTGACCTCCACTGCTGAGCCCTGATCCCTGCTGCTGCTTCTGCCTGCATGACTACAGAATTACCACGCAAATACTGCCAGAGAAAGAGGGAAAAGAGGACACAAACAGGAGTAAAAGGAAACATTTTATTGTGGGGTTTTTGTAAAATAACAGTTTTGTCAAACCTCTTCAGTTGACAGGAGAAGGCAACTTTACAGGCGATGTTCATAGATTTGCATGTGGTAAAAATCGAAGCAAGGGAAAAGTATAGGCTGTCTATAATAAAAAGGAGAATGTCATAGCCATTTCCCTATGATTGTAAACAGTTGAACAAATTAAAGCGAACAGTGAAGAGGAGTTATCAGATGGGATTGTATGCCTGATAATATATAGTGAATGGGGTATTCAAAATGTACCATTCATTTGAGTGATATGCATTTTACCCCTATAAAATCAAATGTACTGTATGGTTGGTTGCCAGGCTACCACACAGACAACCTATTGTGCAGCATCTGAAAACATTTTTTGCAGAAACAATATGGGAGATTGTTTACTATGTAAGGCATTTTTAGAAAGCTATATTTAAAAAGCAGTTCCTGAATTGCAATTTGAAGACAATTTTTAATCTTAGCTATCACCTTCTCAAGTTTTTTTTTTAACATTTTGTTTACATATTTGACTATAGAACAATACAAATGAATTCCTTTTTAAGGTGGATCTATTTTCCTGTTTTCTGAGTTTATTATCTGCAACTAAAAGAAGAAATGACTAGAAGTTTACCAGTTATAACATGTAAGATCATACGTATAGTGTTATTTTGCAAGTGTGTGTGTATAATTCCTGATGTTTGTATGTGTGTGTGTTTAGTATCTAACTTTCTTCCCCATTCTCTCCTGCACCCTTGATAAGGCGTTTGTTGCCCCTCTTCCCTCCTGGCCCGCGGGGCTTGGTGAAGGCCTGCTTTAAGGTGTGCTCCATTGGGTGGACCTCTTCGTACAGGAAGTGTTCAGTCAGGTCATTACCGTTGTCTATCTCCATCTACACACAGACACACACACAAAAAAACCTTAACCACTGACCATAGAAAAGGCCGTCTTCCAATGGGTGATATATTTCTTAAACCCAATTTGAAAAAAACATTATGACAGTTTGGGTCTGAAATATTTCCACAAAACTAGCCTTACTCATTCCCAGACACAGAACAAGACAGTAATGAACTGCCTGTGTAGATATGTAATGACCACAGAGCTGCATCATCCACAATCATTATTACCTAACATCTTTAACTAAAGGTCATGGCTGCTATTTCAATTGACCTTTACCTTTTTGGTGACCTCCAGGTGGTAGTCTTTCTCCACCTCGTCCAGTAGCCTGTTCTTACAGCTAGAGTACAGCATCCGCTCCTTGATGCTGCAGGTGTACCCAGGCATTGAATATATGAACACTGGAACACATGTGAACTCATCAGTCAAGATGCTGTTGTTAAAGAGAAAATTAGATTAAAAAAAAAACAAACATGTTGTGCCACATGTGAAGAATTCTAAAGCAGTAAAGTCTTTACTTTCGATTTATAGCAATATTGCAAAAGATGCTTTCTATGGGGTGTTGGTGGCCTAGTGGTTAGTTCGTCCACCCCATGTACAAAGGCTGTTATCCTACAAGCGAGCTGAGGCGGGTTTTAAGCCTCCCGACAAACCGTAACATTGCGCCCACATGTCAATCAGGTCAGCCAAGCGCATAACAATGGATAACAAGTATCCTTTATAAAATCCCAAAAGTTGTTCAGCGTTGTTTAAAAACATCACTCCCCGTACAGTGTGTGCCCATGAGGACAACGCTGTAATCATTTTAATTTCTACTGTAAAACTGGATTTTTTTTTTGGTTGCAGTGTGTATGTGACTTCCTGGAGCCAGCCTCAAGTGGACCCTTGACAAACTGCAGAGTTCTGTTCTGGATTCATTTTTTTAACACAGGAGGTTGGTACTTACCCAGTGCTTCCTGCCGCTGACCCTGGTGAGAGTGCTTGAAGATGAAGAAGTGATATCTTGGGGAATCTGAAGGGATCCTAAAGGGAAGCTCGTGGATCTCTGTAGGTTTGGTGTGAACCAGCTCAATAGTCTCCTTCTCTACATCCAACCTCTGCAACAACACAAACCACAAATAAGCTTTGTCAAGTCATACGCAGCCAATTTTCCTGTCAAACACAGATACATGGATTGTTTTTAAAAAGTGTGTGCTTTTTTTTTGTTCACTAAAAACATCTTAATTTGACATGCCAAGTCATTAGATAAAAACGGTGTTAGTCTGAGCTCACCAGCTGTATGTAGTTGATGCATCTCTGCTTGAGTTGCTGCAGGGCTCGTTTGGCCTCTTCCTGGAGCGGAAATGCAAGACCTTGAAGAGTCTGTGCCCGTTTGTCTAAGCCAAACTCCATTGTAACCTGCAGAATGAAAAAAAACATTGAAAATTAATTTTCAATGAGTCCTACCAAAGGGAGTTAAATTTAAAGCCATTTAGAAACAGATGAAATGACGGTAACAAACCCTTGCTCGTGCTGTAGGAGTCCCAATACGCCTTCGTTCATCCTGTGGACAAAACAGATGGACTTGTAATCTTTCCTACTCGCTCTTCCTCATGCAAATTTAGTTGATTTCATATTTGAAGAAAATCTACCCACCCACACAACTTTATCCTGCAGGAGAAGAGTCAAAGCACTCGAGATTAGTACAAATAATACACTAAGTACACTTCTTTTGTTACATTGATACAGTTTGTATGGTTTAAACTTTACCTCTGTGACTTTGATTTGTTGTAACTGCTGCTCGGCTGTTGTGAGTGGAGCCGGGGAGGAGCAGGAGGTCATGTGTCGCAGGTAACCCTGGAAGCACACGTCATCCTGCAGACAGGCACACAGTGTGAATCATCATCAGCACCTCAGGATTCACTCGAACGTCGCCATGTTGGAGGGATTTTACTTACCTCGACTGTGCCAAACATTTCATCTTTAATGTGACCTCCTCCAAACTCTTTCTTCAGTGTGGCACGGGTAGCTGCGTACAACATCTTCTGCCTCACCTAACAGGTGCCAGGATGGAACACAGGAGTTATCGGTATGATAAATATAGATCATGGTTTTCATAGTTTTGGTTGTTTTTAATTGGATGACATTGGATGAAATTAATGGTAAATTTTAAATTTTATTGAGTAACTTTAAAACTTTTTATTATTATACAGCAAGGTATTTATATGTCTTAAAACATAATTGTGTACTTTTAGTTATGATGACATCATCTATTTGAATTTCAATAATATTTTAAATTGTGGTAAATGTTTTGTTTGTTTGTTGTTTTTAAATATACACACTTCAAGTCAAACAAGTCAAAGTCTAAGTCAATATTTTCTCCTGCATGAAGAAAAGAACTTCACATGTTATTTAAGTTTTTAACTGTCAGACAAAGATGCTTCTGTTTTACGTTTTACCTACATTGGTCTGTGGATTTAAAGTATGGCTGGTATGTGATTGCACTCGAGTAAATCAGCTGTTTAAAACATACTGGTGATTGGTCAGGTGACCAGGGGATGAAGATCCACTCGTATCCCTGTGCATTCTGGGAGTCCAGGCGATAGAGGATGTAGCAGGGTTCCTGATGTGTAAGCAGAGGAAGCAGGAAGTGATCGTAATCCTTGTCCCAACTCTGTGCGGGCTCTCTGTACGAGTCTAACACTAGCTCCTCTGCAGCAAAAAAAAAAAAAAAAACATACATCAGGTGAACTCATCTCTTGATTTCAAACAGGTCAACTTGTGCCAAAATCTTCAAGAAACCTCTTCCATGTTTACCATTTCTGATGACTATCTTCATAGTTCTGATGGCACCTCCCCTCGCCCGGGCCAGGAACTCCTTCAGCTCAGATGTTGCTGAAGTAACCAGATATAACACAGACAGGTCAAAACTGAGGATGAGGACTGAGAACCTGAGACTCAACTTCAGGGAGAAAACTTGACCCATCGCCAGATCAGCACACCATGACATAAAGCGGCTTAGACTGAGGACATTTGGACCATAGGACCACAGAAGAAATATAATTTTGGGATATAAAAAGCCTACATACTTTCCCTTTTCCAAACCCATTTATGGTTATTTTACCTCACAGAAAACAATTTATTGCATCCCCCCCCGCCTTCTCTCACCATGGTTACAAAACACAGCATCTCATAAATGATGTAAGATCAGGTGAGAAAGGTGAGAGAGGTACGCTTCTGCCAAACCGCGCCCCCCAGCCTCCAATTACAAAATGCCGTAACACACATCATTGCTGTGAAACTATCCATAAATTCCTTTAGAATAAATAACTAAATAACACAATTAAGGCTCTTACAATATATGAGACAGACATATCAACAAAAAGCTGTCATAAACAGGATGTTCTGTAAATGTGTAGATTTTACAGTCCACCTTTATTTATGACATCATGTTGTCAGGTCAGTCAGTTACTTCAAGCAACCCTTTTATATTTAAAGCATTCTTTCAGGATATCATAGGTAACGATCAGTGAGACCATGAGAATTAGTTAAATATAGTGGCACATCTTAAAAGCTGAAATAAAAAAAAACAAACAAAAAAAAAACGTATCTAGGGACAAACAGCCCAACACACAAAAACCGCAAGAATGAATAAAGTTCAGTATTCCTGGAACAAATCATCTTACCATTAATTCCTGTCTGGTGTGACATCTTCACTGTGTGTCCTCGCTCCTCTTGCTCAGCAGGTAGGCTGCCTCTACACTGATGGCAGACAGATGGACCCACGCGCACCACTGAAATAAACGCCCGGAGGGTGACTTGGGAGATTCCTTACACTTGAAACACAATCTGCGGAACTGTGGCTGATGAGTAATAACATGCCTGTCAGAGGATATGCCACCCTGACCACTGATCTAAAACTCTCTGTGTATCAATGGCGGCCCCACTTTAAAGTCTCTGTGGGGGACGCTCTCCTAAGTCACATACTGTCCTTACCTGTAGATTACTCCACTGTGTGTGAGTACAGGTCTTCCAATCATGACATCAGTGGTCAGGTCAGTGTTTTTCAGATGCTGTCACATGTATCGACATTTTATCGCTCATTCACACAGAGAAGCCAACCAGCTCAGGCATGATCTCAAGTTCCATCCACCTGGTCACTGAAATGTGACACTGAGCCAGAATCGGACTGATTCATTTCAGCATTGTTCAATGGATCAAGAAGGGGAGTATTTATCTTATGTATATTTTAGATGGCCGATATACTTTTGATAGATGAGGGAAAAGGTGGAAATGGAAAAGGTACCTTTTCATGTTCCTAAAATATAAATGTGTGCTGTAACATACAAACAGCTTTTTGGGTAGCTTTTTATGCCTTTAGTTAGAGAAAGGACAGTGGATAGAGTCAGAAATCATGAAGAGAGAGAGAGAGAGAGAGAGAGAGAGAGAGAGTGGGGATTGACATGCGGGAAAGGAGCCACAGGTCGGATTCAAACCTGGGCCGTCTGCTTGGATGACAATAGCCATCGTACATGGGGCACGCGCCAAACAATAGGCTACTGGTGCCCCGCAAACAGCTTTTGTCCTTAAAGAATTGTGTACATCAGAAAAGTGGATTACTGAACAGACAGCATTTATAGTTCAATTAACGGCCACAGACAACAATAAAACAGAATTGCACAGTGTGTACACAAAGGAAAGAGAATTTAAGTGTTATGTGAATTCAAAAGAAACTGCCAAACACTGTGACTATCACCGCTTACATTGTGTCCCTCCTCCGACACCTCCCCGATACACAATCATGAACTCAAACGCAGGTAGGTGAGAGAAAGATAAGTGTGTACCTGTGAGCGGATCATCCATTATTCACTGTGTGGTGAGTACACAACCCAAGCATCTATACATTATTCAACAAAACCCCCCTCCCCTCCTTTTCTACTGAACAAAACAAAAAATACAGCCATTTATCAAATTGATTTAAACTGCCTTGAGCTTCTTTCACACCAGCATGTTTGTTTACATTAGAGTTTGAGAGTGAACGCCTGTGAGTTCAGTGAGATCATGTCAGAGTGGTGTCACTGTTATGAGACTAAACAGTACACTAAGCTTACAATGATGTAAACACACTTTTTAACTCTGTATTGCCCCATTTTTTAAGGTTGTAGTCATGCATCTGCAGAAGGGAACTTGGATTGTTTATTTAATATGATACAAAACATGTTTTAATATTTTACATTTTATAGTTTAAATAATAGATCTATAAGTGATTAAACAAAATGAATGAATGAAACTATAGTTAAGGTGCAACTACTACTATTTCATAATAAACAGATGAAACTACCAAACTAGACTTAGTCAAAATGTGATAACTTTAAGGATTCAGTACTTCCTTTTGAAACTAAAAAGATCAAGAAATTGATTAAACGTCATTGTATTTGGACTTCTGTTTGGACAAATTGAGTTTAAGTGTATTGATAAATTAATTGACCCATCTGTCACATAACTGCATTTTTCTTATTATCATGTTACTTCAGCATCTTTTGCACTATTCACCACTGCAGTTTTATATTTAGTCTTGTAAATATTAGTCTTTGCTTATTATGTATATTGTTTGCTTATTATGTATATTGTTGATATTTAATGTTGTACCTGTACAGGTACACCTTGTGTGTGTAAGTATACCTGGCCAATAAATCTGATTCTGATTCTGATGTTTGAAAAGGAGGGGGGAGAAGTGTGTACTAATCCCATCCTCTCTTCATTCATCATGAGCTAATAATGCAGCTATCTTATGTATTATATCATAAATGTTTCTTTTGTCTTCTTTACATTTTTTCAGTTATTGATATTATATAAGAAAAAAGGCTTTAGTTACAGCCTGTGTACTGAATGTCAATAGTAAATGTTAAAAAAAAGGGAAACAAATCCTTTCTTCCATATGAAACGGTTTATTATGAAATGTTGAAACAAGGAACAATAAAAACATGATTTCAGGTCAAATCTTCACATAATAAAATGAACCCAACAGGAGTTTAAAAAAATATTCCTGACAGGAGTTACATATATGGGATTCTGTCACAGTTGGATCAACCTTTTAAGTTTTAAATACTGCTCGTAATAATTAAAAAACAAACAAACAAACAAATAAGACATTTTCTACTCTGATAAAGGGGATCGCAGTCGAAAACGTACAGACATCTTGCATGGCTTTTATGTGTTTTTAAAAAAGTTCTCACTTTGGCAATGTCCGTCTATAGCACATCCACACACGGGAGCCAAAACATCTGTCAAGAGAAGGAAATAAGGACTTTGTGTGAGAAAGTGCGGTTCTGGAGAAAATGATGTGATGTGTTTGATCTCACCATTTGAGTGCAGGCGCTGGCAAATGTCATGTATCTGGGGTTAAACTGCAGAGTGTTGATGGGTCCCGGATGTTTCCCATCAAGCACAGCCACCTTCATTCCGCTCTCCGTGCTCCAAACGTGGACTCTCCCGTCCTCCGAACCTGCACAACAAGCATTTCAACAGAAATTGATTGATTGAAGTTCAATCAATAAAATACTACAGGAAAAGAACAAAAATATAACACTGAGGTGTTGCAGCTTACCTATCATGACAAACTGTGAGTCAGGAGTAAAGCAGGCCTCAAGGGGAATGCCTTTACTGTTATTGTAGCCCTTAAAATGAAACAAGAGAAAACACCTTCAGGTAATCACACAAATAGATGTGTTGAGTAAGTTTGTGGCATTTTGACGTAATAACAGTTTATTTTACAGAAAAGGTGTGTAGCACAGATCCATTGAAGGCGTTCAGAATGCGAATCATTCCTCCATTGGTTGAGATGAGAATCTGTTTCCCATCGTTACTGAATCGGAGTCCCGTCCAGTCGCAGGCACGATTAAACCTTGTTTCAAAAGAGGCAAAAGGACCCTATCCACAGAAAAACAACTTACATTATAAATACAGAGTAGGGTGGAGATACCCATAGAGCAGGTATTTGAAGGTTACAGACACAGACACAACCCTGTGACAGACTACATTTATACTTTACCTTGTCAAAAGCACGAAGGTCATACAACGTAATGGCCAGAGATTCTACCCCAGCAGCAAATATCAGACCATCAGGGTCAAAGGAACATACAGGTTTACCCAGTGGATTAGTAAGACCCTAAAAAACACAAATAAATTCACAAAAGGGAGATTTACATTTGGACAGAGATATGCAAATATATTACAAGCATGTTCTAGCCTTTTTGATTAAATATTGCTGTTCCTGTCCGTGAAATTTAACCTTATTTCTAGATAGATAGATAGATAGATAGACATAGACACATATTTACTTGATCCCAAACTGGAAAATTGTGGGAGATAGATAGATAGATACATACATAGATAGATAGATACTTTATTGATCCCGAGGGAAAATAAAGGACAGTCCCTTGGCAGATTGCAGTTTTTTTTAGTTATAAAAAAGCATTGCATCAACAAAATGAAAACATACACAAACAACAAAGAAACAGAGCAGTACATCACAAACACACACATTCACACCAGTCTTGTTTACAATCTACTGCCTTACAGTAGCATGTTATAGAAACCGCTGGTTCAGTTTTACATTTTAAAGAGCAGGAATGTTTTGTTCCTAAAGCAGGTCTGGGGACACCCAGTGGTCACAGGACAGATAGATAGATAGAGGTGTTTGATAAATGCATTAATCGTGGATGTTTTAGCGCTTACATCTGAAGCAGCAGCTGTAATTATACATTTGAGAAAGTGCCCACAAAGAATAAAGGGAGTGTCATCTTTCCAGCCTGTTAACTGATTACTTACCCGACAGTTTGGAGAGCGCAGGTCCCAGATTCGGATTGTCTTATCTAATGAGCCAGAGATAAATGTATCATCCACTGGTGACATGGAAAGAGAGATAACTCTGAAAAACAAATTTAAAAAAAAATTATACAAGCATACAGTGTTCTAGATAAGGAGGAAGGAAGGTGGAAAAGGTATAGATCAGAACATACATTTTAAGATGAATAGATTGTAAACATACTCTAATGTCAACTGTCTTTTATCAAAGAGCAGCCAGGCTTGAGAAGCTTAATAAGTGTGAGAGAGTGTGTAGGTATACATTTGTTAGGACTTCTCTATTCAGCAAACACATGACCAGAGCTGAGAATAATTTGTTGTCCTCTTTTTTGCTTCTTTTCAAGAGTTTCTACTCACCTTGCAGTGTGACCCGGGAAATACCTGATGAACTTGTTGTCACTGAGTGACAGGTATCTGATGGTATCTACAAGGTAAAAACACTTTTTTATTTCAACACGTATTCAAATCCATTTTAACATCTGGCTTGGTGTTTTGTACTAAAGGCTTGTTGTAGATGATGAGTTATTACCGTCCAGTTTATTGGAGCTGTAGACCACTGTCTGTGTATCTCCATGTGTGTAGCGGATCAGGTCCACTCCATACTTCTTGCTGTACAGGGTCCTCTGAGGTCTAGACAGGACAGCATATGAAGATGTATAATCTTAAGGCATAAATGAATTTCAGTGTGACTCCTAAATCATAATAGTTATCAATTGCCACTTTAATGTACTATACAAATGTAATAACATTGGCCACTTACTTTCCTTCCCGGATGTCATATAACACAATGCAGTCGTCGTCACTGCTTGATATTGCATTTTCGCCATTTGGGCTGAAATCCACACAGTTGACTTTCTTTGAATTTTCTCCATATGTCCTGGCGACCCTGAAACTCCGCAGCACACTGTCTGTGATCTTCATTTCTGCAGAGGTTTTTTTTTTTTTTTGTTTAGTGTCTCCACATCAGATATCTGTGTTTCTGCAATAATGAAACCCGTGGGTCATTTTTGACGTTTGTCTGGTCGGCCAATTACCGGTAATTGGAAATATCTGTAAAGATCGTTTTCGTGAAATTATGGATACACAATACACAAACGATAGCGTACCAAGGTATGTTCGATTTAGAACTTATTTTCTACAGAATAGGCGGTGTTGAAAACTCAAGATTACACTGAGTGGCGTCAGAAAACCGGGAAGTATCGGAAACAGGAACGAGCACGCCTTTTACAAGAAAACGGAAATGACGTAACAACACAGGACGCGACAGATAAAAAAACAAAATATGGGTTTCTGCTGTACCAACTGCGATGTTTAACGGCTATATGTACCTTTATTTACAATTTAATCTTGTCCATAATATATCTATATATAAAATATATAGTCTTTCAATGTAGTTTTGCTTTCATGATGCTGTTGGAAATAAGTTTTTTTTATTTATTCTGAAAGGATTGGCCCGGAAGTCGTTAATGGGAGAGCATGTGTGACCCCTGGAGTTTTATGTTTGTAACGGGGATGTGAACCTATTAGCAAAAGTCAAAATGATGAACACTGTGGGAATAGCCTGTAGAGAATGGAAACACGGTCTGAGCAAATTCGGACAGCGGATAAACTGTCCCCGGTGTCCGGAGTTAGCACCGTCCCTCAGCCGCGTCCGGTCCACCGCTGTTAAAGCTGCAGACACCGGAGAGAAACCTCGTCTCAGAGCTGTCGACCTGGCGCAGAAGGTGCAGCAGGAGAAGTTAAAGTCTGGAGAGAAACCTCGTCTCAGAGCTGTCGACCTGGCGCAGAAGGTGCAGCAGGAGAAGGGAAAGCGTCCCGCAGCGGAGGCAGACCCTCCGGTGTCCGGTCAGCAGAGAAGAGTGACGGAGCTGAAACGGTTCAGTCTGCAGCTACAAAACGTTCATCCCAACGTGCTGGCCAAACACCTCCACAAAAGCGTGCTGTACCAGGATAAAGATTTGGTTATTATCAACAAACCCTATGGTGTTCCTGTCAGAGGTAAAGCTACAGAACATGTAACATTTCTGAATAGCTTTGAACACACTTCTTGATACTGTAATTTGTGGTCTGTGGTCTGTTGAGTAACTGTTTTTAATAAACAAACATTACATTTCTTTAAAAGAGGTTCTGAGACCCATGATTCTTCCTTCAAAGTCTTCAAATAGTCTACATTTTGATGGTTGACTTTCTGTCCATCAACAGCCTGAATTGAATACAGGTTTGTTTAAATTCTTAGTTGGCCAAACCAGCAGGTTTAAGTCCTGGTCGTCTGGGGGAGTCTAATGTACATTTATATATAAACCAGAAGATAATTCTGCATATTAATTGTAAAGTAATATGCTAAATTTCAAATCTTCTTTCCCCCCCCCCCCCCACACCATTTTGCTTACTGTTTGTGTCCATACTTATAATCTGCCTGTTTATTGGGAGAATACGTTTATACATTGTATTTCTGCAATATCAGTAAAGATACAGGCTGATGTACAATAGACAATACATTATGATCACTTTTTTTAGAGATGTAAACTCGTTCTGAAGTTGAATAACTTGGATATTTATTTATATATATATATATCTAAGTTGTTTTATTTTGTCTCTCTCAGAGGACTCTGGGGTTACCTCCATTTCTTCAGTGCTTCCTGTTCTCTCGAAGATGATGGATGGGATGAAGATAAATTCAGATTTTCAGCTGCTGCCTTGTCTGGGATTGGAGAAAGAAACATCAGGAGCTCTCCTGCTGGCCAGGAGGGAGGAAGTCGTGGAGCACATACTGAATCTTAACAGAAATAACCAAGTTCAGATAAAGTACTGGTAAGAGCATGTACTGGGAAGGTAGACAAAATGTTAAAATAGGCCTTAAAGGTTGTGTGTACTTATTGTCTTACCTTCTACTGCAGCAAACATAAAGATGTTTGTCATATCCGTCCTCAGGGTCATCACAGTCGGTGTTCCTGTGCCGTCTGAAGGAGTGATTGACATCCCTGTCATAGAGCGAGAGGTCACAGGCTCTCAGCCACACTACAAGGTGCCTTTTCTTCTGTGGTTTTGATGCTGTAAGAATAAATGGAACACACATGAACTGAGGGAGGTGTGCATATTGAAGATTCTTCTCTCCCTTTTTTTTTTTCAGATGGCTTTAAGTCCTCTTTTCAGAATGAATGATGCAGGTGATGGTGTGACCAAAGTCCGGGCCAATCGGCAAGCTCACTCTGCGGTGACCAAGTACAGAGTAATCGACAGCAGCAATGGTTGCAGCCTTGTGGAGCTTCAGCCTTATACCAGTAAGAAGACTGTGCTCGTCACAGGAAATCAGTGCCAAAATAATTAGGTAAACTTTATTATTAAGAAGACGAGACACATTTTCTACTCACTGACTATTTTTTTTTGTCTACAGGAGTGAAGCACCAGACAAGGGTTCACATGGCATACGCTCTGACATGCCCAATTCTTGGTGACCACAAATATTCCCACTGGAGCAAACTGGCACCCCAGGTAAAAGATGTTTACAGCTTCACATGAACACAGAAGTATAAAAAAAGAGGTATATAAATAAGGGAGCAGTGCCTAAATCAAAAACTAGCAAATACGACATTGACTATGACTCTATTGCTTTACTTCATTGTGACTGATTCCGAGTGTCGCAGCTTTTTCCACTTAATCCCTAGTCATTCCCATTCCACAGATTAAGACAAACTTCATAATGCTCTTCTCATGTTATTAGTTATGTTTTTCCACGCAACGTTCCTGAATAATTACTGCCTGATAAAACCAATTGCCTTGTAAAAAGAAGTATTGGATGATGGTAATAATGACATTACAAATAAAATGGGTTTCACTTTCTATAAATCAAAGCTGATAAGGTCAGATCAATATTTAACGTGTCTGTTTAATCAGAATCAGAAATACTTTATTAATCCCAGGGGGAAATTTGTTTGCTACAGTTGCTCATAACACCAAAAATCAGTAGAAAGTGTAATTCATTATCTGTTGTATTCTCTAATAGATAACACATTTTTATGTTGATGCACAGAAATTACCTGAGCGTGTGCTGGGAAAGCTTGGATTGCAACAGAGCAAGATCCGGTACCTTCCTCTCCATTTGCTCGCCCGGCAGCTGACACTGCAAGGAACAAACCAAGCCGAGATCCAAGTGTCCTGTCCCCTGCCCAAATACTTCATACAAACGTTAAACAGACTGCAGTTGACACTTCCTGATAAAAAAGACTGAATAACCACCTATTCACCTTTTTTTTTTTTTTTGTTCAAGTCTTTGCACTCCAACTGATTTCTTCATGTTTATAGGCATTAGTGATGAAAGTCTTTTCGAGGGTTTCTTGTGTGTTTTGGTATTTAATGTTATGTAAGATTATCAAACAGAAAACGGTATAGAAATGACTTTACAGTGCTAACATTATTAATTTAAGTAATAAAAAAAGATAAAGATTTGTAAGAACAACTTTTTGTCATCAACTGAATTTCTACCAAAGGTTTTTTTTTTTTTTTGAAGAGACTAGGAACGCTGGTAGAAACTGTTTCCATCCCCAGGTCCAGAGTCTATGATCTCATTTCCAGTTCATGGTACAACTTGACTCAACTCTCCAGGAACCATTTCTGACATTTTAAGCTGGCAACAGAGTGAAACATCTCCAATAAGAACTCTCAGAACACACTCATGAAAACAGATTTTCATAATGTTATGACCACAGTCATGTGAAGTAATTCACATGGAGTAACTCTCTACACTGGCACCTGTCAGTGGGTGGGGTATGTTAGGCAGCAGGTGAACATTTTGTCCTTGAAGTTTGTGTTGGAAGGACAAACAAAAAGGGGTGAGGGTGTGAGCCACTTTGACAAGGGATAAATTGTGATGGCTGGTTGACTGGTTCAGTGCATCTCGACCTCTGCAGCTCTTGTGCGGTGATCCCGTTCTGCGGGGCTCATTTCTTACAAGAAGTACTCAGAAGAGAGGGAAACCGGCTGCAGGATCATGGATGGCCAAGGTCTGTTGATTAAGAGTGAAGGCTGGTCTGTGTGGGCCGATCAAACAGAAGAGCAATTGGGGTGTTCATATTTCAGAAAGTTACTATCAGTTCTGATAGAGAGGTGACAGTTGTAGCTATTATAGGACTGCTGAAAACAACTTTAATGGGAATATGAGCATGGAAGAAGGTAGCAAAACATTCAAGGTGTTGACTCAGCCTCCAAATTCCCTGGATTCCAACCAAATTGAGCACCTCTGGGATGTGCTGGATACTAAGACTGATCCATGGACGCCACACCTCGCCACTTACAGGACTTAAAGGGTGTGCTTCTGACGTCTTGGTTCCAGATATTTCAGCACACCTTCAGAGGTATCGTGGAGTTCATGTCTCCAGGGACGCCTAGTTGCCAACACAATATAAGGCAGGTACTCCTCCTCCACCTATAGCCTACATCTTTAGTTAATTGCGTAGGCTATGATACATAATCAAAATTCCTGCCAGACAAAAACAGGGCTACACACCTTTCACTTCAGTCTCTTATTGATGCGCAGCACAGATCCTGGCCTTCAGTGAGCATGGTACTTTTCACTTTAAAATGCACAGTCATATTTTAAATTAACTAACTGGCATTTTGGGACCAACACATTTCAAGACAGTGCAGGAGTGTGCATGCACTTTTTTTAAGTACCGTAAATTGTGACTTTGAACATTAATATCATTTTTGTGTCATTAAAAAACTAAGCTAATGTTGCCATTATCTCTTCTTATAAATGAATATATGATTGATAATAATAATGACATAATTGATATTTATTTGTGTGCGCACACATCACACTTCAGGCCACCTCTGTATAAGTCAGTACCCTAGTTGGGCCACCCCAAAAAAGAAAAGTCTGGACATGCCCCTGTACAGAGGAGTGCACTTCACTACCCCAATAGTCCTCCATGACATTCACAGCAAAGGTGAGACATCACAGGGAGGTAAATATCACATGTTGAACAGGCGGTCTGAATAGGGCTAGTAGTAATAATCATAGTGGCACTTTCCCAGATGACAGCGGGCGCATTACTTACTTTACATTACATACTTTTTTTTCTAAAACCCTTTGACATGAGTTTTGATCAAGAGTCAACCTACGGTGTTGAAAAAAGGCCAAGAAATCCTCATAAGTCCCATGTGCTCAATTTTACAGCAGAAATAAACCTGTTTGAAGCCTGGTTTAGATTTTCGTCTAGATCATTTTGGTCTCCAAATATTATTTATTTATTGGTAAAGACTGCATAGGGCTGAATATTTTTTATTACTCATCTATATTGATTATATTAAGGCTTAGTTATACATCAATTTGGATAATTAGAGGCAGGCTAAGTTTAGAAGCAGGGTGACCTTAGAAGCTTGTGGCCAGGAGGCTTAAGGCCCGCCTCAAGTCAACTTATCCCTCACTTGATTGATCGAAAGTTAGTTTGAGATAGTATTTCCAATATGGTGACCGCCATTGATGGGCTTCAAAACATCTCTTCAGGAACAAATGGGTGACGTCTCTGAGACTACTTCCAGGTTTTATACATTCTATGGCTTTGATACAAGAATCAATACTGTTAGCTAAACAAAGATGTTTCCATCTGCATGTCCCGTTTAATAACCGCCTGCACACTCTCATATAGGAACAGGTTAGCAAAAAATCCTCAAGGTGGGTTTCAATCATTAGCTTGGACCTGAGAGAAATGTTTCCAATCTCCTGAATCACTACAATATAGCACTTGACTTTGTGAACATCTGGAGGTTCAAACTCACACAATGATCCACATAAACAATGACGTTGTTTTTGAAAACAGGCACAGATTCTTCAGTTTTGAACATATCAATATATGATCCAAAATGCAGTCAGTCTGTATACAAAAACAGTTTTGAGCAGTGGTCCCCTGTAACTGTCCAGTAGGATGTAAAGTATCATGGGACTCAGATGAGAAGTAAGGTGGATAATGGTCTGTAAGGTTAAGCAGTGAGGGTTAAATATCCTCATTGATAAGACTGTCTATTACAGGAAAATTAACAACCTCCGGCAGGTCAGCAGGCCAGAAGGTCATCGGAGCACAGTAGAAGTAAAGTTCCCCCTTACAAGCCAGTTCAAAGGTTACAGAGGCAATGGCTTACAAAAGTAGACAAATAACTGTCCATCCCATCAGCTGAAAAAAGAACATCTAAGAGGAGAAAAATCTTTGCTGACAGTTAACAGAAAGATGATTGTTTCGGAAGCTGTTCATTGAGGTTTATAGAGAAAAGGGTGGATACTGCATAGTCTACAGTCAGTGACTGAAGTACTAGTGAAGAAGTCCACGAGTCCTGTTTAGTTCATGTTGAAAGTCCTCTCGGTTAAGCTCATGGACCAGCGCTGAGGATTTCCTGGATCTCTCGGACCACGATGATACGGGCCAGCATGTGCTCCACCTGCTGGCTACTCAGAGGCTGAGACGAGTACCACATCGGGCTGTTGGGTGCCACCACAGGCTCTGGAGTCATGTAGTATGCATCATTGCGTCCCTTAACGCTTTGAGGGCTGCAGACGACAAAGAAAATGAGGATACACAATATTTTATAGGTATGTACTAAAAATGTATCTTGTTACCAAAGGATTTAAGATAGAGTAGCAGCATTGATTTAAAGCAAAAACTCTCATTATAGCGTTCTATAGCATGTCTTGTCTACTGAGGCCTCAACCTCCACCTTGTCAAACAAGAGCACATTAAGGGAATAATGTCAGTGCTTGTTAAACCCCTTATTACAGGTAGACAGGCTTTCCCGCCATTTATTTTTTATTAATTAATATTATCACAAATATTAATGTTTAAAAAAAATTGTAAAGCTTTTTAATGCTTACTGTGCAGGTGTCACATTGCTGCCACCAGTGTTTTCTGCTATTTTCTGAAGCAGCATGTAACATGCAATACCTCTTCTGTTTAAATACTATTTTAATATCTATCAAACAATTGAGCCTTTCTCTCAGCTGAGCGCTCCTGCGTTTCCACACACGCACACATTGAGCTCTGGGTTGAGACAACGCTTCTAAAATGTACGGGGAAAGCAAGTCGCAGCATTTTAGTAAAACATTTTTTATTACAATCATTAATAGAAAAAAAAATAGCTGGCTGTGATTAAGTGACTAGTCGGCTGTTTGGCCAATCATCTGTGCTTTTAGAAAGCAGTGTTTAAGTGAAGAAGCAAAACTCACCATTTGAAGAGATAAAAGTCATAGAGTTTAATGGGGCAGCGGAGAGGATTCTCAGGATCTTCGGCCTGCTCTGCATACATTTCATCAGACCCTGAAAAAGACCCAACACAACACGTCAGCAACAGTGAGACTGGTTTTCAAATGCCCTTTAACATGAGGCTAAGTGTGTTCAGTACCTTTCTGCCCTGCGTTGTGTGCACCCTGTACTCTGAGAAGGCGGATACTGGTGGCTTTGTCCTTGGTGTTAGTGGGGTTCTTCCTCGTGTGTCGCAGGACCTTTGAGAAGGCTACTTTCATGTGCTGTTCAGGTGTAACCAGGTGGAAATGCCTGTGACAAAGATATATTTTTTAGAAACATGCACAGTATTTAATCTAAAATACATGTTTGTCTCACTTTACAGAACAGATTCAGGTTTCTAAAAGGCGTTTACTCACTTTGTGTTGAAGTACATTAGAGTTGTGAGCAGTGTGGCAGGTGAATGTGCACCCAGCTGTTTACACTCCCAAAGCATCTCCTCAGTCACATGACTTGGAATGATATAACCTAAGAAGAAAAAACTGTTAGTACTTTTTCCACCAAAGAAACAACTAAATAACAGTAAATGATGCTGATTTTTTTTTTTGCTCACCTAAAGGATGTACACTCGGTTTCCAACCATCCAGGATTTTGTGTAAACACCCAGAAAAACGTGTATAATATGGATCAGAGAAAATGTCATCCACCCGTCCATTTTCAAAGAGATACTACAAGGAGAAATGTATGTTAGGTCAACTTTAAAAAAAGCCCTTCTAGCACAATACACAACAACTCATGGAGGATACTAACCTTTTGTATACACAAGAAAACATAATACAGAACATCGGATGCAAACTGTTCATCCTCTGATCCTCGGGCCTCCTGAGTCATCAGGGAGAGAGCGAGGTTTAGCTCAGCTACGGCGCTGGACACCAAGTCCTCCTGAAAACGCAGCGGCTGACGGCCTAGAAACAGCCACAGAGGGGTGGGCAAAGTTATATTAGTGCTGTAGAGTTAGCTTGCTTCTGAATTTGAGGCAGAAGATGTGTTCAAATGAATAGTTGACTTACGTCCAATGGGTGCAAGCTTTGGCTTTTCCTGCTTGTTAAGCTCCGCGTTTTTTCGCATTGCCCAAAGGCGCCACACCTCCAGGCCTTCCTCTGGCTTAAGAGAAATGGGAACCAGAATCTCTGTGGGTGGTTCGGCATTATCCTCCATCTCGGTGTGA